CAGTTTCAAGTCAATCTGATCAATTTTTTATTTAGTTGTCCGCCATATTGGATCCGCCATTTTGAATTTTAGAAAACTAATGTCAGATTCGTTAATAGCGATCCTGAAAACCCTCAAGTAACCATTTTCAAACGAATTTGACCAATTAAAAAAATTTTCCGACATATTGGATCCGCCATTTTGAATTTTAAAAAACTAATTTCAGAATCGTAATCAGTGACCCTTAAAACCCCCGAGTAACCAGTTTCAAGCAAATTCGATGAATTTTGAAAAAATTCCGCCATCTTGGATCCGTCATTTTGAATTTCGAAAAACTGATCTCAGATTCGTAATCAGCGACCCTAGAAACCTTAAGGTACCAAGTTTCATAAAAATCCATTAAAAATTTTTTCAACACACTTTTGTCCCGAACAGTGGAAATCTCGTTGACAGCCAAGGGGTTAATTTGTTAGTAACTTTCGAAATTTTGAAGAACTCTTGTTCTTTTGGTAGAGAACTGTAGAACTCTTTATTATCTTTCAGAATATGAGGACAAAACTCTTCTTTGCATAAATAATAGTTCTATGCAAAGTTAACACCAAGTTTTTTCATTGTCGCTTTTTTTGTCAATCATCAGAACTATTTAAATAATAATAGTTATAGAACTCGAGAACTATTGCTAAAGTGCCCAGAACTCTTCTTAAAATTTTGATTTTTTTAAAAAGTAGTGCCAACTTTACATGACTGAGTGTTTGAACTTATTCAATTATTCAAAAACAAATTCATTTCAAACCTTAAAGTCTTGTAATTCAGTAGTTTTTGGGTTTTGAGAAAATTGTTATTAGGGTTTTTTCTCGAACTCCATGGGTGTCTCACAGAACTCTGATCAGAACTACAAGAAATCTTAATTTAAAAAAAACAAATTTTTTTGAATCTTCAATGTCTTGTAGTTCAGTAGTTTTTAGGTTTTGAAAAAATTCTTATTAGGGTTTTTTATCAAACACTATTGGGGGTTAACAAAACTCTGATTAGAACTCATAGAACTTTCAATTTAAAAAAAAACAAATTTCTTTAGAAACATAAAAGTCTTGTAGTTTAATAGATTATGGAAAAACTTATTTTTTACTATTTAATCGCCGGAACTATTTCTAAAAACTAATTAAGGAAGATTTCGACTATATCAGCAATTAGTGACATCTATTAGAAGTCAATTGAACTCTTTGGTTTAGAGTCAGGTGTTATTCTTAAGATAATTATTCCGATATGGTTGTCGGTAAATAATTATATTTTTTGAATTTAATTTTTGATCTGAAAATTCTTCATCAGCAAACAATTTCCTACATTAACTATACAGCTCTTCGACTAGTGTATGGGCTTGATCTGAGATTATAAGAAACGTGAACGTCCAGGCTGTGTTGGCATGGTGCATTGGTAGGCGTTAGTCCCGCGAAAGGCAGCTATTAACTGGGGTTCGAGTCCTCACAGATGCACAGTGCAGTCGTTCACGCAGCTTATTTTTTCAGATCAAAAATTAAATTCAAAAAATATAATTATTTACCGACAACCATATCGGAATAATTATCTTAAGAATAACACCTGACTCTAAACCAAAGAGTTCAATTGACTTCTAATAGATGTCACTAATTGCTGATATAGTCGAAATCTTCCTTAATTAAAATTCTTCATCAGCAAATAATTTCCTACATTAACTATTTCTAAAAACTATCAGGAACTCTAGAACTATTGAAGAAATGTTTTTTTTTAATGAATAATTAATAAACAATTTTTTATTTTGTTAATCTTTGAGCACTAATTGAGCACTAAATAATAGGCTAATTGTAAATATTCTGTTGGCGTTTTTAGCGTGTTTTTCGTTATGTCCGGCCAGCGGATCGCTCAGTCAGACAAATAAGTTAGTTTTTTAAATAAATAATTAATAAACAAATTTTTAATTGTGTTAATTTTTGAGCACTAATTGAGCACTAAATAATAGGCTATTCATAACTATTTTGTTGGCGTTTTTAATGTGTTTTTCGTAATGGTGCGGATAGCGGTTCGCTCACTCATTTGAATAAGTTTTTCTTTTAAATAAATAATTAATAAAAAAAATTTTTTATTTTGTTAATCTGCGAACACTATTTAAGCACTAAATTATAGGCTAAGAAAACGAATTATAAAACGAATTTAAAACATTTTTAAGGTGTTCACTCTTTCGAAGAAATGTTTTTTATAAATAAATAATTAATAAACAATTTTTTATTGTGTTAATATTTAAGCACTAATTGAGCACTGAATTTTAGGCTATTGATAAATATTTTGTTGTTGTTTTTGACGTGTCTGTCGTAATGGTGCGGTTGGCGGATTACTCACTCAATCGAAAAAAATTTTTTTTTTAAATAAATAATTAATTAAAAAATTTTTTTATTTTGTTAATCTTTGAGCACTAATTGAGCACTAAATAATAGGCTATCGATAAATATTTTGTTGGTGTTTTTAGTTCGTTTTTCGTTATGGTCTGGCTAGCGGATTACTCACTCATTCGAAAAATTTTTTTTTTAAATAAATAATTAATAAAAAAATTTTTATTTTGTTAATCTTTGAGCACTAATTGAGCACTAAATAACAGGCTATTTATAAATATTCTGTTGGCGTTTTTAAAGCGTTTTTCGTTATGGTCCGGCCAGCGGAACGTTCACTCAGCAGAACCATTGTTTTTTTTAAATAAACATTGAGCACTAAATTCGGCAATATGGTACAAAAATAGCACTAATTGAGCACTAATTAATGGTATAATTTAAATTCATTTTTATGAAAGTGGTTCGGCCAGCTTCACAGACCTTGCGTTTACCTATGTTAAAAATAAAAAATGTCAACCACAATATCTCGTTTTTTGACATGGCAAAAGGTTTTGAAGTTTCTATCACATTTAAAAGGCATCCGAAGAAATATTTCCTCAAAATTCGAAGAAAATCTATCGAAAATCAATTTTTAAAAGAGTAGCAGCCGGAGAACTACCTTAAATTGAAATTTTTTTTTATAGATTTTAATGAATTAGAGAAAATTTCCAAAAATTCCCGAATATTTTTTTCAATTCCCGGCAATTTCCCGGTCGAACTAAATTCCCGGCAAATTCCCGTTTTTCCCGGACGCTAGACACCCTGCATACATATAAGCAAAGTTTTCAAAAGCAAATTATTCTGTTAAAAAAAAGAATACAATTTTATTCGCTAGAAGAAATCAAATTTGCTTGGAAAATTACAATAAAATTCCTCAAAAATTATTATATAATTATTAAAAGAAAAGGAAAATTTTCATAACCTGAGAAAATTTGTCAATTTTTCGTTGTTATTTCAGAAACTGGAATTAAAAAGGAAAATACATTTTATAAATCAAGTATTCTCAGCATATTATTATTAACACAAAAATATCAAACTTGCTGAGACAAAGTTTAAGAGAAATCAGTCAAAAGTTATAAAATATATTCAACTGGAAAAGAAATAATATTTTCGAGAATTGAAAAAAAATAACAACTTTTCGTTACCGTTATTTTTCTACATCTAAAACTGAAATTAAAAATGGAAAACTGTTTTGAAAATGGAATATTCAGAGCTTTATTCGCACCAATAAATCTCAAACTTTTGCTTGAAAAATTGCCAAGGAATCAGAAAAGAAATTGCGGAAAAACTATAAAAGAAGAATAAAATTTCAGAGAAATGAAAAAATATACAAATTTTTTTGTTGCAATCTCTAATAGTTTAATATTTAAAAGAAATTGCATTATCCAAATAAAAAAATGCAACTTTGTTAGTATAGTAATTAATCAAACTTGCCTGCAATGCTGCTATAGAATCGGCTACAAATTCGGTAATTATTATAGTGAAAAAATAAAATTTTATGATAAACGACATTTTTTCGTTTACATTGTTGAAAAAACCATTTTTAAAAGAGAAAAACTGTTTAAAATAAATTGAATATAAAGCTTATTTATTCGCCCCTTGTAATCGCAAAGTTACTGTCAAAAAATAAAATTACCAGAAGAGAAAAACACAACACTTTTCGAGTAAGGAGAAGATTTCGACAATTTTTCGTCACCGCATACACGTGTGAAAAACTCTTGATTCAAAAACAAAAAAACTGTTTCTAAAAATTGAATATACATTTTTGTTCACACAGTGGATGCAAACAATTTTGCAAAATTTTGAAAAAATGGTTCAAAAATATAATTACTAAAAGAAAAAAATGATGTAAAAAATTACTAGAATTTGAAAAAATTGTTTGATAACTACTGAAAAAGAAAAACAAAATTCGGAAAGAACATCAATTTAAAAAAATTAAAATGTAGTTGCATTTTAACAGTGAATTTTTCAAGTTGCTTGCAAAAAAGTTGAGAAAATATAGGTAAAAATTTGTAATTACTAAAACAGAATTATAAATTTCTCGGGAAAGAAGAATACTTACAGTTGCTTATAGTCTCACTCTTTAACTGCAATCTCAAATCCCAAATTCCGTTTCACAAAAACACCCGTAAAATAAATTAATTATTCACATATATACATGGTAAAGAAAATAACTATACTGACGGAAATTGTTTCCCTAAAATGCGTTTCGAATTTAAAAAAAAAACTGGCACTTTCCGATCAAAAACACTCCCCTCCAATTTTGAAAACACTACTGTTCACTTGAAGCAAAAATGTTTAAAATTGCTAAAAACATTAACTAAAATTATACTGCAACCACAATACACATAACCACAATCAACACTCGTATAAAAAAACACACTTTTAAAAAACGATACTTTTGTATATAATTCTTTTCAAGAGAATATTTAAAACACGTTTACGAGACCATTTACGAGCGCGGCTAAAACAAGACTGAACCTGCAAACCATGATCCAAGTAACAAGGGGTGTTTTCGATCCTGGCGCTCTGAGCACTCTGAAAGAGCAAAAAGGTTCTCAACTTCAGTTTATGATTTTTGTGTATTGCACATGTGAAGTCAGCTTAAGGTTTAACCCAACCTAACCCCTGTTGCTGCTGCTTCTTTCTTTTTGGCCACCGCTCGTACACGCTGAAAGCGTGTTTTAGTTTTATTTTAATATTTATTTATAGTTTTTATCATAATTAACAATAATGTCGGGAACGAAAAGGCGAATATTTATCAACGGAGTGGTGATATCGGAAAATAACGAGCTGGTGCGAGAAGGGGATAAAATTTTGTGCGAAGTCAAAGACCTGGACGACAGTAAGTATAGTTTAATAATAATTTTAAATTAGTTTTTAATAAAAATTAAAATCATAAAAAATTTTTAATTTAATTTATTACAACCTGATTGGAAAACAAAAGAAAGTAGGAAGTCTATAATAAATTATGAAAAACTTATTTCAAAAGGATTTTTTTGCAATTTAGACGAATATGATAAAATTGGAAGAGTCAGCCTTCAAAACAATTTTTTTATTTGCATACAAGAAATTCTGAAAATTATTACTATTTGCGAAAATGTGCGCATGCTGTGTAACCTCAAAGCACCACAGTTTTTCTTACTTTTCTCGCTGATGTGTAGGTTTATTTGAACAAATTGTTGTTCATTTATTAAAAAATAATATCTCTAAACGGTTTTCTCAGTTTTTTTTTAAATGTACAACAGAATTTGTAAAAATGTTTTTTTTATTCCTGTAAAAACATGAATTCGCGCTTGACCCTTTTTTCACTGGCGAAATAGTTCATTTTATTTATTTCACCAGTCTTTCAATCTATAATTTCATTTGACAGACGTCTGGCGAAATAGACAGTTTTTATTTTAATTAATAATTTTTGTTACCTTATAGATATTAGGAAATTATTTACCTATTTTAAGAAAAAAATAATTTAATACGTGGAAAATTGATTATAACTAATTTTGTAGGATTTACTTGTACATTTTTTATGGAAAATTACTTTAAGCTAAGAATTTGTATTAATAATGAACAATTTGTGTTTTTTATTAAAATTTGTTAATTAATAAAATTAATTTCTGTTTGATTATTACAAACAGCGGCTCATTTTATTCTTTTAAAAAATCTATAAAGTTCCATTCGTTAAATATTGTTTAGAAAATTTGACAACAGAATTGTAGAGATTTTTTAAAAGAGCAAAGTGAGCTGTTGTTTATAAAAATTAGATAAAAATCACAAATGTTGCAAAAAAAACACAAAATGGTAAACAATTATTATTTAACAAGTAATTTAATAAATTGATTAACTTTCTTTCAGATTACATATATCAAGCGTACTTGAATGAAAAATCGGTGATGGAATGGCAGAATAAAATTCTGCATGCGGATAAAAGTGAAGACAATTTGGCGAAGGGAGATTCAGGACCTTGTGAAACTGTTGCAAAAATGTCAAGGATCAAGAGTAATGTCGATTCTAACATGAAAGGGGAAGAAGCAGGTCCTTCAGGAATTGCAGACTTTGAGATCTCGAGATCCCGTAGTAAAAAAAGGCCTCATGATTGTGGTAAATTAAACATTTTGTTTTATTTTATTAAAAATACCGCAGGTTTTTAATGCTTTTTTAGTTTCTGAAGGAAGTATTGATTCAACAAATTACAATAATCACAAACTCATCTTACACCATTTTTTACATTTTTATAAAATTGCCATTTATTTCAACTGTTTTATTTAATTGTCCCCTATTTCGGTTCTTAGTTAAATGTTTTCTAATTTTATATTTCTGAAATCTATTTTCCAATCAAAGTCAATAAAAATTCAATTGTTTTTAATTTTATTCTATTTAAAATTCAATTATTCTAAATTATAATTAACTAAGAAATCAATTATTCCACACTTTAATCAAACTAAAATTCAATAAGCACAAATTTCAATAAATTAGATATTCCATTAAACCAAAATTAAAATTTTTAATTTTCGTAGATGAAAAATTCACTGACAGATTTTTTAATCCATAATGTACATGAAATTTATTCAAAATTAAATTATTCAAAATTTTAAATTATAAATCAGTCTTTTACGTCTGAGCAGGTGTAAATTAATTAATAAATAAAATAATAACGAAGACATTCGGACCAAATTTTATTATATATTTCTCCAAAGTTTCGAAATCTAAACGATTTCCTCTTTAGGTACTCAAGAAAATAAAATTTATAAGATCATTTTTGTGAAATTATAAAAATCATAAAAGTATAATAAAATTTGGTCCGAATGTCTTTGTTTTTGTTTTATTTACTAAATTTAAAAATTTTTAAATAGAAATCTAAATAAAAAAGTTTAATAGTTTTGGTATATACTTCTAATGGTCTTATTTCAACGTGGCTTCTTCACTCCACTATACTCTACACATAAAACTAAAATTCCGATTGTAATTATAATTGAGTCAATCCACAGAAAATTATCTGGAGGTGGTTGCTGACATATTTTTCAAAAGTCTACTTTTAATGTTATGTGAAACATAATCGCAATTTCAATAATATGTTTCTTCGATTTGATCTGAAACTTTGTTTTCTAGGTTTCCCATATCGCGGTAGTGTCTAAAAAATAAAAACCAAAAAACCGGAATTTTTTTTCGAAAACTTAAAATTCTTTTTTTGAAATTTTCCTGATTTTAAATTTAATATTCGAAATTTTGAGAATATTTTTGCTCAACTTGACCCTAAACCTTTTTTTCTAGGTTTCCCATATCGAGGTAGTGTCTAAAAAATCAAAACCAAAAAACCGAAATTTTTTTCCAAAAACTTGACATTTTTTTTTGAAATTTTTACGATTTTAAATTGAATATTCGGAATTTTGAGAATATTTTTGCTTAACTTGCCCCTAAACCTTTTTTTCTAGGTTTCCTATATCGAGGTGGTATCTAAAAAATCAAAACCGAAAAACCGAATTTTTTTTCCAAAAACTTGACATATTTTTTTGAGATTTTCATGATTTTAAATTGAATATTCGGAATTTTGAGAATATTTTTGCTCAACTTGACCCTAAACCTGTTTTTCAAGGTTTCCCATATCGAGGTAGTGTCTAAAAAATCAAAACCGAAATTTTTTCCCAAAAACTTGACATTTTTTTTTGAAATTTTCACGATTTTAAATTGAATATTCGGAATTTTGAGAATATTTTTGCTCAACTTGACCCTAAACCTTTTTTTCTGGGTTTCCTATATCGAGGTAGTGTCTAAAAAATTAAAACCAAAAAACCGAAATTTTTTTCCAAAAACTTGACATTTTTTTTTAAATTTTCACGATTTTAAATTGAATATTCGGAATTTTGAGAATATTTTTGTCAACTTGACCCTAAACCTTTTTTTCTGGGTTTCCTATATCGAGGTAGTGTCTAAAAAATCAAAACCGAAAAACCGAAATTTTTTTCCAAAAACTTGACATATTTTTTTGAGATTTTCATGATTTTAAATTGAATATTCGGAATTTTGAGAATATTTTTGCTCAACTTGACCCTAAACCTTTTTTTCTGGGTTTCCTATATCGAGGTAGTGTCTAAAAAATCAAAACCGAAAAACCGAAATTTTTTCCCAAAAACTTGACATTTTTTTTTGAAATTTTCACGATTTTAAATTGAATATTCGGAATTTTGAGAATATTTTTGCTCAACTTGACCCTAAACCTTTTTTTCTGGGTTTCCTATATCGAAGTAGTGTCTAAAAAATCAAAACCGAAAAACCGAAATTTTTTCCCAAAAACTTGACATTTTTTTTTGAAATTTTCACGATTTTAAATTGAATATTCGGAATTTTGAGAATATTTTTGCTCAACTTGACCCTAAACCTTTTTTTCTGGGTTTCCTATATCGAGGTAGTGTCTAAAAAATCAAAACCAAAAAACCGAAATTTTTTTCCAAAAACTTGACATATTTTTTTGAGATTTTCATGATTTTAAATTGAATATTCGGAATTTTGAGAATATTTTTGCTCAACTTGACCCTAAACCTGTTTTTCTAGGTTTCCCATATCGAGGTAGTGTCTAAAAAATCAAAACCGAAAAACCGAAATTTTTTCCCAAAAACTTGACATATTTTTTTGAGATTTTAACGATTTTAAATTGAATACTCGGAATTTTGGGAATATTTTTGCTCGTCTTGACTTCAAACCTTTTTTTCTAGGTTTTCTATATCGAGGTGGTATCTAAAAAATCAAAACCGAAAAACCGAATTTTTTTTCCAAAAACTTGACATTTTTTTTTTTGAAATTTTCACGATTTTAAATTGAATACTCGGAATTTTGAGAATATTTTTGCTCAACTTGACCCTAAACCTGTTTTTCAAGGTTTCCTATATCGAGGTAGTGTCTAAAAAATCAAAACCGAAAAACCGAAATTTTTTTCCAAAAACTTGACATATTTTTTTGAGATTTTCATGATTTTAAATTGAATATTCGGAATTTTGAGAATATTTTTGCTCAACTTGACCCTAAACCTGTTTTTCTAGGTTTCCCATATCGAGGTAGTGTCTAAAAAATCAAAACCGAAAAACCGAAATTTTTTCCCAAAAACTTGACATATTTTTTTGAGATTTTAACGATTTTAAATTGAATATTCGGAATTTTGGGAATATTTTTGCTCGTTTTGACTTCAAACCTTTTTTTCTAGGTTTTCTATATCGAGGTGGTATCTAAAAAATCAAAACCGAAAAACCGAATTTTTTTTCCAAAAACTTGACATTTTTTTTTTTGAAATTTTCACGATTTTAAATTGAATATTCGGAATTTTGAGAATATTTTTGCTCAACTTAACCCTAAACCTGTTTTTCTAGGTTTCCCATATCGAGGTAGTGTCTAAAAAATCAAAACCGAAATTTTTTCCCAAAAACTTGACATTTTTTTTTGAAATTTTCACGATTTTAAATTGAATATTCGGAATTTTGAGAATATTTTTGCTCAACTTGACCCTAAACCTTTTTTTCTGGGTTTCCTATATCGAGGTAGTGTCTAAAAAATCAAAACCAAAAAACCGAAATTTTTTTCCAAAAACTTGACATTTTTTTTTAAATTTTAACGATTTTAAATTGAATATTCGGAATTTTGAGAATATTTTTGTCAACTTGACCCTAAACCTTTTTTTCTGGGTTTCCTATATCGAGGTAGTGTCTAAAAAATCAAAACCGAAAAACCGAAATTTTTTTCCAAAAACTTGACATATTTTTTTGAGATTTTCATGATTTTAAATTGAATATTCGGAATTTTGAGAATATTTTTGCTCAACTTGACCCTAAACCTTTTTTTCTGGGTTTCCTATATCGAGGTAGTGTCTAAAAAATCAAAACCGAAAAACCGAAATTTTTTCCCAAAAACTTGACATTTTTTTTTGAAATTTTCACGATTTTAAATTGAATATTCGGAATTTTGAGAATATTTTTGCTCAACTTGACCCTAAACCTTTTTTTCTGGGTTTCCTATATCGAAGTAGTGTCTAAAAAATCAAAACCGAAAAACCGAAATTTTTTCCCAAAAACTTGACATTTTTTTTTGAAATTTTCACGATTTTAAATTGAATATTCGGAATTTTGAGAATATTTTTGTCAACTTGACCCTAAACCTTTTTTTCTGGGTTTCCTATATCGAGGTAGTGTCTAAAAAATCAAAACCGAAAAACCGAAATTTTTTTCCAAAAACTTGACATATTTTTTTGAGATTTTCATGATTTTAAATTGAATATTCGGAATTTTGAGAATATTTTTGCTCAACTTGACCCTAAACCTGTTTTTCTAGGTTTCCCATATCGAGGTAGTGTCTAAAAAATCAAAACCGAAAAACCGAAATTTTTTCCCAAAAACTTGACATATTTTTTTGAGATTTTAACGATTTTAAATTGAATACTCGGAATTTTGGGAATATTTTTGCTCGTCTTGACTTCAAACCTTTTTTTCTAGGTTTTCTATATCGAGGTGGTATCTAAAAAATCAAAACCGAAAAACCGAATTTTTTTTCCAAAAACTTGACATTTTTTTTTTTGAAATTTTCACGATTTTAAATTGAATACTCGGAATTTTGAGAATATTTTTGCTCAACTTGACCCTAAACCTTTTTTTCTGGGTTTCCTATATCGAGGTAGTGTCTAAAAAATCAAAACCGTAAAACCGAATTTTTTTTCCAAAAACTTGACATATTTTTTTGAGATTTTGACGATTTTAAATTGAATACTCGGAATTTTGAGAATATTTTTGCTCAACTTGACCCTAAACCTGTTTTTCAAGGTTTCCCATATCGAGGTAGTGTCTAAAAAATGAAAACCGAAAAACCGAAATTTTTTTCCAAAAACTTGACTTATATTTTTTAAATATTAAACGAAATAAAATTCACTTTATATTATTATGGTCATTAAACTAAAAAATTAGTCTAGTTTCACATTACATTAAAACTATACTTTTTAAAAATATGTCAGCAATCACTTCCTGATGATTTTCAGTGTTTTGACCTTGTTATAGTTATTAAACTTATATTTAATTTTATATTATATCTTTTTTTTAATTGTTAAAAAAATTTCAGGCGGACGATAGTCAAAGTGCCGAATTTAGGGTTACCGTAAACCGGGGCTACAAGGAACACTGGGGCTATAAGGAACAAAACTCTGTGTTCGGGTGGAGTTGAAGTTATGGGGGCCGTGTATGAATAAATTGTGTTACTTGCTTTTGAAAAATTGTTGCTGGGGTAACTGCCAATACTATTCAATGCAATAATTGCGACTATTAATAATTTTGTGAACAGTAGTAGCTTGTAAGTGAGTAATTGTGTTTTAGTGAAATTTCAAACTTGGGAAACATTTGATTGCCGAGGTAAGTTGTTCCTATTTTAACTTCTCAAAGTAATTTTTTTTTATTAAAGGGATTTATTATGGGAAGTTTTATTGAGTTCACTAAGTAATAAATACGTTTATTTTGTATTTACAGTAAGATTTACGAGAAAAAAACCAAAATTCACAAACGGCGGGTATATAAGGAACACAATTATTTCTTCCGAATTGTTAAAGTGTGTTGTCAAAACGTAACTTTTTCGTAATTTCGTTTGTTTTTTATCACCTAATTTGGTTTTTAGTGTTCAAAGCTGGTTCGAAATTGTAAAAGAGTGTTGGTACCGACAAGTCCCAAAAAACGACCAGTTATCATCATCGACCTCAACTGATGATACCAGCAACGTTTAGTTTTGTTTTTACATTTGTTTTATATTCTGTGTTTACTTTCGATCAATAAAAAATAATTTCTTTAACTTTAAATACGTTTTCCAATAGTTTTACCGCCTTGTTCCTTATGGCCCCATTTTGTAATTTCGAAAAAATGCGTCTTTTTCGTATTTTTTGCTTAAAATTCCAGCTTTGATCAAAACAATTCTTTAACCCTTCAAAGTGCTCGCCAAGATCAAGAAAAGAAAAAAAAATTAAGGCAATATTTCAATAAAAAAAAAAGTTGCAAGACTTTAAAGCTGAAATCTGTTCCTTATAGCCCCAGATTACGGTACTTAGATTTCGAGCTAGGTGTAGGTCCCTGAATTTTTTCTGCATGATGGAGGCTTTGGGGCCTAGGGGACCTTGTCCCAGCGTCTCCACAATATTTATAAATGCGATTTTTGTATTGTACGCGACAAATGTTAAGGCGAAAACGTGAAGATTTCGGCGGTGGGCTATGAAGCCCTACAAAGTACTGTTAATATTTTTCCTGAAATTATTGTTTTACAAGATATTAATTTAACTGAATTTTTATTTGATTTTAACCATATTTTGGTCTAATGTTATTGTTACTTAACAATAGATTCTTTTTAATATTTTACAGATGAATCGGATGGACAAAGTGTTGCTTCTTTAACCAAAGGTGAATACAAAATCTTATTTTAAACAATCAGAATGGCGTTCTTTTTTCGTTTCAGAGATAATGGGCTTCAGTGACTGGTTTGTTGCGTGTTCCGAATAGCCTTGATAATTATCCGCTGTCAGCAGGGGCGATTTTACCCTTGAAAACGATAATTTTTTAATGAAAGCTCCATTAAAAATCAAAATTAAGAAATAAATTTTTTTCAAAAATGGTTTTTGTTGTGGGCATCCTTATGAAGGTTGTCATATAAGTTAGACATGGAAAAATTTTTTTAGAGTTGCAGACAGTTAAATCGTGGGTATAAATAGCATCGTAGTTGGGGCTATTTTACTTATTAAAGTTTATTTATAAAATAGTCTAAAAAATTTTTTTCGCAGTCTTTTCTATTTATGGTATGTTTTGTAGATAGTTTAGAGTTGAATAAAAGAAAATTATCCAAAAACTATTCTTTTGATGGAGTTGTTTAAAAAATGTCTAAATATTGATATCACATTTTTTGAGGTCACTTGGTCATGGAATCTTATATATAATTTACTTATTTCTACTTTTTTGACACAACTCATGCCAAAGAATGTATACAAAAACATGTAACATACACTTATTTGCTTATAAGAGAGAAAAATTTTGAAAAATTGTTGATTGTAAATAATGGATAAAATAGCCCCGCGAATCCTGGAGTTTCAGATTTTCACAATTTTCTCTTCAAAAATAAAAATAAAAAGTTAGACAAAATAGCCCCGGTTGACAGTATCTCAAAAACGAAAAATACGTCATTCTGAAAATTTATATAAGTCTAGGAAAAATTCTCAAATTTTGTTTGCAATAATATATTTTACAGATAAATAGATCGAATGTAATAAAAAAAATGTGCAATTTTAACTTAAATTTTGTAAAATCAATATACAAATTTCAAAACTTTTAAAAACAAATATCTTTGATTCTCAAAGAAGTAAAAAAAATTGTTGACAATATATTACAAACAAGCAAGACAATAAATTCGGGACATTTTACGTAAAATGGCACTTATGGATATTCAATAGTTTGTCGCATGAATTTATGTATTAATTTTTTTAACAGGTGAACTACAATGGACGCCTCAAATGGTTCAATTTTTTATCGATGCATATAAAGAATTGGAAGAAAAAAAAGCTGGGAAATTCATCAGAATAAGGGCTTTTAACAGTATCGCGAAGAGGTTTAAGGAAGAATTGAACATGAATTTAACGGCTCAACAATTAGAATCAAAATTGAAAGGCCTTCAAAACACTTACAAAAACCAATTGTTGATGAAGAAACAAACTGGTGGGGGACGAAATGACTGGCAGCATTTTGAAGTCATGAACGAATTCATGTACAAAAAGCCGCAAATTACACCAGTGTCAACAACATCAAATTTGAATGGTTTCAAACCCAAAGAATCTTCACAGTCCGACAGTGATAGCTCCATCGAAGGAAAACAGAAATCGAAAAAAACCAAAGGGAAGCGGCGAAAAAGACAAAGCTCTCCAACTTTTCAGCAGAAAATGGTGAATTTAATCGGAGGACACCACGAGAAGCAAGAAAAATCGTTAGAAAAGTTTAATAATACTTTTGAGAGGTATGTTAATATTCTCGACGGAATGAAGAAATAAATCTTCGTCTTTGTCTTCCGACATCTATTTTCATTCATATTTCGTTGCCTATAAATTTGGCCATAAATTTAATCTATTTTTATATTTCATTCGTTAACTTCGTATTTTTTTGTCGTCTTATTATTCTTAACAAAACGTTCCATGCTGTGTTATATCTAAATATGTATGTGATAATACTGTGATTTTAAAGGGCCAGTCCATTAAATTTCATTTAAGGTTAGAAAACGTAATTTTAGAATATAATAATAGAATCGTTCACTTCAGAATTTGTGGGCTAATTATATTTTATAAAATGCGTTTATTTTAATTTATAAAAAATTATATTTAGATTTAGTGTAAATATTAAAAATAATTTAACTGTAATACTTACAATTAAATGCTTGCATAGAATAAGGGGACGTAGCGCTCGGCCGCACGGCCTCACACCAGTCAAGCTGTCAAAATATTGTTAAAAATTAAAATTGAAAAATTTGAATTTTAAAATGTACTGCCTTATAAGAAATTAAAAAGCGCAACTTTTTTCCTTTATGATTTTTAACAATATTTTGACAGTTTGACTGGTGTGAGGCCGTGCAGCCGAGCGCTACGTCTCCTTATTCTATCCAAGCATTGAATTAATAACAAGAAGCTGATAAGGAAGCAACTATAAATGTCTCAATTAGCATAAAAAACTTTAAATTGATTGTTTTCATTTAAGGACTTAATAGTATTTAGTAAAGCGATATATTAAATTCATTGAACTGACCCTTTTTATAGATTATACTGCCTTCTGCAATAGTCAGAGAAAAAAGACTTAATATTTTAGTTTCATTGTAAAAGGTATGTAAATATAGCGTGTTGTAATGATATGTCCTGCGGACCATTTCTTATTGTGAAACTAATTTTAAGAGAGAAATTCTATAAAAGTTAAATTTACTTTTATAATGTTAAAAACATTTTTGTAATGAAAGAATAAAAAAGAGTTTTATTGAAATTGAGGTCTAAAATTTTTTATTATGTATCAACATTTAGCATAACTTTAAAAAACGTGATTCAGAAGGTGCACTTGCATCTTCAGGATTATAAAAAAATATGACAAACCACATTAAAGTTAATAATAATTGTTATTTTTTGTTGTACAAAGAAGTATACTGTTGTCTTATAATTTTTTAAGCATTGAACTAAACAAAAAAATTAATTACAGTTTTTTCTCGTGTATACTGTATGAATTAATTAAAATAAAATTATTTCTAACCTGCTTAAAGTAGTAACAATTTTCTTTCAAATCGTTGTCGTAATCAAAACATAAATTTTTATCGTTGCGAGTTTCGTTGCAACATTGGTTTCATAGTTCCAACTTTACCCCACAAGTTATTTCTCGCTTTACCCCACTAACAACTTTTCAAAATGTTAATGTATTTTTTAAATAAAGTTAATTTAATACAAAATCAATTTTTAGTCAGGGTATCTACTGAAAACCTAATTTGAAATTCCAGGGCTTTCCAACACACATATACTTTAAAACAGAATTTAAATCAAAATAAGTTTAATTTTGATGCTCATTAAAGAATAATGAAATAAATTTAACCGAATGCAATAAGTGTAACATCTTCAAAAACGTTCAATGTCTGATTTGTAAAAAATCCTAAGCTCAATTCGTAAAAAATTATTTATCAATAAAATTTGAGTACAATAATTCGCTAATTAGGAAAATTGTCAATTTTAAATTTTAAAAATGTTTTTTTTCAACTAATGTAACAGGAAAATTAATTATCAAAATTTATTCCAAATTTTAAACTATTCAAAATTCAATTATTCCACATTGCAATCGATTAAAAATAACGTTATTCCAAATTTTAACCAATTTAAAATTTAATTATTTTTAAGGCCATGTGGGAAAGTCCCACGTGATGAAGTATGGAAAAATAGGGTTTCGTACTTCCAATTATTTGGCGAACCAAATTAATATTTCGGGTTGAAAATGGTGGAAAATGATAGAGCAGAATATACCTGACCGCGCTGTTCTCTGATTCAAGTAAAATTAATTGTAAAAATAGTAAAAAAAAATTCCCGAAAAGTGCACTGTTTCCTATTGAAAGTGACAGGCAACACAAGGCAACATGGCGGCAAAGCATTGACGGCCGGCCGGTCGGGCTCACGTAGGCTGATTGATTGATTGATTGATTGATTGACTGATTGATTGATTGATTGATTGACATATTATAATAATAATAATATTAATAATAATAATTATTATTATTGTTATTATAATTAATTTTAATAATTAATTTTAATTTTGATTACATTGGATCACTCAAATGTTCTAAAAAATATTCCAAAATTTTCTAAAAAAGCATAAAAAATTGTGTTTCAATATTTCAATTGTTTATAATAATAATTGTACATATTTGACAATTACTAATAAATTCTGAACAGGTAAGTCTGCATGCGTTCAAAAATTAATTTTAATATTGATCACATTGGATCACTCAAATGTTCAAAAATTTCAAAAACTTTCTGAAAACATCATAAAAAATTGATTTTTACTATTTCAATTGTTTATTATAATAATTGTAAGTAGTTGACAATTATTAATAAATTCTGAACAGGTAAGTCTGCATGCGTTCAAAAATTAATTTTAATATTGATCACATTGGATCACTCAAATGTTCAAAAAAAATTCTAAAATTTTCTAAAGAAGCATAAAAAATTGTTTTTCAATATTTCAATTGTTTATTACAATAATTGTAAATAGTTGACAATTATTAATAAATTCTGAACAGGTAAGTCTGCATGCGTTCGAAAATTAATTTTAATTTTGATCACATTGGATCACTCAAATGTTCAAAAAAATATTCTAAAATTTTCTAAAAAAGCATAAAAATTTGTTTTTCAATATTTCAATTAATTATTATAATAATTGTAAATATTAAACAATTGTTAATGAATTCTGAACAGGCTAGTCTCCATGTTTTCGAAAATTAATTTTAATTTTGATCACATTGGATCACTCAAATATTAAAAAAAATTAAAAATTTTCTAAAAAAGTTGTAAAAATTTAATTTTGAGTATTTCAATTGTTTATTATAATAATTGTAAATATTAAACAATTGTTAATGAATTCTGAACAGGCAAGTCTCCATGTTTTCGAAAATTAATTTTAATTTTGATCACATTGGATCACTCAAATGTTTAGAAAAAATCAAAACTTTTCTAAAAAAATCCTAAAAATATGATTTTCAATATTTCAATTGTTTGTTATAATAATTGTAAATATTAAACAATAATTAATAAATACTGAACAAGTAAATCTCCAAGCGTTCGAAAATTAATTTTAATTTTGATCACATTAGATCACTCAAATGTTAAAAAAAATCAAAAATTTTCTAAAAAAGTTGTAAAAATTTAATTTTGAGTATTTTAATTGTTTATTATAATAATTGTAAATATTAAACAATTGTTAATGAATTCTGAACAGGCAAGTCTCCATGTTTTCGAAAATTAATTTTAATTTTGATCACATTGGATCACTCAAATGTTTAGAAAAAATCAAAACTTTTCTAAAAAAAATTGTAAAAATTTAATTTTGAGTATTTCAATTGTTTATTATAATAATTGTAAATATTAAACAATTGTTAATGAATTCTGAACAGGCATGTCTCCATGTTTTCGAAAATTAATTTTAATTTTGATCACATTGGATCACTCAAATGTTTAGAAAAAATCAAAACTTTTCTAAAAAAAATTGTAAAAATTTAATTTTGAGTATTTCAATTGTTTATTATAATAATTGTAAATATTAAACAATTACTAATAAATTCTGAACAAGTAAATCTCCAAGCGTTCGAAAATTTATTTTAATTTTGATCACATTGGATCACTCAAATGTTAAAAAAAATCAAAAATTTTCTAAAAAAGTTGTAAAAATTTTATTTTAAGTATTTCAATTGTTTATTATAATAATTGTAAATATTAAACAATTACTAATAATTTCTGACCAAGTAAATTTCCAAGCGTTCGAAAATTAATTTTCATTTTGATCACATTGGATCACTCAAATGTTTAAAGAAAAATTCAAAAACTTTCTGAAATCATCAAAAAAATTTATTTTTCAATATTTCAATTGTTTATTATAATAATTGTAAATATTTGACAATTATTAATAAATTCTGAACAGGTAAGTCGCATGCCTTCGAAAATTAATTTTAATTTTCATCACATTGGATCACTCAAATGTTTAAAAAAATTTCAATAATTTTATTAAAACATCATAAAAATTTGTTTTTTAATATTTCAATTGTTTATTATAATAATTGTAAATATTTGACAATTATTAATAAATTATGAACAGGTAAGTCGCATGCCTTCGAACATTAATTTTAATTTTCATCACATTGGATCACTCAAATGTTAAAAAAAATCAAAAATTTTCTAAAAAAATTGTAAAAATATGTTTTTCAATATTTCAATTGTTTGTTATAATAATTGTAAATATTTACCAAATATTAATAAATTCTGAACAAGTAAATCTCCAAGCGTTCGAAAATTAATTTTAATTTTGATCACATTGGATAACTCAAATGTTAAAAAAGATCAAAAATTTTCTAAAAAAGTTGTAAAAATTTTATTTTGAGTATTTCAATTGTTTATTATAATAATTGTAAATATTTGACAATTAATAATAAATTATGAACAGGTAAGTCGCAAGCTTTCGAAAATTAATTTTAATTTTCATCACATTGGATCACTCAAATGTTTAAAAAAAATTCAAAAACTTTCTGAAAACATCATAAAAAATTGATTTTTACTATTTCAATTGTTTATTATAATAATTGTAAGTAGTTGACAATTATTAATAAATTCTGAACAGGTAAGTCTCCATGCGTTCAAAAATTAATTTTAATATCGATCACATTGGATCACTGAAATGTTCAAAAAAATATTCTAAAATTTTCTAAAAAACATAAAAATTGTTTTTTTAATATTTCAATTGTTTATTACAATAATTGTAAATAGTTGAAAATTATTAATAAATTCTGAACAGGTAAGTCAGCATGCGTTCAAAAATTAATTTTAATTTTTATCACATTGGATCACTATAAAGTTAAAAAAAAAATTCAAAAACTTTCTGAAAACTTCGTAAAAAATTGTTCTTCACTATTTCAATTGTTTATTATAATAATTTTAAATAGTTGACAATTATAAATAAATTCTGAACAGGTAAGTCTCCATGCGTTCGAAAATTAATTTTAATTTTAGAAAATTTTAGAATTTTTTTTGAACATTTGAGTGATCCAATGTGATCAATATTAAAATTAATTTTTGAACGCATGCAGACTTACCTGTTCAGAATTTATTAGTAATTGTCAAATATTTACAATTATTGTAATAAACAATTGAAATATTGAAAAACAAATTTTTATGCTTTTTCAGAAAATTTTAGAATATTTTTTGGAACATTTGATTGATCCAATGTGATTAAAATTAATTTTTGAACGCATGGAGACTTACCTGTCCAGAATTTATTAATAATTGTCAAATATGTACAATTATTATTATAAACAATTGAAATATTGAAACACAATTTTTTATGCTTTTTTAGAAAATTTTGGAATATTTTTTTGAACATTTGAGTGATCCAATGTGATCAATATTAATATTAATTTTCAAACGCATGCAGACTTACCTGTTCAGAATTTATTAATAATTGTCAACTATTTACAATTATTATAATAAACAATTTAAATAGTGAAAAACAACTTTTTATGAGGTTTTCAGAAAGTTTTTGAATTTTTTTTTAACTTTAGAGTGATCCAATGTGATCAAAATTAAAATTAATTTTTGAACATATGGAGACTTACCTGTTCAGAATTTATTAATAATTGTCAACTACTTACAATTATTGTAATAAACAATTGAAATATTGAAAAACAATTTTTTATGCTTTTTTAGAAAATTTTAGAATTTTTTTTGAACATTTGAGTGATCCAATGTGATCAAAATTAAAATTAATTTTCGAACGCTTGGAGATTTACTTGTTCAGAATTTATTAATAATTGTCAACTACTTACAATTACTATAATAAACAATTGAAATATTGAAAAACAATTTTTTATGCTTTTTTAGAAAATTTTAGGATTTTTTTTGAACATTTGAGTGATCCAATGTGATCAATATTAAAATTAATTTTTGAACGCATGCAGACTTACCTGTTCAGAATTTATTAGTAATTGTCAAATATTTACAATTATTGTAATAAACAATTGAAATATTGAAAAACAATTTTTTATGCTTTTTTAGAAAATTTTAGAATATTTTTTTGAACATTTGATTGATCCAATGTGATCAAAATAAAAATTAATTTTTGAACGGATGGAGACTTACCTGTCCAGAATTTATTAATAATTGTCAAATATGTACAATTATTATTATAAACAATTGAAATATTGAAACACAATTTTTTATGCTTTTTTAGAAAATTTTGGAATATTTTTTAGAACATTTGAGTGATCCAATGTAATCAAAATTAAAATTAATTATTAAAATTAATTATAATAACAATAATAATAATTATTATTATTAATATTATTATTATTATTATAATATGTCAATCAATCAATCAATCAATCAGTCAATCAATCAATCAATCAATCAATCAGCCTACGTGAGCCCGACCGGCCGGCCGTCAATGCTTTGCCGCCATGTTGCCTTGTGTTGCCTGTCACTTTCAATAGGAAACAGTGCACTTTTCGGGAATTTTTTTTTACTATTTTTACAATTAATTTTACTTGAATCAGAGAACAGCGCGGTCAGGTATATTCTGCTCTATCATTTTCCACCATTTTCAACCCGAAATATTAATTTGGTTCGCCAAATAATTGGATGTACGAAACCCTATTTTTCCATACTTCATCACGTGGGACTTTCCCACAATATAAATTCAAATATAAATTCAATTATATAAATATTTACATTTTATTAATATTTGATTACAGATGATTATGATTAACGAAGAACATCTCATTATCAATTGACGTTAATTATCATATAGTGTACCAAACATTTCGTTAATTCAATTACTCCAAATTCTAAACAATTCAAAACTTAATTATTGTACAATGTAACCAATTCAGAATTCAAATATTCCAAATGTTACTCAAACATAAATTTAATTACTCCACTTTCCAATCAAATTAAAATTAAATTATTTCCAATCATTTTCAAATAAAGACACAATTGTTCCACCCTGCAATCAATTAAAAAATGAACTTTTTTCAATTTCTTTCGATTCCAAACAGTAACAGTTAATTTTTTGTATTTTTTAAAAATTTTTAAATTATTAAATTTTGACTAATTGGCGTGTTAAATAACTGAGTACATAAATTATCAAAATTTAGAATAATTAGATTGTTAATTGATGGCAAAGCAGATTAATTGAATTTATAATTGATCACAGTTTGGAATAATTGAACTTTTATCCGATTAAAATCAATAACAATTTAATTTTTTATTTTTTAAAATTTGCAATAATTAAAATTTCAATTGACAGAAATTTTTAACAATTGCATTCACCATTTCTTTAAATTTGGAATAATTGAATTTTTAAGTGATTGGAGTGTCAAACAATTGAATGTACAAGAATTGAATTTTTAACTGAAAAAAATGTGAAATAATTGAATTTTTAATTGATTAAAACATAGAATATTTAAGTTTTTCAATGATTGGAGTGTGGAAGAATTGAATTTATAATTGATTAAAATTTGGAGTAATTGATTTCTTAATTTACTAAAATTTGAGTCATCGAGTTTTTAATTAATTGAATTTTGAAAAAACTGAAGTTCTAATTGATTGAAATTTTAAATTAATATTTGGAGTAATTAATTTTATTTGTAATAAATTAAAACTCAAAATTGAAGAAATATAAAGCAGATAAAAAAATTCTCAAAATAGGTGAAATAGGGGACAATTTAATGAAACAGGTGAAATAGGTGACCAAATTTGAAAAAGAAAAAAAAGGTGATAAAATGTCAGCCTGTGATCCCTGATATAATGTAAAATTCAAACCAAATTATTTAAAACTTAAAATTTTCAGGAACAAAAATTAAAATTCCAGAACTTTTCACTAAACTTCAGGACAATTTTTAAAATTCAAGGATATTTCCAGGACTTCCATAACCAGTAGACACCCTGTTACATTCCGATAAACAAACGTTAAATAATAAATATTAATAACTAATTACTTAGAATAAAAATAAAACACACTTTAAACTTACAACATAAAGTAAATTCTGCAAAAACATTTAAAAACCACTTATTTTCTATTTACATTCTTAAATTAAAAAGGTAAATGTGCAGACACGTTTTTCACTGTAAAAAATAGTTTTAGCACACAACAAAAGTTATACAACAGTTTCAATATTTTTAATTAAAGTAAGGCATTGTTTGTTTATCACTTTACCCCACTTCGCACTTTACCCCTCAATCCCATATTGAAAGATACCGGAAAGAATTTCAACGTCTTCTTGTCTCGAATAACATTTCGGCAATAGCGTCCCTCTTAATTTGGGCAGGAAGATTGATTCTCTCATTTTCAAGGGGATCAAGATCATCTTCTTCAATAGGGTCGAGTTCGTTCAAAATCTCCTCGTTTACTTCGTCATCTAGGTCGAGACAAATGTTGTGCAGCACACAACACGCAGCAATGATCAAAGATCCATTTTTGATCTTTTGCAAATATAAATATTGTAATCTGCGACAACGACCTTTCAGCAAACCATATCCCCTTTCGACGACAACTCGATGTTTCGACAGAACCGTATTATAATGTCTTTGTACAGCCGTCATGTTGCCGTAATCTTTATAGGGGACCATTAAAAAAGACTGGACACCATAGGCCGAGTCGCCGAGCATGTGACTGTCACCAGGAAAGTAACGCTCCTTGTCAACTTCAATGGCTTCTTTAATGTCGCTCAAGTTCCAGACACGGGCATCATGAACACTTCCGCAAATGCCAGCATAAATGTTTATAAAACGTAAATTGGCATCGCAAATCCCTTGCAGCAACAAAGAATGAAAGTTCTTTCGACAAAAATAGCTGTCAGGATTTTCTGAGGGAGCACTAATTTGAATGTGGCATCCATCAATGGCCCCAATGACATTAGGAAACCCACTGATTTCCTCAAATTCCTCTTGAACTCTTCGCAGCTCACGTCCTTGTGGCCATCTTATATAATCTCCCGACCTTTCGCACAGCGCGCGGCACACTTTCATGGTGCAACGCCACGCCGTGTTGATGGAAACCCCAAAGCGATCAGCGACAGATCTAAAAGAAATAAATAATAATAAATAATCAGCTGTAAATAATTATTTTTTTTAGAAACAGAAATTGCAAAAATATTTGCAAATCTAAATTCTTTAAATTGAAGTCCATATAATTTTCACACAAATTTTTTCGAGCGATTGTTATTTTGTTCAACTCGAGATTTAACATTTCAGACACTACCTCGATATTAGGAACCTAGAAAAAAAGGTTAAAGATCAAGTTAAACAAAAATATTCCTCAATTTGCAAATATTCAATTTAAAATCGAGAAAATCTCAAAAATAAAATGTCAAATTTTTGAAAAAAAATTTCGATTTTTAAAATTTAACTTTTTTGACACAATCTTGATGTGAGCAAACTAAAAAAAAGGTTTAGGATCAAGTCGAGCAGTAATATTCTCTAAATAGCGTTTTTTTCGATTTTAAATCGGCGAAATGTCCAAAATAAAATTTTAAATTTTGGAAAAAAAATTTCGGTTTTTTGTTTTCAATTTTTTAGAAACTCTCTCGGTATGGGAATCCTAGAAAAAAAGGTTTAGGATCAAGTCGAGCAGTAGTATTCTCTAAATAGCGATTTTTCGATGTTAAATCGGCGAAATGTCCAAAATAAAATGTCAAATTTTGGAAAAAAATTTCAGTTTTTTGGTTTTACTTTTTTAGAAACTCTCTCGATATGGGAAACCTAGAAAAAAGGTTTGGGATCAAGACGAGCAAAAATATTCTTTAAATAGCGAATTTTTGATTTTAAATCGGCGAAATGTCCACAATAAAATGTCAAATTTTTGAAAAAAAATTTCGGTTTTCTAGATTTAATTTTTTAGATACTCCTTCGATATGCGGAACCTAGAAAAAAAGGTTTGGGATCAAGTCGAGCAGTAATATTCACTAAATAGCGATTTTTCGATGGTAAATCGGCGAAATGTCCAAAATAAAAAGTCAAATTTCGGGAAAAAAATTTCGGTTTTTTGTTTTTAATTTTTAAGAAACTCTCTCGATAAGGGGAACCTAGAAAAAAAGGATTGGGATCAAGTCGACCAGTAGTATTCTCTAAATAGCGTTTTTTTCGATTTTAAATCGGCGTAATGTCCACAATAATATATCAAATTTCGAGAAAAAAATTTCGGTTTTTTGTTTTCAATTTTTTAGAAACTCTCTCGATATGGGGAACCTAGAAAAAATGGTTTGGGATCAAGTTGAGCAATAATATTCTTTAAATAGCGAATTTTTGATTTTAAATCGGCGAAATGTCCACAATAAAATGTCAAATTTTGGAAAAAAAATTTCGGTTTTCTAGATTTAATTTTTTAGATACTTTCTCGATATAAGGAACCTAGAAGAAAAGGTTTGGGATCAAGTCGAGCAATGATATTCTCTAAATAGTATTTTTTCGATTTTAAATCGGCAAAATGTCCAAAATAAAATGTCAAATTTTGGGAAAAAATTTTAGTTTTCCAGATTTAAATTTTTAAACAATTCTTTGGTATGGGTAACCTAGAAAAAAATGTTTGGGATCAAGTCGAGCAGTAGTATTCTCTAAATAGCGATTTTTCGATGTTAAATCGGCGAAATGTCCAAAATAAAATGTCAAATTTTGGAAAAAAATTTCAGTTTTTTGGTTTTACTTTTTTAGAAACTCTCTCGATATGGGAAACCTACAAAAAAAGGTTTGGGATCAAGACGAGCAAAAATATTCTTTAAATAGCGAATTTTTGATTTTAAATCGGCGAAATGTTCACAATAAAATGTCAAATTTTGGGAAAAAAATTTCGGTTTTTTGGTTTTAATTTTTTAGAAACTCTCTCGATATTTTGAACTTAGAAAAAAGGTTTGAAATCAAGTCGAGCAAAAGTTTTCTCTAAATTGCGAATAGTGAATTTCAAATTAATTTTAAATTCGGTAAATCTCGAAATTAAAATGTCAAATTTTTGGAAAAAAATTCGGTTTTTTCTTCTCTAGTTTCTGAACCCTGTTTTAATATGGGAAATGAAGAAATAAATGTTTTGGATCAAGTCGAGCAGAAATATTTCTTAAATTGCGATTATTTACTTTGGAGTCAACAAAATCTCTAGATTAAAATGTAATATTTTTGGAAAAAAAACTAAGAATTTGTTATATACTTTTTTAACTTTTTGTCAATATATGGAATAAAGAAATGAATGTTTATGTCAAGTTGAGCAAAAATCTTCCTCAAATAGCGATTTTTCATTTTTAAATTGACGAAAACTCTAAATTTGAATGTCAAGTTTTCAATAAAAGTTGTTTGAAGGATGAAATCTAGAAATTAGCACTAATTGAGGAATTTATTTTAAGAAGCGATATTATTTTTACATGTTGGATTACAAAAGGTAGATCTTGTTTATAATAAAAATTAAAAAATTAAATACTAATCAAATTTACTATAGGCACGATCCTTGTGAGGAAAATCCTCACCTTGTGACTGACTGCGGGTTATTGAATTTAATATATTAACAAATCATACCTGTATACTTCTTGATTGCATAACAACCATACAGCTATGCATAATTGCTTCTCCGGATCTGTGGTTTGTTCTGCATTCCTCCAATCAATCAGCGATGGAGCAAGAGTTTCCAACAAATTTTGAAACGTTCGCCGAGTCATTCGAAAATGTGATTTGAAGTCTGCAAAATTAACAAAAGAATTTCACTTCTATCCATAATATTAAGAAACTTTTATTGAGTAGAAGCAACAGATAAAAATTCAAATTTGTTTAAAAAAAACTTATCATTACATAAATATATTGACTTGAGAATCGAAAATTATTGAAACTTGTAAACAACATAACAGGGCGAAAAAAAATTTTTTTTTCTGTAAAATTGTTTTTTAATTTTTGTATACCCAGACACTATTGAAGGAAATACGAAAATTTTAATTTTTATTCTATTTAAGATATAAAATTAAAAAAAATTTATGAAGATCTTTATAAAAACTATAGCGCAGGGATCGCAGTACCTTTTTTTTATTAAAATAGGGGAAAAAGTGAATAATTTTTTAAAAATAGGTAACCAAAAGGTGACAACAAATTTACTCAAAACACTTCAATACGCTGTCAAAGGCTTTAAATGTGTTTTTTAAAGAATTTCTTTAAAAAATAATTATAATAATTTTTTAATAAAAAAAAATCGTCAATATTAAAACTGAAAAATTTTTTAAGAACGAATCTAACAATAAAATAAATTTTCAAAAATTATTTCGAATTTCAAACACTTTAAAATTCAATTATTCGACATTTCAATCGATTAAAAATTACATTATTCCAAATTTTAACCAATTTAAAACTCAATTATTCTAAATTGTAGTTTAATAAAAAAATTCAATTATTTCATACCAACGTCTATCATAAATGCAATTATTACATCTTCCAATCAATTAAAAACTGAATTATTTAAAGATTCCAATCAATTGAAAATTCTTTTAGTAGAAATGTTACTAAAATATAAATTTAATTATTCCATGTACACTAATCTATTAAACAATATAATTAATTAAAATACTTACCTGATATTGAATATCGTGGAATTATTTCCTCAAAATAACCTCTAATTTTTTCATGCACCTCTTTCGTCATTGCGATTAAAATTTCTTCAGCGTCGTCATCGGCAAAAATTATATTTGGGATTGCACTCAGGACAATTGGGTCGATTAAACCCAAACCAAAAATTTCGGCCATGCTTCAAAAAGCAAATTTTAAAAAAATTCGTTGGATGTTTACAACGCTCTGATCCAACGGATTCACGCTCGGTAGGTTAGAGACCGAGCGTCGAGCCAGAGCACGAGAACTGCCTGAACATAGTCTATTTAGGGGAAAATAAAAAGTTACAACTACTTTTTGGTTACATTTCACCATAAACTGCAGCCTGTATCACAATCACGTCAGGCTCAGTGTGTTTTAGCCAATCAGAATTTACCATTTAATTAATCTATATTTGACATTGTTTGAGAACCCCTTGCTCATTTCAGAGCACTCAGAGTGACAGGATCGAAAACACCCAAGGTCTCGCCACGCGCAGGCAAAAAAAACGTGGAACCAAGCACCAATCAGAATGCGGACGAAGTGACGACCATATTGAAAGTCTAGCCGCGTATTTTTAAATGTGTTTCAAATCCAGAAAATAAGATTGTTATTGTTATTAATATATTTTTATTTTTAATAATAAATATTATTAATTGTTATTATTAATATTAATACGTATAAAATTATTGATAATAATAATAATAATAAATATTACAATAAATAGTAATTAATATTAATAAATTATTATGAATGTTATTTTATTTTTAATAATAATTATTATTTTTAATTATTGTTAATATTAATAAATATAAAGTTATTAATAATAATAATAAATATTGCAATAAATAGTAATTTGATTTTCAAGATTCCAAGCAACCAATATATGTGAATGTTATGTATCAAGTTAATAATAAGTATTTAATAAAAAATATTAATATTTAATAAAGAATTATTTTACTTTTAATTTATTATTCTTTATGTTCTTTAAATTTGTTTCTGTATTTGATTCAAAATTTAGCGCTTCAATATGGTCGTCGCTTCAGGTAATCGCTATGATTGGTCGGCTTTTTTATGGTGCGCGAACCGAGTTAAAATTGAGCCCGACTTTGGCGAGACCTTGTTACTTGGATCATGCTGCAAACTCTCTTTCTCTCTCACCGCGCGGGTCTATTGCCGAGTGCAAGTGGTATGGAAGGAGTGGGGATGAATTCATGTAATGGCGGCGTTGTAAGGATAGGCGGACCCAAGGCGGGCCAATAACATTCCCAAGCGTATCTCTCTCTCTCTCTCTCTCTCTTTTGCGCGATTCGAAAAATGGAAACACGCATAAGGGCATGTCACTGGAACATAAAACGATAAATCGCCTTGGGATCGTCCATATATTACGTAACACTTTTTGGGGGAGGGGGGGTCAAGCTATTTGTTACGATAAGCCAAAAAAATGGCGCTAATGTATGTAACAGCGTGTTACATGGGGGGGGGGTCAAAATTTTCAAAAATTAGCGTTACGTAATATATGGACGGCCCCCTTTGAAATGTATAGTAAATTATTAAATGTTGAGAATTATTTTTAACCTGTTTAAAAAATATTCAACAGGTGTTTGTTTTTAGAATGCATGGAAAACACATTTGAAAGCAATTAAATGAGGCGTTCTAATTAATAATAATAACAATATTATGGAGAAAAATGGTTAGCTATTTCAGCTAATTTTTAGCTACCTTAGCTAACCTTAAATGCTATTATATGGATAGCAATTATTGTTAGCTAACGCTGCTAATAATTAGCCAACTTTTTTTGCTAAAACAGCTAATTATAAGCTATAATAGCAAACTCATTTTTTGTCCTACCTGCACGGAAAGTATGTCATTTCGGGCACTTAGAGCGGGCGCAAAGTGACTCATTCCAACGCAGGGGTAGGGGAAGCGGGCGGAAAATATTTTGCGCCCGCTTACCATCCTCCAAGCGGGCGCAAAATATTTTGCGCCCGCTTCTTCTACCTCCGAGCGGGCGCAAATTATTTTCCGCCCGCTTCTTTCGTTTTAACGGTCATAAAGTAAAGAAAATTTTGCGTTACTTTATTTTTTTCACGTAAAATAGCTAGTTTCGTATACATAATATGTAAAGTACGTATTTTACCCCCCTCTACTCAAAGATACATTGTGTATTAAACATTTTAAGTAAAAAATGCGAGATATTTTACTGTAAAAGGCCACGTAATTTAACTAAAGTATTTTATGTGTCCAACCCTGCTCAACAAACGATGATTCCGATTCCCTGTCTCATAAAGGTCTTTCTCCAATAGGATTCAAAAAGCGGCGTTGCGTTGATTTGCAGACGCAGTAACGTCGGGTTGCTATGGTTACCCATGCTAAAACCATACGTTAGTTACGCATCGCAGCGTATGAGTTTAGGATTCTATTGGAGAACGACCTTAATATCTGGTTCTATTCCCTCCGAAAAACAACGCCGTAGCGTAGCAGACGACTTAGTGTTAACGATATCAAGCACGTTTCTTTTTGTCATTGCTGAAAATTGTCAAAATTCGAAAAAGATGATGGATAATTCAAATGATTCGGATGAAAATGAAGATACTAATTTCCACACACCACCGGAAATTCGCGAACTTGTGAAAGAGGCTCAAAAAGATTTCCTGCCGTCAACTTCAAAGAATAAATATAACAGTGTCTACACAACATTCAAGACCTGGGCCAAATCAAAAAAGGTGACGACTATTACAGAAAATGTTATGTTAGCATATTTGATAGAATTATCTGAAAAGTATAAACCACCAACGGTATGGTCAACATACTCCATGTTAAAATCTACTCTAAAAAACAATGACAATGTTAACATTGCAAGCTTTATGAAAGTTACAAGTTTTCTGAAAAGAAACTCAGATGGTTACAAATCAAAAAAATCGAAGACGTTATCTCCCGAAAATGTTAACATGTTTCTGTCCGAAGCTCCGGATGACATATTTTTGGCTACAAAAGTAAGTAAAAATATATATATCTATAAAAAAGAAAATAAGATAGAAACAAAATAAAACAAAAATTTATATAATCAATAATTATATATAAAAAAAAGTTTAATAAAAATATGTATAATAATTAATAATGCGTGCAAAAATAATTTCATAACTGCACAACAAATCAACAAATTTATTAATTTAATAAATAAAGTTACACGTTAAATAAATAATTGATAAATATAATAATATAAAAATAAATACTTAAAAATAATCATTTCAAAAAAATCATGCATATCATTGTTAAAATCTATAAAATAAAATGCAAATATTTATTTATAAATAAGTACAATATATATTAAAAAGTATAACAATAACAAAAAAATTATAAATTAATTAATTAAATTTTATAAAGTTAAAAATCAATAATACATTAAAAAAATATTAATTAAAAATAATGATTGCTAAAAATGCATGCATATGATTGTAAAATATATAAAATAAAATAAATAACCTTCTATAAATAAATAAAATATATTAAGAAATGCTTTAATAATAAACAAATAAAACAAAAACTACCAATTATATAATAAAAGCTAATTAAAAATTGAAATATTTTTTAGGTTGCTTTAATTTTCGGCATAAGTGGTGCTTGCAGAAGGGAAGAATTATCAAAAATAAAAATGGAAGATGTTCTTCATGAAGGCAATCTGCTTTTAATAAAAATACCAAATACAAAAACCAAAACACCACGATCATTTACTGTGGAAGGAGAATTTCGAGAAATTGTGTCAAAGTACGAATCTCTAAGACCAAAAAATGCTAATTCGAATAAATTTTTCCTTAACTTTCAAAAAGGAAAGTGCACCACCCAAGTTATTGGGAAAAATAAATTCGGTAAAATGCCGAGTGAAATTGCCAAATATTTAGATCTCGAAAATCCTGAATTATATACCGGACATAGCTTTCGAAGGACATCTGCTACATTACTAGCCGATTCTGGTGCGGACATAATCGCTCTTAAACGTCTCGGAGGTTGGAAAACTTCAGCCGTAGCGGAAGGTAAAATTTCATTTTTATTTAAATTAAAATTTGTTTTTCTAGTATTTGACATTTTATTAAAATCCTCCCTATAACTTTTAACGAAACTTTGTTTTCCTATATTTAAAAATTGTTTAAAAATAACTAATTTATATAATAATAAATAAATAAAAATGAACTAATATTCTAAAAAATAAATATATTTCTAGGTTACATTGAAGAATCAACAACATACAAGAGAAAAATTGGAAATCAAATTGAAGCCTCAGTGAATTTAGCCTCATCAAGTGGTTCAAAGCAGATCAAGGAAATTCCATCGAATGAGTCAAATAATAAAAAATCAAATAAACGAAAAATTATCCACGAAATTGCATCAGATATTGACTCTATTTCAACTGCAGCTAGCTCATCAGGGCAAAACACATCAAACAAAGTTCGGAAAACCAATGACATTCATTATTCATCACAAATTAATAATTCTCAAGAATCAAACAATCAATCAATTACATATAACATATCGCACTGCACATTCAACATCTACAAATAAATAATTTGACATTCACACATCTGTATCTTTTGCTCATATTTTCATTATTTTTTATCTCGCCTCGTTAAGTTTTTGTTTCAAAAAACAACAAATATGTATAAAATTTAATTTTTTCTTAACGAAAGTTTATGAATTTTGTTAAACTACAAAACATACCATTCAATGTGTGACATTTAAGTATTGTTTAAAATATTTTCAAAATAAAAATTTTGGTTCAATTTAAGATGTATTTAAAATATTCTTAAAAAACATATAGCCCCATGCTTGTTTCCTTTAAATCTCTTTTTTAACTTTTTATATACAGTTTGTGTCTAAAATGAAATGCTTTTTGTCCAGGTAGGACAAGAAAGTTTGTTCACACCTCGGACGCAAAAAATAATTGAAGCGAGGGCAAGATTAGGTAAATCGAAAAAATCATTAAAAAGAATTCACTGCTCGTGCCCTCAATGACATACTTTCCATGCAGTTAGGACAAAAAATTATGTTAGCATCATGGGCGCAAAGGTGATTACGACTCTGGCGAAATTTCGGGACCTCGGGACACAATTTCGCTCCCTCGGCTTCGCCTCGGGCGCGAAATTGTGTCCCCTCGGTCCCTTCATTTCGCCATCGTCGCAATCACCTGTTTTGCGCCCTTGATACGAAAATAACTATTTCTCAGTGTATTATTTTCAACCAAAGCATGAACTGCGGGAGATTATTAATATGTCTGAACAGCAATTATTTTAATTTCAATTTGAATAAATTATTATTAAATTGAAATTAATCCTAAAGTCACAGTTATTTTTAATTTGTTACCGAATTGCAGAATGTGAGAATTTTCTCGTAAAAGAATATAGTAAAAACATAATGTTGAAAAAATTTAAAATGGTTGAATCTTTAGAAAATAAGTAATTTTGCTTAAAAGAATATGTAAATGAATTTTTGTTAAAAAGAAATATAGTCACTTGAAAGAATTTCTACTTGTTTAAACTTTTATCAAGTATAAAATATTTATTTAATTAAAATTTTTTAAACATACTTGATAAAAGTTTAAACATCAAGTATAGAAAATCTTGCAAGTGACTACTTTTTTAACAAAAATTATTCATTTACATCAAATTTCTTTGCGAAGCAAAATTACTCATTTTTTAAAGTTTTAACCATTTTCAATTTTTTCAACTTATTCATGTTATATGTTTTTATTATTCTTGTACGAGAAATTTCTCACATTCTGCATTATTTCGTTTGTAAATTAAAAATAACTGAATTATAAATACGCAGCTGCGTATTAGCACCGTAAATTAAAACTTGCTTGCAAAATTGCTTTTAAATCGGTTAAAATTTGTAATTAAGAAATGAAAAGTAGATTTTTCAAGAAATTATATAGAAAAATGTTGTTAATTTTTCGTCACAGTTTCAAATACTAAAATTCAACACGGCGGAGAACAGTTTAAAAAAAACACATTTGTTTAAATGAAGGGCTACATAAAATAAGGGGACGAACGCGAGACTTGGAAGGGATAGTACCAGTCGGGTAGCAGTGACAAGCCTTGAGCCGCTCGCTGCTACCTAACTGATATTATCCCTTTCAACCACGCGTTCGTCCCCTTATTTTATGTAGCCCTTCAAATACTCGTAAAGCCAAAATTTGCTTGCACAATTCCCAAAAAAAAAAAAAAATTGGATAGAATTTGCAATTTTTAAAAAAAAGTCAAATTTTTAAGAAATTGGAAAAAGTTGACAATTATTTTTCATTTCGGATTACCGAAAACATTTTAATGAATAAATTAAAAAGTAAAAACTGTTTCAAGGAAGTAAATATAAAGCTTAAAGTTTGTAATTTTTGTTTGACCGTATTAATTAATTTGTTGAGAAATGAGAAGGTCTAGATAATAAATAAATAATAATAAAATAAAGCTTAAAGCTTCTCCGTCCCATGTAATAAGCGTGTAAAAACGTCAAAGCGTTCAAGCGTTGTCGTTCAAGTATAATGATGTGAGTGAGCGAGACAGTGACCTTTTTACGCCAACAAGGAGAATGAGTTGAACAAGGATAAACATAATATACCTATCCTTCTCCAACTCATTCTTCAGTATACGATTATAACGCTTTTGGTTCACATTTGTGACTGCACCCTTACTCTGCTCCGATAACTGAGGGTGCGATCCCATGTGAGCAGAATACGCCGACCGAAAGCAGAATATCACAAGAGTGAAAAGAACAACAATATCTACCTATCTCTTTTGCACTCATAATTTTTTGCTTTCGGTCGACGTATTCTGCTCACATGGGACTGCGGCCTGAGGGTACGTTCACACGACTTTTGGAAAAACCATTCTTGTCTTTCTCTCTCTCTCTCTCTCTCTCCTATAATAGAGGCATAAAGTTTGTCTCACTCTACATTTTCTTACTTTTTCCAAATACAGAAAATATGGAGTGAGGGAGCATTTACACCTTTGGTAAAAATTACCAGAACGGAAAATTTTTCATTAAAGTAAGAAAGACAGACTGTGTATCTGACTCTCTTACTCCAATGCAAATTTTCCTTTCTGGACAATTTTTACAAAAGGTGTAAACGCTCCATGAGACAAACTTATGCTTCTGTCATCGTAGAAGAGAGAAAGACAAGAGCTGTTTTTCCAAAAGTCGTGTGAACGTACCCTTAAGGTTTCGTCACGTGTTAAGACGCTTACACAACTCTACTGCCTGCAGGTTGTCATGGTATGTAATAAACAACCCATAAGAGTAAGAGAGGCGGAAAATTCAAATTAAATGTTTTTTCTCGTTTACTCTCGTTGCGCAGCTTTGGTCTGGAAAAAGTTTCCGATCCGTATTTTGTTACGTGACGATCACGTTCCGTTCAAGGTGCTATTGTGGACTCAACCTCAAGGCCTACGCAGAATAGAATCTTTAAGGGAGCGCTTACACCTTCGGTAACCACAGAACGGGAAATTTTTACCAAAGGTGTAAATGCTCCCTAACCGGAACCGCAATCGTAACCGTAAGCGTAAGAATGAGTTAGAGAAGGATAAACAATATACCTATCCTTCTTTAACTCATTCTTACGGTTACGTTAACGATTGCGGTTCCGCGGTTACAGATCATCTATTCTGCGTTGGCCTTTTAGCAGAAACAGGTTTCCTCTCTTTGCCTCGTGGCGCGTAGGCGCTTCCGTACGCCTGCCTGCAGGTTGTCATGGTAACGTACAAGAATAAGAGAGTCACTGGACTTCAAACTTCTCCCTTACTCTCGTTGCTCCTGCCTGCGCAGGCAGGCAGCCTGCAGAGGTGTAACCGCAGCCTTAAATGCATATTAGATCAAAGTGTGGACTCTACCATAAAGCAATCAAGTTGCTTCTTTTCTCCTCTATACTCTATTTAAATATTTAATGTCACTTTAATAATTTGGGGTGCTACTCTCTGTACCAAAAACATAAGTTCGAATGCTCATTATGCCGAATTTACAATTTAGAAATGACCAGATACGCGAATCCTCAATAACCTAAATTGTATATTGAATGAAATTCAAAAGTAGGGAATAATCATTTGATATATTCTGCATATGGAGAATATTATTTTAAACTAATTCTTTTTTTCCACAATTTGAAATTATTGCAATTTTTATTTTTGGAATTTCCACTTTACCTACATTTTAATAGATCGAAACGTAAAATATCAGAATTGACATTTAATTGAAATATGATGGAGAATAAATATATATTCACTGAATAAAAAGATTAAATAATTATTAAATGTTTGAATTTAATAAAAACATATTGTTCAAAAGTTACAGTGCGAATTGTACAGAATATATATTAATAAGAAATATAATTTGGCAGAATGTCGATTCGATCGATTTTATATTTGCAAGAAATTCAATTTGACAGAATATCAATTTATAAGAAACACGTTTTCGTAGAACTTTAACTTGTCAGAATTGTAATTTTGTAGAATATTAATATTGGCAAATCTAATTTTGGTAGAAATCTGCTTTATCAGAATGATCACATGTTCGAATCCTCAAAAGTTAGAATTCCATTTTTACCGAAAATGGATTCCACATAAATATTTGGCGCAAATTTTAAAATTCTGATTTCTGATTGGTCGATTTTAAAATTTGCGCCAAATATTTATGTGGAATCCATTTTCGGTAAAAATGGAATTCTAACTTTTGAGGATTCGAACATGTGATCATTCTGATAAAGCAGATTTCTACCAAAATTAGATTTGCCAATATTAATATTCTACAAAATTACAATTCTGACAAGTTAAAGTTCTACGAAAACGTGTTTCTTATAAATTGATATTCTGTCAAATTGAATTTCTTGCAAATATAAAATCGATCGAATCGACATTCTGCCAAATTATATTTCTTATTAATATATATTCTGTACAATTCGCACTGTAACTTTTGAACAATATGTTTTTATTAAATTCAAACATTTAATAATTATTTAATCTTTTTATTCAGTGAATATATATTTATTCTCCATCATATTTCAATTAAATGTCAATTCTGATATTTTACGTTTCGATCTATTAAAATGTAGGTAAAGTGGAAATTCCAAAAATAAAAATTGCAATAATTTCAAATTGTGGAAAAAAAGAATTAGTTTAAAATAATATTCTCCATATGCAGAATATATCAAATGATTATTCCCTACTTTTGAATTTCATTCAATATACAATTTAGGTTATTGAGGATTCGCGTATCTGGTCATTTCTAAATTGTAAATTCGGCATAATGAGCATTCGAACTTATGTTTTTGGTACAGAAGGTAGCACCCCAATAATTTTCAACTTTCTTGAATGTTGGTGGTGTGTAAACAACAACAGTTTAGTTTCGGAAAATTAATTTTATTTGCTTACAACTCGAGAAGAAGAAGTAAGGACGTATTTTATTAGTAGTTTCATTGAAGCAAATTTGTTGTTGTTTTCTATAATGAATTGTCAAGAAGAGAATAGTTTAGCGGAAAAATCGATGGAACAATATGATGATGATAATTCTGTAACTATGATTGATGTTCTACAAGAGGAGAATCAACTGGAAGAAGACGCGAATGCTGTTTTAGGACCAGCTGATGACAAAAACTGCACTTATAGTCAAGTATTAAGTTTTTATTAATTTAATTTTACTATAATCAATACAAATTATAAATTGAGATGTTTCAAAAGTAATAAATATGAGAAAGTAGTACAACAAATTGTGTGTGTGTAATAAAATTTTCTTTTTCAAATTATTTCTCTCAAGTATTTAAAAAGAATAATACCTATATTGAAAAGAAAGATTTCATTCATTTGCATATTTCTTTAGGTATAAAACTTGAAAAACATGTGCCATTTATTATATTTATTTATTAAAATTATGCACCACTATTTCAACTATTAGGATATACAGAGAGAGAGATTGCTTTTTTTTTTTACACTTCGAATTGGAATTAACAAAAATAATTTTATTTAGGGTTACATAAGGCAAGCACTTTATGCTTGCAAAACTTGTTGTTCTACTGGCGGAACACGAGCTGGAGTTTGTTTGGCTTGTAGTTTACATTGTCATGAAGGTCATGAATTGATTGAATTGTATACTAAAAGACATTTTAAATGTGATTGTGGAAATTCAAAATTTGCCAATAATAAATGCAGTTTATATCCGGTAAGTTAATTCATAAAAGAAAAAACATTATTTATTGTAAAGAAAATTTGAATGTATCTAAATTAATTTGGTAATTGTGTGTGTGTGTGTAGGTAAAGTCGAATTTGAATGAAGAAAATAAGTATAATCAAAATTTTGATGGTGTTTATTGTACTTGTATGAGACCTTATCCAGATCCTGAAGGATTAGATAATGATGAGATGTTACAATGTACAATTTGCGAAGATTGGTATCATTCCAAAGTAAGAGAATATAAAGAAGAGAAATTACTTGCAATCAACTATTTAAATTCAGTCCATATTAATGATTGTTTTTTTTTTTCCTTTTTATATTCAGCATCTTGGACGCTGTAAGCCCGAAGAAAATTCATATGATGAAATGGTTTGCGACATTTGTATGACAAAAACTCCCTTTTTATGGAATTATGCGCCAAAATTGTCAGGTAGTACTCTATCAATAATTTTGTAATTATTTTTAAAAAAGTTTTTTTAAATCTATAAAAAAGTTGAATTTTTTCAGTAACCAAAAATAATGATATTGATGAAACAATAACAAATGAAGAAAAAGTTGAAGTGGAGGAGGTAACTTTAAATAAATGTATGAAACCATCATCATCATCATCAACAATCACATCTAAAAAAGAAGAAGGATGTTGTTTCTGGAAAGAGGGTTGGAGATCTTCTTTATGCACTTGCGAAGAATGCAAAATGGTAATTGAATTGTATAGTAAATTACTTGCGCGCGCGCGCGCGCGATTGACTTTGTTTTTATTAAAATTATTCCATTTTTTAGGTCTATGTGGAAAACAAAGTCGAGTTTTTAATAGATAAAGAAGACAGTGTACAAGTGTACGAAGAATCGGGTAAAATAAAGAATAGAGAGTCACATTATGAGATGGGAATGAAAGCCTTGGCTTCTCTGGATCATGTACAACAGGTCACTGTAATTGAAGGTAGATATAATGATGATAATAATGAAACAAAGGAAATTTTCCATTCAACACATATATATTTAATCAACTTTTTAAAAATTATTATAGAATACAACAACATGAAAGAAAGATTAAAAGAATATCTACAAAAGTTTGCAGACAATAAGAAGGTTGTTCGAGCAGAGGATATTCAAGAGTTTTTTTCTGAAATGGAACCACCAAATAAACGTCAAAAAATTGTAGTACAAAAATTCTGCCGATGAAAAAATAAGGACATTTAAAACAAAAAAAATTTTATACACAATTTTTTGTTTGCGAAATACGACAAATTTAAACAAATATTCAATTATTTAAAAATTTCAAATTAACCGTAAATTATAAAATGACACAAACTGTTTACGCTTTTTAAAAGATTTTAGAAATAAAATATTCATGTATAATCTATAGTATTTTTTTAAAAAATAAAATTGAAATTTTTCATTACGTCAAAATAATATACTGCCTCCTCTTTATTGTTGTGATTTGGGTAAACTTTTTAAATTTTCTCCTTGCAATATATTTCTTAAATCTTTTTTTGATCGAAATATTTAAAAAAAAAAAAAAAATGACAATCTCAATCTCAATTGCACGCAGTGGTAGCAATAATAAAAGAGAGAACAATTTTCTTAATTATAATACTTTAGTGTAATTTTTATTTTTTCTAATAGCCATACAACTTTTTTTCTACATATACACACACACATAATGTATTTGAAATGTATTTATTATTAAATTAAATTGCAATAATATATACGTTAAAGGACTTTTCGCACTATATGAATATTAAAAATAATGTCTCCTTTATATTATTATTGTGTGCTAGTCGTCGCTTATTATACTTTTTTTCTTATTCAGCTGAAGCTGCATAACTAATATAGGCTCATTGCAACTTGGTTTATCTGTGTAAATGGACCATGTCTTCTCAATACAGTTGAAGATTCCTGCGCGACAATGTTTTTTTTTTGAATCAAGTATATGTATAATGGAATATTGTCTAAAATAAAAAATCAATTCAAGAGATGAAATACTCACCAACGGCAATAGTTTTAACATAATCTTGTGGTCCAAATTCTTGAAATACTCTATATTCATTATCTGTTTGATCACTCAAGATATTAATGACGTCTTGATAATTTTTTGGTGGAGAGTGTTTTTGTATTGCTGCCATTCTATGTATACTGCTGTCTATTATCACGCCTTCAACTTCGGGTACTTTTAGTCGCATATACCTAAAAAAAAAAAAAAAGAAGAAGGAAAATCATTATGATATCTTTAACAACAATGAATTAATTTTTTTTTTTTTTTTGATGAAAACTTTTACTATTCGTAAAATAGCTTTTTTTCTATTATATTGCGCACACGCTCTCTCTATATATTAAAAACGATCAAGTTTGTATATAATTTTAATGAGAGTGATATATTATTTTATCGAATGGAGCAGCCAATTACTTGTTGCAATGATAAATAGTTTCCCCAGGACTAGCTGTTAATATGGAAAGTTGTGATTGTACTGAATCAGCACCACTTTCGACAGGTCCAACTTCGGCATTATGAAACATCCTATCCCCTTCTTGAAGAAGAAAGGTCATATTCACTGAAAACCCTTCGGCTGCACCGTAACCATAATTTCTTAAAGTTTGTTGCGCTTGAACGAAATTTTCAACTCCAAGAAGAGATCGAGATATAAAATAACGAGCTAAAACGACCAAGTATTTGATAATTTAAAAAAAAATTCTTTAATTTACATTATAAAAATTACGCAATAACTTACGAGTTTTGCCTGATCTAAGGGTTTTTGCACTAAGAGTATTGATACTATATACGAGACCATGATGATTGTAACCCATTGTGTAGCCTGGTAAAAATCCAGCATAACTAAGAGAAGTAAATTTCTCTTCCTTGAAACCAGATTCAATAATGTGAGCATCCACTAAATACCAATGATTTAGTGTTTCACTCAAAGCATCCTCATTGTGGCCTAAAATCTCCTGTAAAATATTATTATTATTATTATAATTCTTTAAACCATATTTATTATATTGCAATTTTTTTTTTCTTTTATTCTTCTTTTCGCAATTTTTTTCACACAATTTGACAAAAAAAAAAAAAAAAAATTAAAATGCCATGCCTAAAAATTAAACATGAAAATGTTTGATTAGAGTCGCAAAAAACAATATTTTACACTATATGTGACGCTCCACGAGAAAAGGGACCTTATGACAAGAGTAAATAAGGTCCCTTTTCTCGTGGAGCGTCACATATAGTTTTAAATTGAAATAATCTCGCGCGCTCGCGGTGCGCGAAAGACAATTTATTATTAAAACTATAAGCTGCAGTTTTATATAAAAACCTGTCCAGGTTGATTGCAAATTATTGAAGAACAGCCTACAGGTTCTTTAACTCCCTGTTTGCCTTCCACCACATTTGGCAGAATATCATCCAGATGCATTAAAAATAGCTGAAATTAATATTAACATCTCTCTTTTTCATCAAATCTCAATTGTTTTAATTTATGTTTTAATTTTTCTAACTAAATACACATTCTTATTGTTATGCAACTTTCAAGTTCTCACTACGTGACTTTTATACAAATTAAATTAGGCACTATATGGTTACCTTATAAAATGGCACTTGAGCGCCATTTGCAGTTCCTTCTATTTCCTTGATATAATGAGGAAATTGTTCTTCAACACATGCCAAAGTTTCATCATAAACTTTTTTCCCATCTATACTTTCATATAAAGGTAAATATGTGTCGTTTAAAGGACAATAGTTTTCCACGTAATCATGAATAAGCTTGGCAAATGTGCGCCCCTATAAAATAATGCGAAAAACATATATTAAATAATTTTTAAAATTACGTGGAAAAATATTATACACAAGTAGAAAGTAACATAATAATTATATATTCTATTATAGGCCAAACAATCAGATCTTTATAAACGTAATATATGTATGGCTTTATAAATTTCTTTTAGTGTAACATATATATATATATATATATATATTATACATTATCAGGGTCGCCGCTATACTCATGTATTAATAACATAATTAAATGTTTCAAATATAATAAAAAAATTTTTTTTTTTTGAATAATTTTATAAAATTTAATTGAAAATAATTAATTTATTTCATATGTATTTTGTTAGAACAATTTTTGAAAATCAACTTTTTTGAAGAATTTTAATTCGAAATTTGGAAAATAATTGAATTATAAAAAATTTTAATGAAATATCTTTAATTTAAAAACGAAAATTAATGAAAATTAACTTTTAATTTTTTAAAATTCAATATTTTCAGTATATTTTTAAAATTAGGTACATATTTCCAAAAATTCAAATACATACAAAACTAATAACAATTTAGAATGATTTTTAACATTTTGGAGAAAACGCAATCATGTTCAAAATTTTTAATTAAAATTCATCAAAAATTATCTAGTTTTTTTAAATTATGCAAAATGGTCCTGTTTATAATTAAAATAATTCTTCAAAAATTAAATTATTTTAAAAAGATTTTATCAAATTTTAATTGTTTGAAAATTTTTCAAAATTGTAAAACTATTATCTACTTTCTAAAATTATTTAAAAATATTTTTAAAAAATTAATTGTAAGAATTTCTTTATAATTTTTAGGGTTCCGTACACCTACGGTGTATCGGCGGAACCCTATTGGTGAGACTCTGTTGTCCGTAGCCAAATCGTGTCCCCCCCCCCTAGCGGCTAAACTATTTGACCTAGAGAGCTCAAATTTGGTACAGATATGTATTTTCACACGTAGATTACAGGAAAAATATAGAGAATGTGTTTGGAGATGATGGTCATAGCGTTGTCAAGGAAATAACAAGATTTTTGGCCAAAAATGCATAAAAAGTGACCATCCCCCCCCCCTTAACTTCTAAACTATTCAACATGGAGGGCTAAAATTTGGCATACTGGTGTATTTTATCGTGAATATTACAGGAAAAATATAGAGAACTTGCTATGTATTAATGTCCATAGCGTTGTCAAGGAAAAACTAAAAAAAATTTTGAAATTTTTTTTTTTCTGCCATTGCAGTGCGAGTTCAACTCGCACTTGTCCAATTTTTTTGAAAATATTATACCTTATTAACTTAAAAAAATTCTATGCGGAGAGATACACAGTTTTTATAAAAAAATTGAGTTTTTGTATTTAATAAATAATAATTGAATTCTAGAACAATTTTTGAAAAATTATTTAATAAATTGATGATTGATTCAAAGATGAAGGTTAGTTGAAAATTGTAGAAAATATAATTGAATTCAAGAAGGGTTATAATTGTAATTTTTAGAAATTATTAAAACTTATAAATTTTACTCATTTTGCGTATAAATATTGTAAAGGGGGATAACATTTTTATACACAGCGATGTATACATTATTCTACAATTTTGATGCAAACTCTTGAAAATTATGTTTATTTAAATAAAAGAAAAATATAAAAACACAAAAATTTATAACATATAGTATAACAGTTGCGGTATACGCATAGAAAAGCCGCACTTTTGCGCAACACATGCGACAAGGATTTTTAAGCTTAATAACAATATATTTATTTGAAAAAAGACTTGAAACATTTCAATTTTATAGCGTAAAAAGTAAAAAATTATCTTTTTTTCATCCTGCACTTTAATTCAAGTATTAAAAGTTCTGAAAACAAATAATACTGTTATTATGTAATATGCGCATATTGAAAGATAAATTTTCCTGTTTGAGAAGAAGGAAAAATTAAATCAACCTCGCAGTTGATTAAAAATTTGAATGCATAAATTACGTAACTTAAATTATTACAATTTCTTAAAACATATGTTATTGTCAGTGTTTAGAAATAAAAATCAGACTCGAAAAATATTCTCGCGTTTTATATATTCGCCTTTATAGGTGAAATATATACGCTTCTTTTTTTTTTAAACATGAATATTACTAAATTGTTGCAGTTTAAGGGGGCTTTTCTTTTTGGTACAGAATTAGTAAAAAAAAAAAAAAGTCTATTTTTAAAAATATGTATTATAGTTATTGCAAAAGTTTCTTTTAAACATTATGCTATACATATATATATATATATATATATATATATATATTACAAGAAGAGAATGGAAAAAATTTTATATACATACGTTTTTCACAAAAAATCGCAAAAATGCTGTGTTTGTGGGTCAATTAAATCGAATCGAATGGTGCATATTTTGAAAAAAATGTTACAACATTTTTTTTCTTTTGCATACGCCTTTATAAAAATCTTTTGGGACAGTAATTTTATGATATGGTATTAAGAAACATTTTATAATGTAAAGAAAAGGAAAATCAATTTTTTTATCATTCATCACATGCACACTTTTCTTAAATCATATTCACCTGCTGCTGCTTTAATATAAACAGAAAAATTTCAAATTTATTTACCAATTAATCTTCAAAAAATAGACATCTACTTACTATGTCAAAACCGATTTCATAATGCGTTCCTCTCACGTAAATAATTGGAACTGCATTCCTTCTGCCAATTTCTTTGAATTTGTCCATATCATTTGAAGATTGAATTGTATTCATAATTTTATTTAAACGAAAATCTTTATCTATTTGCGCTAAATTATACATTAAATTATCTTTGATGATTGTGCTCCAATGTAAAAAAATTAATTGAATTATGTACTTTATTATTATTATTATTAAAAAAGAAAAGTTATACTTTATTGATTAATAATATATTTTTGTGCGTTTTCTTTTAAAAACTTTTTAAAAGATGACAATAAGTATCATTAGAAATAATTTCAAACAAAAGAAATTGTTTTTCATTTTTAACTTGAATTTTTTATATAATAACTTTAAAAAATGATTATACAAATTTTATTATAAGCCATTGACTTACTGCGCGCGTACTGTCCAAAATGCAATTATTATATAATTTTATTTTATAAAAAAAATTCAAAATTGTTATCAAGTAATTAATGAAGTGACAGAAGATTAGAAAAAGTATAATTAACAAAAATTTTTTTTACATGAAGCAAAAGAATTTCGAAGAGGAAGACTAACAACAACAATGCAAGACTAAACCTAGACTAAAAGTATATACCTGGTTGGAGGTTGAATAGGTGACTAGATCAGCTACTTATCGACTTACATAGGTTGTGATATAGCCTCTCATTTACGCATATGTATCATATGTACATTGTTTAACTATATTAGTCTACTTGGAAATATTATATGTATGTATGCATTTTAGTGAAATATTTACTGTTTTATATGATTATACTATATATATATATACATATTCTCATAGACTTGTAATACCATAATATAAAAAAATCATCAACTTGGAACAATCATCTCATTCTGAATTATGTCACTACAGATTATAATCAATTATTATAAGAGGTATACGCAGAGGCACAATATTTATAATAATGACGATTATAATTGCATTTCCATAATTGTAACTATATGTGATTTTATATATATATAGGTATTGTAATATGAAGGTTATTATTGATATATTTGTTCTTATTTTTTAAATAAATAAATATAATAAGAAATGAAAAATCCTGTAAAGTTAAAATGGAAATTTTCGTGTCCATTAATTCTTCAATACTTTCATGGAGATTTTTTTTTACAAGTATTATAAATAATTGTACAATAAAATTTCCATAAACATTATCATGTAAAAATTTTTCTTTTTTAATTTTAAGCTCTAAAGAGCATAAATGTTCAATAACATATAGATCAGAAAATGCATCCTTAAAATCTCGGCAAAATTAATCAAACATACAACATACTTATGTCAATAAATTTCTTAAATATACTATAAAAGATTAAAATTTTTTTTTTTTAGAATTATGAAAAGTGAAAAGAAACATTGAAAACTCGATGCGGTTTATAATCAAAGATTTATAAACAATAGATATATAGATATATAGTTATTATAGTTATGTGTATGTCTGTCTTGCATTAATTTTTGATTCCCGCTTGGATCAGATATATATACTTTTTTTTGGCCCCTTGAAATAATCTATACTCAGATCGGGATACAGATCGCGTCCTCATCTCCTTTTATTCAATAAGAACACATGCTATATATTATATCTATATATTAGAATCAACTGCTTGCAAAAAGTGATGAAAATGCTATCGATAGCATTTTCATTACTTTTAATTTATACGACTTTAATTCTTTCTAGTTATTTAATTTTCCAATCATCAGATAACTTGTTTTTCGCATTTTAATAAGAAGAGTTCTGCGGTCACAATAGCGGAGCTTTGTGGATCTGCTTTATTACGCAACTTTTATAGCGCGCGGTTGAAATGTAACAAGTCTCATTACTTTTTTTTTTCTTTTATTTAATTAAAACCAGATTTTATTTTACATTTAATTTGCTGAAATAATTTTTCATAGAATTATTTTCATATTATAGTAAAATTTAGGAATAAAAGAATTTGAAAGTTATGCTGTTTGTATAGTTTTTGTAAAATTTGAAAATTTAATTATATATACTATGTACATAAGAATGCAATGATTTTAATAAATTTGATTATCATCGCGTGTGTGATAGGTATATAATTCAAAGTGCACTTTACATTCTTATATTAAATGATGGTGATGTAAATCAAAAAGCTATATTTATCGTATTTTTTATTTTATTTTATCAGAGTTGTTTTAATTAAAATATTTATAATTCAATTGAATATATTATTAATTATATTTCGAATTATTGATATAGGTTTTGGTTTGCATAATATTATAATTTTAGAATTGGAAAAAGGAGCAAACAGATCCTCAAATTAAGGTTATTTTTTGTAAATAAAAATAAAACTAATTATTGATATACCTCATTGAAATTAATTATTATTTTGTTATAAGGCAACATTGCCTAGAAATGTTATAATATATAAAAATATAATAATAATTATAAACTATGCTCTCTAAATCTGAAATAGCAACATCTATACAATTCCAATTAGCGTATATAATATATACTCTATGAATTAGTGAAATTTCACTGATTATTTTGCGTATATACGGTTTTTGGAATCGTATAGTTGTATATGTACTTATCGCTGGGATTTGGTGAAATTTCGATAATTCAGATTTAGAGAGTAATAATTTTATAATTATTATGTTCTCACATGGCGGACATGGGCAATGTTGCGTCACCATATTGCCATATATGGAACATTGTCACATTATTGAACTCAAATGATATGTGCGTGTGCGCTATTTGGGAATGTGCAGAAATTTTCTCTTTTCGAACCATCATCACTGCATGCAAACTCAAGTTGTTTCAGCAAAAGGCCTATAGATAGTTTTGTTAATTATTTATCCGACATTGTTATACAGTTGAAAAATTTTAAATTTACTTTTTAAAAAGTAGAGCAATATTTTCATACAACTTTTGTAATTACAAAAAATCAAAATAAAAAATGTTCACCAATATTATTTTTGTTAGAAAGGACGCAAAATATTAAAATGTACATATTCATAATAATGTAATTGACCAAAAGAAAGAATTTATTTCCATAAAATGTAACACGCAAAGATTAGAGTGTACATATAAAGTTACAAATCTTGTTGTTCTAAAAATATCATGTTTTTACACTATATCTTGATACTATATAGTGATAAGATGCCAGTCATATTAATTTGCAATTTAACTGTTGAAATGTGATGAAGACAAGTTTATATCTATTGATGCGTAAAACACTTTCAAAAGATTAATAATTATCAATCTAAATCTCGATAATCAAAGAGTATAAAGAAGAAAGGTTTCTTCTGCATGAAACCCTGCAAGTATGGCCTTGTCGTTGCGCCGGCTTCTATGCTATAAAAGAATGTTATATATATATTTATTTTTGCAACTTGAAAACAATCAGAAAGGAAAAAATCAACCATATTGACGCAAGTTATTAAATTTTGCTTTTTATTTTTTTTTTTTTAGTTTTATACGTATATACATTACTAAATTTATGCATCATTTATATATACAAGAAGAGAATGTAAAGATAAAAATTTTCAAAAAAATGTTTTTTATAATTTAAACAAATTTATTTTTAACATTTCTTTAAATATCCCATTTGTGCAATCGAATTGAATTAATTTTTTACTACAATATTGTAAAAAATGTTCAAGTAGGAACAAAAAGAATAATATTTTTATAAATATATGTGTCGTATTTTTAATAGAGTTATTATAATACCATTATAATTATCACAAATGTCCATTTTATATGTACCTGTTTCATTAACTAAAATTAAATTTTTATGTCCGCTTGGAGGATAAAATGTTACTATATAATACTAATTTCGTCGAATCATCATTATTGGTTTCAACATTTTTTTTTAATAAATGAAGAAACTGAAAATTTTCACTACAATGAATATTTTTTCTCCAAAAAAATTCGAGATTCTATTTACAAAATTATAATCACCTTAATGAAATTTGAAAAAAAATTATTCAAGTAGACTAAAGTTTACAACCTTCAATTTTTATTATGTATTGTATTGAAAATTAATAAAGCATCAATTATAAAATAGTATTTGATAATTTAAGTAGGAAACTGTAGATGAAAATGACTAATTATAAATATTTTGTTTATACGCTTATATAATTAAAGTTATTTAAAATCGTTTCAAACATTTTTTATATTAAAAAATGAAAACTAATTATCTTTGTATATACTTTCTTAACAACATGAAATGTCTTTAAATAATTTAACTGAAACAAAAACAGTCTTTTGTAGTTCTTCTTCTTTTACATCCCAAGTTGATTTTTTAAAAGGATCTCAAAACTCTGTAGAGATTCTTAGTTGATTTTTCCTAACAAGTAGTTGTATTTTTCGCTTTTTGAGCTGCAATGCGTTGACTACGACGCAAAGTTCGCGGTTGAGATGATTCTATATCACTACTATCTTCCTCACAATCTGGAAAATCTAGGGAAACTGATTTACCACTGTATCGCCATCTTCCTATTCCTCCATCCCACTAATTTGAGAAAATAAAATATGTATATAATGAGAATATACACTTTTCTACAATTTAATTTGAATTTAATTTAAACTGTTTCAAATTTATCCAATTGAGATTCACACACACTGAAAAAAGTGCTGTTGAATCAAATAGCTCTATGCTATTGAATTTCCCGTCATTAATTCATCAACACGTTTATTAGTCGAAAAGTATATTGCTTAAAACGAAAAAATGAAACTATTTAAATTAAAAGTATGCTACTGTAGAATTAATGATATTAGGCAAATTGTTTCTGTAGTTTATCTATATACAGCAACATAATAATTTATTGCTTCTTTGACATTTTTCATTTGAAGCATCCAATAGATAAATTTGAAGAAAATGCATGTAAATTTAAATCAAATGAAAAATTTTTTGCTCTAAAGAAGCGTGCTCTGGAAAACGAAAGCATATATGCTTTCGTTTCAATGAGTGATGCTATTGCGGGCTGCCTATAGCATATGCTATAAAAATAAGAACACTATGTATTTGAGACATTGACAGGTACTAAACTTATTGAAATACTTACGCTCTTGAGATGTCAATATAAAAAAGCATAGGTAATTCTTTTAATTAATTAACTACTAATTAAATGTAAATTGCTTTACATACTTATAATTATGAGAAAAATCTCGAGCACGGTATTTAACTACAAAGTAAGCGCTCAATGTTGTCTTATAAAGGTGTGAGAATTAATTATAGTACATAAAAAATATGTGAACCAAAATTTCCTTTTTTCAATTTATCGTTGTGGTATATATCTTTAACCTTATAAAAGAATTAACAGTATGGTGTTATTAAACCGAATCTATCAATTTGAGAAATATGCTTTTGTTTCAATGAAAGTGATACTATCGAATCATTAGAATCGATGCTTTCAAAACAACAGCATATACGTAAGGCAGCCCGTTATGATACTATTCAATGAATCAAACCCATAATTATGTCATTAATTCAACAGCATTTTTTTCTCTGTGCACATACACAACTTACCGATGTAGAAATGATTTCTTGATAATTCGGGTGCCAACTTACGTCACGTACACAACTTTTGTGTCCATTTAGAGATTTAACAATACCTCCAGTTAAAACATCATAAACTAAACAAGACAATTATATTTTTAAAAACATCGCTCTCTCTCTCTCTCTCTTCAAAACAACTCAATTGATAATTTCTCGTTGTGTGTGTGTGTGTACTTACTGATGACACGACCTGAGCCGCAACCAGTGTAAATGTATCTTTGTCCTGTATGTGCTGGAGAAAAATGACAACGAATTAAAGTTTGAAGAACTGTGTGTCCTCGATATGTCATAATGCTTGTGTCCCCGTCCAACATATTTTTTGTTTTGTACACTGAAAAAAGCACTTGTTTTATAAAATTGTTTCTTATTCATATTCGCGAAACAGAAAGATAAATTACATCTTTTGGGAACTCTTTGCCATCTGTAGTCCCAATTTTGATTAGCCACTGCTTTCTTTGTATTCATTTCACCATTATGATCCGAGAAGGCACGAACGTCCCACAATTTAATGGTTTGATCTTTACTATTCGTTAGTAAATGTCTACCATCTCCTCGTGGATCTATAAATGTTATTCCATCCATATGACCTGCGAGGATTCCTACAGAATGTGGATCATTTTCACTCAACATCCTTCTGTCCCACACCTAAATCAGTAAAAGTAAAGTATGATTTCATTGCCTATACTTTTTTCGGGCCTTTACACTCTCCTCCTCAACATCATTACTACTAAACTTTTCCAACTCACAAACTTAAATAACTCTTTAAGGTCCCTACAATTTTGCGGCTGCAGAAAACCTACTTCCCGAGTACAACCGTTGGTTTTGTTTTGACGTCGAGTCATGAATGTACATTTGGATAGTCATCACGCAAATGCACAAACATAGCCTCGGCGTGTTAAACCTCCCGTTTTTGATATATTATCTCAATCAGCGAAAAAACCGAGACTGTAGCGATTCACGGAGAGCGCGCGATTCAATCCATCCAAGTACTAACCGCGCGCTCAAATGTGCTTATAACCTCCGTGATCGCAAGCCACGGGATTCCGCCAACCGAGCTATACCATCGCGCGGTTGTTGTTCCTAAATCAGTAATTTTAAAACTTGTACAAAATTTTTACATATTACTTTTTTCTTGCAATTTGGCTCGCGTTGCGCAATGCGCATAAAAACACAATTATTCATTTCTTATTTTCTCATTACCTTACACAATCCATCATCTCCTGCACTGTAAAGAATTTGTGAAGTATTATCTGCAAAGGAGACACTATTTACATCGTCTTCATGTCCTTCAATCTAAAAATAAAAACCAATATAATATAACAATGATTAATTTAAACATTTTTTTTTTTTTTTTAAATACAAACCCTAAGAACACGCTGTTGGCATTCCCTGTCGTAGACGTAGAGAAAGCCATCATTTCCACCACACAGTATCTCACGACCATCACTTGAAAATACTAAGGAAAATATACAAAATCTGCGCTCCAATGGTGATAGATAAAGAGTTTCTTGTGTATTTGAGTCTCCAAAAATTGGACACATGTAAACTGAAAGAAAAAAAAATACAATGTGTAAAGTAAAATTTTTAATTAGTGGCATATCCACTATTTGTTGTTGTTGTTGTTGTTGTTGTGATACATGGAAAGCAACAAATATTTTCTTTTTTTATGATTTTGATAATTAGATGCGCAATTTTTCACATTTGAATATATTTTTATAGAAAAAAAATTGTTAAAATTTATTAGACCATTAACCCAATTTATTATTTGTGTATATAATGATCACATACGATTTTCCGACCAACTAGAATATACAATGTAATTTCCATCAGGACTGAATGCTGTGTCTAAAATGCTCCATCCCACATCTCGAGCTGATATTTTTTTAATTTCTGTGAACTCTCCATTATCAGTTTTATATAACCTAAGGTATTTATCTTTGAAATAGAAAAAATTAATTGGTTAATTTTTGTCACCAATCAGCGAGTATGACAATAATTCTATTATATAAATTACCTTGACAAGCTGTAAGAAAGAACTTTCCATCCGTTGAATAAGAACCACAAAATGCTTTACTACTATATTTTGCGACTTGGTCCATTCTATTCGGCAAATAATTGCTTGAAATTTTACATCTTTGTCCACAACTAAAAGTTGAGCCTAATTCTCTTCTCTGTAACATCATTGGTAGACCACCACCACCACCACCACTACCACCAGAAACTTTATCTCCAACTCCACAAGCCTCTTTTGTCGTCAGACTAATTTCACTTTTCTATATTATCGAGATTAAATAATCAGTTAATTGATTTATTAAAGAGAGTATTATAAAAGAAAAAAACTATATGTACTTACATCGAGTCTAGAAGTATTTGGTCGACTAGCAACGCGAGGAGGTCTCGCAGTAGAATATTCATCAGAGTCATCATGTTCCTCTGAAATAATATGAACTTGACCACTGTAAAAATAAAACACACAACTATTATTTTTAAATTATAGAAAGTGAATTTATCATTCGGCAGTTATATATTAAAGATGAAGAAGCTATCAATTATTATTTTTAAAAGTAAAATGATTATAAAAAATTATTTTCCATTTTGTAAAAATATATACATACAATGTTTTTAAGATTTAATAATTATTATTTTTTAATTAGATTAGATAAACGCAGTCACTATTTGCCTCGTCGACGGGCCATATAAAATGCTCCTTTTTTTTATTTGGCCTGCCAGCTATTTTTTAATATTTCAGAGCGGCACAAGTAATAAAAAGTAGCATTTTATTTGGCCCGCCAGATGAGAAAATAAAAGCGGGCCAAATAAAGAAAGGTATATTATTTGTCCCGTCACATGTGACGGGCCAACATATTTTTCATTATTTTGATATAATGAATTAATTTTTTTTCACTTTCAAAATGTAATTATCAACATTTTGTTTTGTTATTTAGAATTTAATTACATAACATCAAAATACTTGTGTTTTTTGAAAAACTATCACTTTTTTGTTTTTTTATTAGCAAATTCTAATAATCCGGCTTTAGACTAACTGAAATAGGACGAGTTTACATCTTCTTTTTATTGGAAAAAAGTCTTCATTTTTTCTTTGGGGGTTGAGACTAAATGTTATATTTTTAAAAATCAAATATTTTGCTTTCATTTTGTTCAAACTCCTTCTACTTAAAAAACCAATTTTGGAAGTGTTAGTTCGATTGAACAAAATATGGATGAAATAATTAATTTTTTAAAAAATATAAAATTTAATCTCAAACCCCTAAGCTCCACCAATTTTCAAAAAGTATTTTTTTATTTATTGGTTCACTTGAACAAAATGGAGAATATGTTAAATTGAAAAAAAAACATATAGTTCCAACCCCGAAAGAGAAAATGAATATTTTAGACCGCAATTAATTGAAGATCGCTTCTTTTTTTTAAGTATAGGAGGAGTTTGAGTCTTATTTTTAATGACCAGAAGTCTTCATTTTTTCTTAAAGGATTGGGATTGTATGTTATATTTAAAAAAAAATTATTTTCTCCAATTTGGTTAATCAAACTTACGAAAAAAAAAAAAAAAAAAAAAAAAAAAAAAAAAAAAAAAAAAAAAAAAAAAAAAAGAGTTTGAACAAAATGAAGTGAATATTAGTTTCAAAAAATATAATATATTTCAGGTAAATAAAAATAATTTTGACCTGTGACGGGCCAAATAATATACCTTTCTTTATTTGGTTCGCTTTTATTTTTTTCTCATTTGGCGGGCCAAATAAAATGCTACTTTTTATTATTTGTGCCGCTCTGAAATATTAAAAAAAGCTAGCGGCCCAAATAAAAAAAGGAGCATTCTATATGGCCCGTCGACGGGCCAAATGGACACGGCGTTTATTTAGATAAATGCAATTTTCTAAAATCTTACTCTAATGAATAAACGTTAAATACCAAATAAAAAAGTTGTTTGTTTTTTAAAACTATAAGATAATTATTACACACAAGTTTATAAAAATCAAATATATTTATAAAACTCAGTTGGCTCATTTTGTCAACAGATCATCATTTCTCCTCCTGCGAACAAACCTTTGTATTAAATACTGCAATATTGCAGCCCACGCTGGTTCTTGATAATAATCCATTTCATGGGAATTGCTGGCACCCATATGATTTCAACTAATATATATATATATATGTATATTTTGTTTTTAAAGAAAAGTTTCTTAAACTTTATAATATATTGTCATATGTCAATCACGATTTAATAATTAAAGGAAAAGATGAATTTTTAAAAGGTACTTTTTAAAAGTAAATTTTTTAATATTAATTGTGATAAACTTTAATTAATCTCAAATTAAACACAAATATTTTTTTAAATAAAGGAAGAAAAATTTAATTCCTATCTGAAATTTTTGGTTATGTGTATATTTTAAGGCCTAAGCACAACTGATTCAGGGATGTGACGGATGTGAAACAATCGCATTCATTTTGAGGTCCTGTTCACAATAGCACTCTTCTTCTTGGTTCTTCTTGTTGAACGGAACGTATAAAGGCCAACGCAGAATAGATCTGTAACCGGAACCGCAATCGTAAGCGTTACCGTAAGAATGAGTTAAAGAAGGATAGGTATATTGTTTATCCTTCTCTAACTCATTCCTACGGTTACGCTGACGATTGCGGTTCCGGTTACAGATCTATTCTGCGTTGGCCTTAGGCGGTGTTTACATGCTTGCGTTCGAACGCTGCGTTTTGCGTTGAATAATGAGATAGAGAAAGAAAGACATATACTTCTGTTCTTCTTACACTCACTGCTCAACGCAAAACGCAGCGTTTGAACGCAAGCATGTAAACACAGCCTTAATTGTAACGAAACATGCCAAGTTGTGCTATTGTGGACACAACTTAATCTGCAAATTGCCATGGTAACACACATAAGAGTAAGAGAGTCAGACAATTCAAATTATATATATATGTTTTCTCTCCCTTTTGCAACTGTGTGTGACCTGTGACCGTGCCATAAACATATCAGAGACAGATAAAATTTCTCCGTATTGTTCCCAATCCCTGGCATGTCAACACTTTTATTAAATCTGTTAAAAATATAATATATAGTGTGTATTTGTTTATTATAAATATTAATATTAAAATTATACACAATTATGTCAAAACGACTGTTTCATAATTTGCATAGTTGTTTTAATCAACAAATTCGATATATGCATCGAATTTGCGGAAATGCACCAACCATTGCTAGAAGTTTAAATGACCGGCTAAGAGGTTAAATAAATTTAAAGTTTACTGCGTGCGCGTTTATTTGCGTGAACAAAAATGTATAATTATAATACATCTCTTATTATTATAATATTAAAATGCATTACCTATACGCATACATTTGCTTTTATTATTAATAATTGAATTTAACTTTTCAATTATAGAAATACACAAGTTTACCATTTAATAAATTTGTTTTTATAATTGTTACTATTCAATACATTGATCACAAAGAATTATAATATTTTGAACAGTTCTTTCTAGAATACTTTTTGTATTCTCCATATGATATAAATGACAAATATTTATTTTCTGTTTTAGAATTAAATTATCGCGATCCAGAAATACACTTTAAAGTTGATATAGGCTTACCTATTGTCTACAATAAAGAATTGAGGGGTGAGAAGGTTAATGAAGTTAAGAAAAAAAATTCTGCGCTACACGCAAAACGTAAGTTTTATACTGTTTCACATTTTTATTCCAATAATAATTTCCTTTTTTTCATTTGTCAATAGAAATTAAATTTGTTTTTCAGTTGATTTGAGAGTTGCCAAAAATGATTGGTTAAAAACGACAGCTCCTTTAGAAATTCGTAAAATTGCAGAGCATTATGGAATTTTCAATGACCTTTTTGGGGATGCATATTTTCATCCTACAATTCCTCTAACTATTGATTATAATGTTAAAGATATGGTAGCAAAAGTTTCTCGAGGTAATTTTATTACGGCAAGAGACACTTTGAATGAACCAACAATTAAATACAGAGCAGAACCAAATACTTTGTGGTCTCTTCTTTTGACTACTCCGGATGGCAATTTGTCAAAGTCAAATCTCGAAATTTGTCATTGGTTCATGTACGTACATACATACACACACACAAGTTTCACATTTCAAAACACTATTATTTAATAATCTAATATTTTTCTATTTTCATTAGAGGAAACATTCCTGGAGATTCAATCGAAAAAGGTGACTTGATGTTAAATTATATGAGACCCATTCCACCTCGTGGTATTGGATATTGTCGATACATTTTTATATTGTATAAGCAAGACAAAAGAATTGACTTTTCAGAATATAGGAAATCACCACATGAGCAGCATTTTTGGTAAGAGAAAACTTTTGATCAACTTCATCTCTTTTGCAGTTGATTCATTTAAAAGAATATTTTGATTTATAGTTTGGTTGATCGGAATTGGAATACATTGGATTTCTATCGTAAACATCAAGATTACATAACTCCTGTAGGTCTTTCGTTCTTCCAAACAGAATGGGATGCAAGTTTAATAGATTTTTATCATAATGTTTTAGGCAAGTATTTTTATTTTCAAATAGTTTTTATTTTTATTATTATTATCATCATCATCATCATTATCGTTTATAGAAATGAGGTCACCAAGTTTTGAGTATGACTTTCCGAAACCATACATTAAACCACAAGTTTGGTTTCCTGTTAAACAACCATTTAATATTTATATGGATAAATACAGGGATACAAAAGACATTCAAAAACAATATTTTATGAAGAAATTGAAAACAATTCATCCATTTAAGGAAGACAAAGGACGCCCTAAATATCCAAATGCTATTCCTTATAAACGAGATGAATACATCCCATCATGGTTAAAACTTGAAATGAAAAAAGAACGTTTATCACAAGGACGTTACAGAGAGGTATTTTCGTAAATTTTTTTTTAACAATATTTATTATTTTGTAAAGAGAGAGAGAGAGAGAGAGAGAGTTTATGCTCACGGTACTCTTTCACACACACACACACACACACACACACACTGCCTTTGAGAATAAAACAAATAGAGAATACAAATCACACAATATACAAAATAGAACTTTATTACAAATCTTTGAAATTGGTAAAACTAGTGATAAATAATTTTATATCATATTTTTATGGATTTTTCATATTAAACGAGTTTCAACAAGTTGTTTACTTTGCTTTTTTATATATTTTCGAGTTAAAACATTTGCATCTATGATTTCGTATTCATCATTTTCAAAAATATCTACAAAAAGAAATACATTTCTTTCAACTTACTAGTGAAAATAATAATTTGATATTTTAGATATACATATATATATATTACCAGTTGATTCTTCTTTACTAGATTTTAATTTATATTTTTTTAAAAAATCCATCTTTTCATCGAAATTTATATTACTTAGCATCAAAGAAACATTTTGAATTACTCGATCAATCATCACTAAAAAAGAAATTAATTTTTCTACATGGTTTAAAAATAGTATTTTATAAAATTAATAATCTCTATAACCATCATTCGTATCCGCAGTTTCTTCTTTTTCATTTGTCTTAAATTTTTTTACATCCATTATAAAATCAATTATACTTGTTAATGCTCCTTTTACTTTTAATAATAGTAATTCTTGAACTTTTCTTAATATTTTTAAATTTTCTTGAGACTCTTTCTTCATTTTTATTTTTCCAAGCATATCTAGTCTTCTTAATTTATATCTTTAAAAATAAAAAAAAAGAATATAAAAACATTAAAAAACACTCTTTAAAAATAAAATGGTATTTCTATAGTAAAATGATTTAGATTTAGTAAACAAAATTTTATAAATGAAATAATCATAATTATATGGAAAGTGAATTATACCCATTCTACACAAATCCTACAATGGAATATTCTACACATAAGAAAATTATAATTTTTTCTCTATAATAAAATGAAAAACTGCTACTACTTGATAAAAAATTTTCATTTTCAACTTACTGTTTTACGCTTAAAGTCATTGTCTGTTGAAAAGCATGAAGAATCAATTGAGCGTGTTGTTTTTTCTTTATTAGTAAATCATTTTGTTCTTCAATATATCGAAGGTGATGGAAAAGATTTGTATTTTTTGTCAACTGCTCTTCGGGTCTTAAAAATAATTTGGTACATACATTCAACAGAATGAATTAATGTGCTATAATTAGTTTTTAAAATTTTCCAAAACTCACCTAGGAAGTAATAACTCAATGGATTGTTCGTGAAATGATTTTTTCACTTGAAGAAATACTTTTTCTAAAGTTTGTATTTGTTTTTCAAGTTCTTCATTGTGTGATTCCTTTAATTTTTCGACTGTATCATTCTACAATGTGTAATTAATAATTGACAACAAATCACCAATAGGTAAACAATTATAAATAATTAATATGACCTGAATTAGCGATTGAGCAAATTCAACTTGTACACGGGCAATTTTCAAAGTGCGTTCTCTTTCTATCGTATTCATTAAAATTCCCTTGGCTAAATAATTATATTTTTGACGATTAGTATCCAAGTTCTCAGCAGCCAACTGTCCCATCAACGTTGTATTTAATATTAATTTGCTCTGTTCTTTCTGATTTGTCAACATCTGCCTAGAAATGGTATCGTAATAAATGGCATCCTAGAAAAATTAGGCAACATGTTATTATTAATATATGTTAATAATTACTTTATAAAATGTTGTTGTTGCAAACCTTTTCCAATATTTTCAACATTGATTCATAAGTAGTACGAATCGATTGAGCTGCATTGTGTCTTGCCATCGAGCGTTGACAACGAGTGAGTATTTTGTCAGATACTTGGTTTTTTTCTCGATTAATATTGTTATTGTTGGATGCAATAGCCATCTACAATTTATAATTAAAAGATAAATTATTATCAACAACAACAGTTGTTACAATTATTTAAATCAACAATACCTTTAATTCAAAAATTTTTTTCATTTTCAGTTTTTTTCGATAACAAAGTTTATTTAATTGCTTTTGTTTCAAACAGTTATCTTGGAAAATATGCACCAAAATTTCCTTAAATAAAAGAAAATTTTTAAATGCAATGTAATAATGTAATAGTTGAGAAAAAAAAGAAAATGTTTTGTTATACTGAAGGAGATGAATCTGTTAAAGTTAACAATAAATCCTTGTGCCCTTGAAATAATGTTATCAAGTGTTTTTTATTTCCATTAATAATAATACGATATTCATTAATATCTTTGAATAATAATTTTGAAATTTGTTTACTCTGCTTCAATATTATTGACGATTTTTTATCTCGATCTAGTTGTAGATGATTAAGAAAAATTTATAATTTATTTTTATTTACAAATTAAACATTTTTCTTGAATATTATAATACTTGCATACCATTTAATCTAAGAATTCGGCGATAATGTTGTAATTTATCATTTGTAGTCCATTCTGCAGCAGCTGCTGTCATTTTGTTATTAATTCTAATAAATTTTGTAAAAAGATATTTTTTTGTTATCAAAAAAAGAAAAAAAAAATGAATGTCAAAATTTTAAAAAAGTATTTGAAAGAGAATTTTTTATAATTATGTATTAAATAGAATAAAACAATTGAAATCTGAAAAAATTAGGAATTTTAGGTTGTATAAATTTTTTCAATTTTCACACACTGTCACTATACATATAAATATATATTTATGAATAAAAATCAAAAAGTTTGTCAACTTGATATTTTTTAATACATTATTATAATAATTAAGGTTTGAAGCGCTTGCGCTTTGCTCACTTGACATAGCGAGGGATGATTATATCAAAGCTGTTTACCGCGCGACAACGGTGGTGGAATTGCACGGGTGTTTATCGTCCAACAACCATGAGGTTGGAGGAAATTTGAAGAGTCGACAAAAAAATGTAGACGACAAAAAGTTTCGCGACTCGATGCGGACAATGATTACATTTAAATTATTGTTTAATCAACAAGTTTCAAAATTCTATTTCAACTCCTCCCAGTTACATACCTAGAGCTATATTGGCAATATGATCTTTAATCGAGTTTGGTTTGTGTTTCTGTTGCACCTCATCATCACCTCATCATATAACAAATGTTATGGAAAGCAAGGTTTTTTCAACTCTTATAACTATAAAAGTAGCATAAAAATTACTTGCACGAAAATTATTAACTCTTTCGCAAATGGATAAAACCGCGCGCAGAGTTCAGAAATACAAAAAATTATATTGCAATTTTAAAAACAAAAATTAATTTGATACGCCGCGAGAGTTTCAATGCATTGAGATTTATTCATATTTAATTTTATTATCAACGAATAAATTTAATGTTATTATATGTTTTTGTTTATTTTATTGGAATAAATAGTTTTAAACGTCTGTTAATTTGCTTAGACATAAATTATTATAATTTTGGCTTTCAAGTTGTAGGAAAAGAACAGCAGCAGCAAGGGCAAGCATGTAAACTGGAGGGACTACATCCACTTCTCATTGTAACGTACAAGAACATTACAATATCGGTGATTATTTTTAAAATAAAATACTAACCTAATAATAGGTCTCGATTCGTTTTAGTTTTTTCAATGTACCTAATATTCATTTTAAAAAAAGATGTTTTAATTATATTCGAGACAAGATTTAAACAAAAATGTTTTAGGTGGATAAGATTACAGTTCTTCACGATGAAAAAGTGCAACTTCGTTGTCGAGAGCTTGGCAGATATAAACTGATTGGAGATTATCTTCTTCATTGTCGTAATGGCAATTTTAATGGTATTATTCCAACATGCATTCCAACTACTGCCATTTCTAATTACACAGGTATCACACACAGAATAAAAAATATCTACTACTTTTTTTTTTTTTTTTTTTGATATAATGACTACGCGCGCACTCGATTATTAAAAATTTATTCATTTCATTTGCATTCAATTTACAGACAATGTTCCTCCGACAATCATGTTTGGACTACCAGCAGGATCAGCTGCGATAGAACCGTCAGGCGTATTGGCAGTTTTTCCTGGAAGTATTCTACACTTGGAATGCCTTTTTTCCAGAAAACTTGGTAATCCAGAATGGACTTGGACATCCGCCTTTCGACAACATTTAACTGGTTAGAATTAACGCACGCACGCACACACAAGTGTTTTATTATCAAATTTCTTAAATTGTAAATATATCAAATTGTAGGTTGGGCAATTGCTGCTACCGAAAGAGATGTAAAATATCGACTCTCCATATATTATGCAAAAACACAAGATAGCGGTCTGTACATTTGTACAACGCCTAAAGGTCTTACAAATTCTATTCAAGTTCGCATTTCAAGTAAGCACTTGAACAACAACATTAACGTGTGTATTTCCTGCGAAAAACTACCTTCAATCAAATTTATATGTTGCATACATTCTTTCTAGATATTCATTGTACATCAATAGCGACCTTAAAACCACCTTTAATTGGAAAAATGGAGGGAACCAGAATGGGGCAAACAATAAAATTTAAATGTCCTCTCGGATATAGATTAGAAGGACTACCCAGCATGACTTGCCAATATAATGGTATTTACAATTTATTGGAATCCGCTATGTTTTAAAACATGTATATGTATATATAATTGTTTTTTAGGCAAATGGTCAGCTGAAGTACCCCATTGTGAAGCTATTGTCTGTCCACCCATTGAAATATCAAATCCCAAATTACAACTTTTGGAACATAATAATAGTTATGGAGGTAAAGTTGTATTTTCCTGTATGTGGGGAAGCCAAATTTCAGGTTCCTCGAGTATAAAATGTGAGGGTGATGGTGTTTGGAGTGATTCGATACCAACATGTATAGGTAAGTGCGCGCGCAGTTGTTGTTTTAATAATAATTAATAATTTATTAAAAATTAAAAATAAATATACATTCTTTGTGTCAGAAATAATATGCCCAGCACCAGTCATACCGAGAAGTGGTCGAATAATTGAACATGCAATAGCAAAAGTACATAAAGTTGGTGCTTTAGTGAGATTTGCTTGTTTACCTGGTCATCAGTTACTAGGAGAAGCATCTATAATTTGTCTTGAGAATGGCAAATGGTCTCATCCACCACCAATTTGTAAGTCAATAATTATTATTTCACAATCAAAAGTTCATTCTTCTCAATGAGCGTTATAATCAAAATATATGTATAGGTGACACCAGATGCCCCTATCCAGGTGATCCACTTTATGGGCAAATAGCCCCACTCAAGTTTTGGTACAAACCAGGTGACAATATTCAAGTAACGTGCTCTCCTGGATATGTTACACCTCTTGAACCTGTAAAGAAACCTACTTGTCGGGAAAATGGTATGTGGAGTAGTCCACCACCTCCTTGCAGATCATACAAGGATGTTTAATTTCTCTATATGTTTTTTTATATAGCCATAGACGCTGATTTTCAGCATGTGACACGCAATTATTTAATATACAATTCATTTTTTATATTTTCAATTTCTAAAAATACAATCTCTTTAACAAAAATAAATAAATAAATAAATAAAAACAATTTTTACCATATTATATAACGATTTCATATTATATGCAACATCATTTTTATCATTGAAAAATATTTAGACTTTTTAATAATCCAGCAAATATTATTTAAATTCCATTGCTGTGTGTCAGAGTGTGTTCTTTGTCTCAATGCAACACCAAATTTCATAATTTACCTACAACAATATACCACTGACAATTTCTTTTTAGATTATATATATATACTCTTGACTACATAAAATAACAATTATATTTCTATTTAATAAAGATTTATTAGTAAAAAATATATTACAGTATACAATTGAGTTTTAAAATAAACAAAAATTATAGAAAGAATAACATTTCTTTTCCTTCAAAGTATAAATACATATATAAATTTATTATTTTAAATGTCATGAATCATTCGTTAGATTAAAAAATGGAAAGTCTATACTATTTTTAAAAAAATTAAAAATCACAACATAATAAATATTATTAAAAAGAATACACAATTGGGTTTTAGTAATACTTTTTTAAATATTATTATAAATAATTCAAAATGTTATATTTGTTAAAATTGTTTTTTTAGAATCATACTAAAATATAGTTTATATAAAATTTATATATATGTATATATAAATATTAAAAAGGAATTTCGGTTATTGTGCACACACAATATTATATAGTAAGGCATCATTTTTTTTTTTTTTCAAAGCACCACTATTAGAAAAGATGATTTTAGCGTTTCATTTTATCAAGAATTGGTACAACCATATCAAATGATGGTCGTTTTCCAGGATCTTCATTCATACAAATTCTAATCAACTTTGCTAGATGAGGAGAGATTCCAGGTGGAATACTAACTCGCAAATCTTCCAATGCAATCTAAAAAATTTATGAATTATTAGATACTCATTTTAAATAGATAATCATTAATTTTTTTTCACCTTCATTCCACATTCCATTGGAGAAAGATCTGCAAATGGAACCTCCCTAGTTGCCAATTCCCATAATAATACTGCGAAACTCCACATGTCACTTGCTTCGAGATTTATATCATTTGGATTTTTACATAATGATTCGGGAGACATCCAAGCAGGTTCATAAATCCGACCAATTTCTTGAAAAGAAAATTTGAAATCTGCCATATTTACACGAGCTGTCAAGTCTTCGTCAATCTAAAAAAAAAAAAAAGAAAGAAAAGATTTTTTCAAAATATATACATATTATATTTCTATTAAAGAATAACAATAAAATAATTAACAATTTACCATAATATGTTTACTGTTGAGATAAAATCTACATCGATTCTGTCTTTCTAAACCATGAAGAAATGCCATTGCGCGAGCAACATCAAGTGCCAATCTTAGTGCTCTTGCTGTGTCGACTACAACTCCTGTTCCACCATGTAAAAGACGATGTAAACTACCGCGTGGCATATATTGCGATACTGTCGCCAATCTAGGAGGATGATTCACACAAGCTAAAACTGGTAGTACATTAGGATGAGAAAAAATTCTCAGTTTCGGAAATTCATCATTAAAATCTCTTGAGATTCGAGCCGAACATTCACGTAAATTTAAAAATTTTACGACAATATCGTTATTTTGCCAACGACCACGCCAGGTTTCACCACTTGGTGTGTTTGACAATTCAGTGTGGAGTGACAAATCAGACATACTGATACCCTTGTGCCGAGATAAAGTAGCATCTCCTATAATACACACACGCAACACATACATTTATTTTAAGAAAAAAGGTTCAATTATTGTACACGTATATCAACAACAACAACAACAACAACAACAACTTACGACTTCTGGTTTTCAGACCCAACCAACTTTGATCCTTAAATTGAATTTTTTTCAAATCCTGTCCAAACTCAACTGCTAAATCTAAAGCAAAATAATTAAATATTTTAATCAAGCAAAAGATGACAGTAATAAAAATGAAATTACCAACCGTGCAATCTTTTGGCCATGGGACCTCTTGCCTTATCTAAAGGAGTATCACCATCTTTATTAGCAATGGAAACTAAAGCTCCAGCAGCTACCAATTCTTCTGCGATTCCTTGATCTCCCCAAAAACAAGCATAGTGCAATGCAGTATTGCCGTGCTCATTTGTCACATTAACATCTGCACGGTGTTTCAATAGCTGAAATGAATAATAAAAAAAAATTCATAAAACTGCTGCTGGTGCTGCTCTATTATTGAAACTTTAGTTTTTATAGAAATTATATAAACATTAAATATAAATTTTTTTGAAATCATCACCCACCGTGACTTACCAATTGAACAATATCTCTGTGTCCGTGTGCTGATGCAAGATGCAGTGGTGTATCATCTCCACGGTTTGTAGCATTAATACGCGCTCCTCGGCAAACAAGTAATTCTGCTAGCTTTGCATGACCTTCTTTGCTACACCAATGAAGAGGACTGAATCCATGATCATCTCTAAATTTAATTATTTCAATGATATTTTAAATTAAACTTTATATTTGAAAAGTTAATGAAAAAAGAATAAATCATTTACCAATAAATTAAAATAAATCTTTACCCTTGATTCATATCATGCTCAGTATCATCTAACCAAACACGAATTTGCATTGCATTTCCCTCTCGACACCACTGAAATATATCTTCCATGTTGATGAGGTAAAAACCTATTAATAATAAATTTATAAATATCAACATTACATGATGTTTGAACAATATTCAATTAAAAAAATATGGGTAAATTTATGTCTTATTTTTAGATGCATGTAAATTTTTTTGTTTTATATATTTTTAAATTGTGTAGTAAAAACAGACTAAAAAATGTATGATTGTGTAATATATATATGTGTGTGTGTGGGAGCTTCAGCACATTGCGCCATCGACATAATGTATGCGACATACCTTCACCAATATTTTAAATTAAAAAATGTGTGCTCACAGCAAGTATAAACCAAATTACACTTTCATTTTATACATTTAAAATGACTTTTATTAATAATTTTAAAAAATAAACAACGCCGATCACTGAAAATTTATTAATATTGATAAATTTTATTATTTAAAAGAAACCTTTAAATTTGTCCCATTTTCTTTTGTTTATCTTTATCAATAAATATAATTTTTTTTAATAATAATTTTATTAGGTATTATAAATATATTAGCATCAATTTAATTTTCAATATTTGTTTGCACTTGGAAAAAAAACATTAATAAAATTTTAACATTGCCTTCTCAAGAAAGATTTATTTTAATTACACCGAAAATAATTATTTTTCATTTTCTCTAAATTGTAATGTGAATTTTCATTAAGAAACAATTAGAAAATTATTTTTTCACGTACACCCTTCCACTTCTTTGTTGATGTTTTAAGTATAATTAGTAGTTGAGCATATTAACCAAAACACAAAATCTTCTATATATGACTGTCTGCAACTGCAACTATACGTTACTATACTGTGTGCTGAAGCAGAAGGAAGCACCAATATAGTTATATGTTGAGAAATGTCTAACGTGTGACGTCACATTCGGCCGGTAATGTCACAGAATATTTAACCAGTATGCAATGTTAACTATTTCTTCTTCTTCTTCTTTTTCTTCTTCTTCCTACTATAAAAGAACAAAAAAAAATAGGAAAAATAAAATAAATTTCTTATTATTTCATCAAATATTATTTTTTAACGTTAATATTATATTCTGTATAATTTTTTTAATTAATTCATATATTAAAAATTACACTTTTTTTTAATACAAAAAGCTCTAACTCAATTTGCATTTATAAATGTATATATCCCAAACAACTCTCTCTTCAATTATTATTAGAAAGAATAGTATTAAAGAAACAAAATCGGGGGAGAGAATGTGTCAAGACACTAAATTGTATTCGTTTATCAACGAAAAAAATTGTTCTCTTAATAGTAAATTAGTTAAAGATAATAGAAGAATATTGTCACAAAAATATTTAGAAAAAATAGACTGATGTTTATAATCTGATAATAATTGTTATACAATTAAATATTAAATTAAATATTAAATTAAAAATAATATTGGAATAAATTAAACAAATTTTTTCGATTAAAGAAATTGAGTATTGGATAAAAATTATTTCAATGATATATATCGCAACTATATATAAAAATGCAAGTTTAAGAATTATTTATACAATAATATTAACTGTACATGAATATTATACATTCTTTACTTTAATGGCAATAATATTATAATATACGTTTATAGTATATATACAGTGTATTTTCAGCATATATAATTATTTTGTTTTAAAATTTTTCATGAATATTTAATCATTTTTTCCAAGTTTATTGCACTTGTTATATTATACATTATCATTCACGCATTCTCGGGAAAGAATATAAAATGAATTATTATTATTTATATAAAAGCAAGAGTTAATTCTTTAGCGTTTTGGTTTTTAATAAAATAAACTTAAAACCAGCAGTATTTTTGTATACATATTGCTCTTATTTATGATTTTTTTTTTACATATGCTGATTGAATCAAGTTTTTTAAAAAATAATGAATCATCCCAACAGACACGCATTCACATAGTTTTCTCTTTCATGTATACATCATTGTACATATTATGTAGATTGCAATAAATAAAAATGAAAAAATGAAACAACTTGATTTTTAGTAATTTTTGATGAGAAAACAAACATATTTAATTACATAATTATATTTATCAAGATATCCATACAAACAACATGAATATAGTACAACGTTGCGTTATGAAAAATACCCAATTTTACCTTAAAAATTTAATTTTGTAGGTTTGAATTTCCATAGGCTTAAGAAAAGAAAAGATTTCCTGAAAACCATTTCTCAGATATCTTTCTGTTTTAGTACCAGTTAATGAGGTTTTTGTAATATTAAATTTGGCTACTGCTTTTGTAAAAAAAAATTCTTTCCCAAAGTTACGAAAGGGAGAGCAGTGTGTGCTGGTATCGATTAAGCAGCTATATCCTTGCCTGTGGAGCACCAAAAGAGCACTATTGACAGGAAAATAAGGAAGCTTAAAATCGTGATCAGTTCTTAAATTGACCAAGTGAACATCACATGGAAAACTTTGACTGACTAATGGTGTTTCGGGTGCCATTTGATAATTCCCATCATCCACAACAAAAATGTTGACAGGATAATTAAGTGAATTGCTGAAATGATTTGCTATTAAAGATGGTTTTGAATATTTATCACCGTTGTTGTTGTTGTTGGTTTTAATATCTTCAAAAAGTAACCAATGTTTAATTATAGTTTTTTTATTGTCCAGCAAGCCTTCACCCATTCCCCGTGAATCATCGTGTAGTGTTCTTCTGTCCAACATAACTTCCAGCCAGCCTGGCTGGTAACTTGCTGCTCCCTGAGCATGATTAACAAGTAAAGTTAATCTGTGCGCGGTATCTTGTATGTATGCCATTGTTGTTATTGGGAAATAATTACCTTCTATACCAATTCTTTCAATTTTCGTTCTTTTTATCATTTGATGACCATTCAAGTCAGTGTAAAATTCTGGAGGATCTCCATTGAGAATATCTGTTTGTAACCTCATGAACATTTCTGTTTCTCGATTTTTTGGAGGCGCTTCAAAATCCACTACATTTCGAAGATGGATAGCCTCAGAAAGGTAATTGCTGTTGTCATGATAAATTGCAACCTGATGCGTCAACAATTTTCCATACTCAACTGTTAAACGTGAGCTTATGTTACCAGACACAATATATATTTTTTGATGTGTTGATTCAAGTATATCTTTATCCGTGTCCCTGAGATTTGGGTCAGGCATAAAAAGATATGCTCCACTATGAAATTGAGCAGAAGAATAAGCAGCAAATTGAATAGAGCATTGCATAATTTTCGAATGCTTTGTTACCTGTTTCAAAAATCCACTTTGTCGATCAAATACGAGTTTAATCTTTTGATTTTCTAATTGTATGTCACTAGGTGGAATTGGTTTTACTGGAAATAGACCAGCAGCAGCATCTTTATTACATTTATTGCAATAAACAGTAGAGATCGCGTCAGTCGGAATTTCGTCAATTTGATAGATATAGTATGTAGCAATAGAGAGTGGTTTTAAATTAGCTATGAATAAAAGTATAAATATGTCATGTGCAATGCCCGTTGCATTCATAACTGGAGCTATTTGATAAGGAATTGAATTTTTATATGGATCCAAGACTTTTATTTTACACGAAGTCACTTTTAAACTAATTACTTCTTGTCTACTTTGAGCAAGTGAATTAAATAAAATAATTCTCTTATTGCCTTCAATTGGAATTTTCCTAGCAAGTTTTTCATAACTATCTCTATCAGATTCAGATAATACATAATTAGTTTTTGTCGACTCTGATGCTGCTAATGATTGGATTGCGAAACTTTGTAAATTTGTCATGTCGGTGATGGATTCAAATAATTTGAGAGCATAATCCTTCATAACAAAGGATTTTGAAGTGCCGGTAATTGCATCGTGATGTTGAAAAAGTCCTAAATTTCTTCTCGCCTTCACTAATTTTTCAAACCAAGCTTCATAGAGTTTAAGCTCTCTTCCATCTTTTTCTTTTTGTTTTGCAGTATTAAGTGCTATAGTGTAAAGAATCTCTGCAGATCTTAAATTACTTTCAAGTTCTCTATCTAAAATTTTCATGTAGGGTCTCGTAGTAAAATAACCACTCCAGTAAGCAGGCCTGCCTTCACTAAAAATATCTGAATAAACGAAAAAGTCTCCTTTTAAACTTGGAAAATGTTTCATTCGTTTCTTTATCTCTTGAAAATAATCTTTTGGAGTACCAAATACCACTTGTGCATTATATTCATTGTTGTTGTTTATATAATCTATAAGAATCTTGTAATTGGTATATTGTTGGTCCCACTCGATTGCATAATCATACCTGCAATAAAAAATATCACGTCTTTTCAATCTCATCTTTTATGGAAAATACAATAAAAATCAATTTAATTAAAAAAAAAAAATAAATAAATAAATAACTTATCATCACACTACTAACCTAAAATCGTCACCTAAAGGCATCAAAACAACATTGTGAGGAAATAGAGAACCCGTTTTTGAGTATTGTTCTATCAACATTTCTGCCATTGCCTTGACATTATTTGATGTGATGTCAACTGCTCTAACAGAATATTCTGTATATTCACCACGAATTTTGCGAAAATCAAAGTTTAAACAAACATGAGGATGAGGTCCACAAGAATGTTTAATATTGTATATATCAAAAGGTTGATTATGTGTCAAAATATCAGCCATTCCATCCTGATCCCATGGCTGTCGCCAAATAAAATCACCAAATTGTTTCTTAGCAAACCATTGCTTCCAAGCATAATGAATCCTTTGAATGACTGTTCCAGTTAACCCAGATGCTTTTAAAAAATAAGGAATAGTGCCACCATGTCCAAATGGATCAACTGCCCATCCTGATTCTGGCATTATGTCTAAATTAGTTTTTAACCATTGATGACCTACATTATAAAAATATTTTTAAAAATTATATAATTTGTCTACAACTCTATCAAAATGGAATATATATTATATACCTTCAATTAATTGATCTAGCATAGCATAAATGTGTGAGGTTGCTTCATCAGACATAACCCAACCTCCAGTTGTAACCTCCAAACGGCCCTCCTTTATAAGACGCTTAACTATAGCTTTTTTTGTTGGATGGGCACTTTGCATATAAACAAAACTTTTCTTAATTGGATGCTATTTTAGGAGAGAGACAATCTTAGTAGAATATATATATATGTATATATGATAATCTCACCTTTCCCACCAAAGTGATAAAAATGATACTTCGCTCCAGATAAAAGTCATATTTGGCCATTGCTGAAGTTTTGATACCATATTATTTAGAATTCCCCTGGTAGTGCCATGAAAATACTGATCAAAAGTTTTCAACCATCCAGGATCAGTATGACTGTGCGGGACAAGAATGACCTGCTCAAAATGATACACCAACCCTTTATATGCATGTATTTAAGATGACATTGAAAGAATGAGTTTACCTATACTCTGTAAAAATTTCTTGTGTAATTTTAATAGATGAAGCATAAAAATATAAAAGTTTGTATATTTTAATAAAATTATGTAATATATGTGAGAAAAAATCATTCTTTCCGAGTCAAATAAAAAGAGAAATAACTTCTTTTTTACGTTTCGACGATAACAATCGTCCTCATTATCAGAAACGATAAAACGTGTTTTTCTGATAATGAGGACGATTGTTATCGTCTCTTTTTATTTTACTCGGAAAGAATGATTTTTTCTCACATATATATAATAATAATTTTCGACCGAGTGATAAATTCTACTTCATATATAAAATTATGTAGGTAATATTAGTGTGCCATTTTCTTTTTTCATCGTGTATTGGATTTTTCACAATTCGCGCAAATTGATATTGAAATTTCAGCGTAGGTATCATATTCAATTGGATGATTAATTCATTTATAGAATTGTAATAATTGAATGTATTTTCATCAAAAAATTTTAATTTCTCATAAATTATCAATTTATCTGCCTAATATACAAAATGTAAATATGGAAAACAGATTTTTTTTACCTTTAAGGGTGGTCGAGTAGGGCTTTTCTTTAATTCAGCATATCGAGCTTCAAAACTATCATCCCAATATTCACGACTTCTCATCCATGAAGGCTAGAAAAATATGTAGAAGAATATTTAGTGGCATAAACTTTTGATTGCAACATGATACATAAAGTTGATGTCTTGATTTTTCTTAAAAATTTAATAATTTTCTTATCAAGTAGTCGACAAATAATTCAGCATATTACACAAAAAATAATCATTATTGTAGAAAGCTTTCAATGGGCAAGCTTTCTACAATTAGCAAGCAACATGTCCTCAAAATTTGCAGCAAGCTGGCCAGAATTTTGCCCGCATCAAGTTTCAAGTGCAAGCAGCTTACTACACACCTACTGCAGGGAATTTTTAAGACATTTTTCTGCAAAGTTTTCTTTCCATTTTTTTTTTTTCAACTTACGACATCATCACATTATAAACACAAAATTGTATTCTAAAAATGCATATTGTATTAAATGTATATTATATTTACCTGAAAATCAAAATTTTTAAATTCTTCCTGTGTATCAATATCTGCTTTTCTAGGTTCAATATTAGGACATAAATTATGATTTAATTCAGACGTTATGTTTTCTTGTGAAACCTGAAAGTCTAAAGTATTTGGATGACTTGAAGAAGAAGAAGAAGAAGAAGAAGAAGAAGTCGGCACTTGAATTTGACTGACATAATATAGACATAACAGCAAAGACACAAATATTATAGAAAATATAAATAAACGGGCTTTATTACGTCTTAATAATTTATACATGTCTGCACCAACTGTCCAACAATATCATGTAAGAAAATTTTCAAATCATGACAATCCATTATTTCTCGTCATATTTCTCGCATTTATCGGAAGCTTTTATTTCTGGATAGTCTTCTGCAGATACCTTAAAAGATATTAAAAAAGAAATTGTAACATACAAGGAAAATATTATACTAATAAAAAGAAAAGCCAAACATTATACATATTTTACAATTTTAAAATTCACTTCTCTCAGATATACAGGAATCCATTGATTCATTAATTTCTATGTGATTAGTGGTTATAGTTTTTGTGACTATTTAATAGAGAAATCTTGCAAATAACTATAGAAACTACTCACTCATTATTTATACTTGATAAAAAAAATAAGCATCTACATTTTGATATTTATACACAAATAATTTTTTGAAATTTTTACACGTTTAATTAAATGTCAGAAATAAACTTTTACTAATTTCATTCATGCATAAAAAATAAAAACAATTACCATTTTTAAAATAATACTGTAAGTGATGAAACTAATCACCTCAGATATTTCAATTTTCATTATATACATCAACCCTTCATACGCTCTTTGTACAAAAAGTATCTAGATATGTTTATTAAAATTTATATAAAATTATCGAGTTTAAAAGAATTGTGATTTTAAACAACTTTATATGATATATTTATTTTATTATTTTCTTTATTTTTTATATAAATAAAAAATCTAATATCTAGACGCATTACATAAGATTAGTCGAGAAATACAGGTCGAGAGGTCGCGCGCACATAGGTCGATTGACTCGGATGCGCCATTGTTAGATGATTGTAGAAATATTGGAAACTTGGAATATTTTAGCAACAAAGAGCGCATGTGTGTGTGTGTCATATAATAGAAGCAAAACTAAATATAAAAACATTCATTTTTTAATCTTCCGTTTTGTGTTTGGGAAGCAGTGTTCTTCAATATGTTTATTATTAATATTTTAAATTGGTTTTTTTAAATTCTGTTTAATAAATGTTATAAATCTTTAAAATATTAATAGAGTTCAATTAAATCTGAAAGAAATAATGTATATCAATTTAAAAAATCAAATTTTTCAATAACAAAATATTTTTTCATTAAAAACTTGAAAAGAAATTCTTGTAAGAAACTGTATAGCTCTCTCTCTCTCTCTCTCTCTCTCTCTCTCTATGTATAATATTATAGTAAAAATTCATTTTTACAATAGTTTTCAAGTAGTATCTTATTGTTGCGGAAGTAATCTTATACTTATTATGCCATTACTAACTTTGACAATAAATAAGATGAAAGTATTCATGACCATAATAAAACTCGTGTATATAATTTTGTTTTATTTTGTTTATGTTATCAATTTGATATACCTTCGTAAAAATTGGGTATATATATGTGTGTACAAGTTAAAATATTCAATTTCAATGATTTAAAAATTGTACAAATTGAAAACTATACTTGATCTATAAAAACAATAATATTATATACTCTTGTAAATTTAGAAATTTTTTTTAATTTATGAATATTTTTCAATTAATAGGTAAAATAAACTTTTTAAACGAATACATTCGGACAAGTGGTTTTTTAATACAAAAATTACACTAAAAATAAAATACAAACAATAAAAATAATATAAATTATAAGAACAGAATTGGCATTAATACAATATTAGAATGAATAAAATAAATAAAGCGAAAAAAACAAAATAAAAATATCTTACCAATAAAAAATGTTTTTACATTACATGTCGAAGAAATTAAAAGAAATTTTAGTCCAAAAAATGGAATGTGTCATTTTGGAGTTAGTAACTGAAATTTATAAAAAGTCTTTTTGAATAAAATGTTAATTTTAAGAAAAGTGGAAATTTAAGTTAATTAATAAATAAAATAGTTTGTTAATAGATAAATGACTTGTCCGAATGTATTCGTGTAAAAAGGTTTGTTTTACCTATTAATTGAAAAAACAACTCGGACGTAAAAGCTTTTTTGAATGAATATTTTTATTATAAAATGAATACAACATAATTTCATTTTTATTTTTCATTTGTGTAATTAATTCAATTTCAACTATTGAGAAATGTAAGTAATTATGCTATAAATTTAGATAATTTAACAAAGTTTTAACATAAAAAATATGTCTTTAAAAAATTTAATTCTTAAAAGATATTATTTCAACTTTAACTATCTATACGTACAAAATAATTTAAAAAAAATTGTTATTTCACTATTCCCTATATACTGGATATACATTAATTTTATATAGATTAAATTCTGAATTTTATAAATATTTTGAAATTAATTTTAATAAATAAAAACAATTATTATGGCAGAAATGAAAAATAAAATATTTTAAAATGTGTAAAATATGTATACCTTAAAGTTTAATAAATTTTAATTATAATACATTTTTATTTCAAATAAAAATTATTAATATATATGTTTATTTATACATAGTATAGCATTAGATATTATGTATACTATGTATACTATATATATATATATATATACATAGCCATAAGGAAGGTTAAGGTTATGATTTTTACTTACGTGAATACCGTTCACCGCAGCTCTCATTGAGACAAAAAAATGACACATTGTGTAATGTTTTAAATTGTTGTTAATAATTTGCCAAAAATATTTGAGAAAAATACTTTGCTTTCAGGATTATAAATGATGAGAAAAGTATAAGGATAAGCACAGAGAGGATGTACAAAAAGGAAGCTCTCAGTATCGAACCACATGAGTGAGCGCGCCCTGTGATATTTTCATGTTGAAAAAGTTGGTGCATGTGCGCGGTATATATTTAAAAAAAAGGGCCGCACTCATTGTTTCTATGGAAACGTACGAGTATGACAAGTTTATCCCAACAATGCATAGCACTGCATTGTTTATATAAAACAAAATGCTTTCAAATAATTAAATAATAAACATACTATAAATTAAGAAAAAATATTTTTATTTATCAAAATTTTTAACAGTAGATGAATTAAATATATTATTTCAATATATGTCTCTCAAAAATTTAAATATTTTGAATGAAAATAGTCACATATATAATATGTGTCTTCACACATTAAATCAATGTAATCGAAGTTGAAACAATTTATATATATATATATATATCAAAATTGGCATACTATATTATTTAGTATCAATGAGTATTGAACATAAAAATTGATAATTATATATATTAAATATATATATACAGTACGAAAACCTACCCCACGTCAGTCATGTCCCATGAGTGGGAGTGAGAGAGACTTATGCGATTCCCATACTTTCCTATGACTGACGGATAGCTTTTCTTACTGTATATATATAAAAGAACACATACGCGGTCTTCAATGACATCAACTGTTATAATAATTAATTCTTGTCTGTTTCTATACTATTTAATGTTATAGATTCTTCGGGTTCTTTTAATGTTTTAATGTCTTTTGTTTCAAAAATTGTTTTATAAATGAAAGCAGCAACAATTGACCCACTAATCGGTCCAATCCAATAAATCCACTGTTGTGACCAACTGTTATTCCAAATTGCGGGTCCAAAAGATCGGGCAGGATTCATACTGCAACCTGTAAAAGGACCTGCGGCAGTTGCTAAAGCTGTAACAGCTAATCCAAATTTTATGGCTACACTATCAGTATTCCTTTCATTTCTTTTGTCCCAAACAGCACAAGCAATCATCATTAAAACTGCTGTTGAAATTAATTCAACAATCAATCCTTGAAAAGTACCAACATCCTCCGATAAGCTTGTAACACAAAAATCACCTTTTGGGTCGCCAAGTCGAGAGTATGGTATTACTATCTGCAAAATATTTTTTATTAAAAAAATAAATTGGACAATTTATGATAGAGTTTTGTATTTTTTAAAAATATTATACCTTTAACATTCCATACCCCAGTATGGAGCCTCCTGTTTGGCAGAGAATGTAAATTAATCCCTCAGTTAGAGACTTTTTGCCCAAAACCATTGCACCAACAGTGATGGATGGATTAACATGTGCATGACTTATATGACCAAAAATCTGCAAAAAGAAATTACATAATTTAAAAATTCTAGGGTTATTAATGTATTTTAATATAATAATATAATATATATATAATCTATAGGAAATGTATAGTAGTTTACCTGGATTACTATCATTACTGATAATCCAAAATTCAATGTGATTTGTAAATGTGATGGAGTTCCTACACATCCCATACATCCTAAGAACACTAATATTGAAGTCCCAAGAAATTCTGATAATCCTAATACAACTGTCTGTTTCAGCGTAGCTTCTTCATGATGAGTTATTTCCCTTACTCCTAGTTTATGAAAAATTTTGGATTAATTTGCAAATTTAGTTAAATGACAATTTGCTTTAAGGAATTATTTCTATCTAATGATTATTCAAATAAATAAACATTATATGGAATGATCACACAAACAAATATATATTTCTTATTATTCTTGAAATAATTGCAAAATGTATAAGTAGTATAGTGAAATCTCGCCGTAAGAAACTTTCTTTATTAGTATAGCTGCAAAAAATTTCTTATGTGTGCAAATTGAATATTGCTCGTATATATAAAAATTGCGTTTTTGACCACTTTTTAAAATCGACAGATTTTAGGTCTCAAATTATTGGGTCACTCTGTATATATATATGCGAAAAAGGTCAAAAGGTGTAGAAAATCATGATCGTAGCGGAATTTTCAATAACGTCATTAACGCGCGCATGGTTAACATTAAACATTTAGTTTCTATTTATTATTTATAGTTTTTAAAGTTTATATACTTGTAAAGACGTTTAATAAATTTTTACAAACAATATTTTTCATTTAAAATGAAATTCTCTCAAATGGTATGTACAAAAAAGTAAAATAATATTATATATTTCACATAATGTATAAAAACAGAAAAAAGATATTATTTTTAATTTTTCCATAAAACACTGTAAAAGTTAATAAAAGTATAAATTTTTGAAAAAGTAAAATGTATTTAAAACATGAAATAAAAGAATTTGAATTAAAAGAAAAAAATTATTTATTTCCGTATAACAAAAGTTGGGTGTACACAATTAATAATTTATGCAGCAATAATAATAATAATAATAATAATAATAATAATAATAACTATCATTTAAAAAAAGCACATATTTTTAAAATTAAAACCAATTTTTTGACTAGTAGGAAATTGTAAATAATGGGAAACTTGTAGTAGTAACTTACTTGAACGAATGTTGGATGAAGACATAGTTGTAATATATTTAATGAAAATAAATTTAAATAATATCAATAGCTTATGACAAGATAGAAGAAATAGGAAATTTAAAAATTGATGCGCTTAAATAAATTTCTGTAGAGACAACTATGAACAGCGCTCACATACTTATGATCATATCAACAGCCTCGTCACCTTATTGCGCAAAGCAAAGACTCGCTACTGCTGAAAATAAATTATAAATAAGAAATTTTTTTGAATTCAAATAATATCATTCAATAAAGTTCACAATATGGCACATACTCATCTCAGTATCTTAAAAACCTACATAAAACATATATGTAAGATAAAAAAAATAAAAGAATAAAAGAAATGTTTCCATATACTGTGCGATTGATCATATAAAGACACGTCACAAAAGTATTTTTCCAAAAACCTTAAATTACATGCGCATTCAATTGTATTTAGATAAAAGACATACACAATAGAATGTGAAGAAATTTTTGTCCTAATATTGTTATCTAGAAATTTTGTGGTAAAATTCCATGCGTCTCCTATATACTATGGCTGGTGCAAAGTTGTGAGCCCATGTTTTTTAAATTTAAATTCCTATATTTAATCTAATGATTCACAAAGTAACGAAATAAAATATTTAAATATTTCAGAAAGCGAAAATAGCATTGCACTAATTTTTCTCCTCTATTATTATGTAATGGTGCGGGTCGGCTTTAATTTCAAAAAAAGTCCAACAGTAGTATAGTTTTGAGAGTTTCTATGGATATATTTTACTCCAAATGTACATCATTAGTATAGAATAAATTTTCGAGACAAATTTTTCTTTAAAATAATAATAACAATAATAATATTTTAATATACCTACACAATTTATTATTAATGATATAATTAAAATTTTGTATAACAAAGTTTAAAAACGTTTGTTAAAAAGAATACAAAAGTATTTTTTGAGTTTCCGAATTAATAAATTAATGTGAAAAAATGTAAAATATTACGAATTGCAATTTTAAAATGATTTAAAAAATGGAGAGTAGGATGATTGAATAATTTTAAGATGATTAAAATATATGAATTAATTAATTTAGGGATATAATGTTAATTAAGGGGGGAACCCCAGTTGTAACGTTAAAAAAAGTGCCTTTTTTCAAGAATTTTTTCCTAATAAATCATAAAACTCTTTTAAAAATATTATTTATTACCTATAAGTACATACATAAGACCTTAATTTAAGAAGAAAAAAAAATTTTTTATCCAAAACTTTCTGAGATATGAGTCATTGAAGTGACGCTTTCAGAAAAAAACTTGAATTGCGGTGACCAGCATTCCGCAAGTACAGTTTTTGTCTGAAATGCAAAAATGAAATTATGATTTACATTTATTATAAGATTATCTAGTTCCCGATCGAAGGATTTAAAAAAAATATTTGACAAAATGGCATCCTGTCAAAGTCATGAGCATGATTTTGGTTAAATAATAAAAGTCGATTTTCAATTGTAGAAAAAAAAGTTTTGCATAAAAAAAAATCCTTTTGATCGGGAACTAGATAATCTTATATAATAAATGTAAATCAATTTCATTTTTGCATTTCAGACGAACTATACTTGTGGAATGCTGGTCACCGTAATTCATGTTTTTTTCCTAAGGCGCCGCTTCTATCAATAGCTCATATCTCAGAAAGTTTTGAATAAAAAATTTTTTTTTCTTAAATTAAAGCCTTATGTATTTGTACTTTTAGGTAATAAATAGTATTTTTAAAAAAGTTTTATGGTTTATTAGGAAAAAATTCTTGAAAAAGGCACTTTTTTTAACGTTCCAATTGGGGTTCCCCCCTTAATTTTATAAGATAGGTGAATTGAAAAAATTTTTTTAAAATCTCATGAGCAAATTAATATAATGGATAATTAAATTAAACCAGTGTTAAACACGTGTAAAACATGTACAAGCATATACATATGTATACATATATTTATGAAGAGTTTGGAGGCATAACAATTTTTATCGTTATTATTGCAAAAGAGTGCGCGCGGTGATATGTTACGCATATATAATCGAAATTTTTTTCCAATAATCTATATAATAATAACTGTACTCAAGATAAGAATATATGTAAACTAACTTTATTGTTTTTAGCTGTATTTCATAAGTAAATTTATAAAATATTTTTTCTTTAATAATTTGTCGGAATGAAAATAATAAAAAGATTACACAAGTAAATAATAAGGCAAAATAAATAAATATTATAAACTGATATTTATTCAAGTCCTTTTTGGATAACCGAAGCGTGCAGCTTCTTCAAACATTGCAATTAACGAATCAACTATTTCTTCACCATTTGGAGTAATTTGACTTGCAGGAAGTAAAAAGCCATATCTGCCTTTGTCACGAAATTCATATGTGAAGACAACTGGTAATTTTAATGTACCCTTTACCCAATCACTGGAACTTCCACTCGCAATGTCTATAATAAAATACAAATATGGGAATTTAAATTTATGAATATTCCAATGTCCTAATAAAAATATTGTTTCTCAAATATTTTTGTTTCTGCTTTTCAACAGTACAATAAATTAAAATATTCCAATGATAAAATGTTCAATTCAATTGGATGTTATTTATACGCAAGAATATTGACTTGAAAAAAAATTTATCCTAAAAGATTTGACAAATTTCCGCAATACTGCTGATGACAAAAAAAGTCCTATATACTTACAAATGGTTTCGGCAATATTTCCTGTAACATATTTTGTACCATATCTTTGCTGAAGAGCGGCTATTGCCTTCTTTCCCATTGACAACTAAAAAAAATGTATATTCAATTATGAGTTAGTTGTATTTAGAATTTTAGATTTAATTGCAGTTGAAAGAATAATGAAACAGCAACAAATTTATTTAGTCTATATGTAAATAGATGAAAATATTTGCGTTTTCACACCTCTTCATCGTAGTTGTCTAAATGTGATTTAGTGTGACCATAAGGGAACATCAACAGTTGAGAATAACTATGGAATGAAATATACGCAAATATTTCATTAGAAATTGATTTAATATAATTAGCCATTGATTTTGTTTCGGGTTCACTAAACTCCTCTGATCCAGCATAAGTTTCAGCACAAGGAAAACTGCTTGCACCACCGGCTGAAACATGTGAGAATACATTATTTATAATAATCGGTTAATAATCACAAAAATTGAGTAAATCATATACATTTTTTATTATAAAGCAAAGTAAAATGTTCAAGTATGTATTAAACATAAAAAAAGAAAGTTGTACTACCTTTGATAAAAAAATTTTCTTTACACACAAAAACAATCGCATTAAACAATTTACATATATACATATGCGGGCAATAAGATTTTAAAGTATAATAACTATAAATAACCTTGTAATAAATTTGTATTAGTTTTATGCCATTCATAACAATTTATTCACTTACACATCCATTTGAAACCCCAGTTTCTGTTGGCATCAACTCCAGGACAAAATTTGTTTTTCTTTGATCTCGTCTTTCTCCATAAACGATTCTGTAAATAAAAGGTTTAGGTTTATTCAAGATATTGAGAGGACTTTCATTATTGAATTATTACCTTATTATGAGTATAAACATAACCATCGGGATTAAAGCTTGGAAATATGTACCAATTGTAATTCTCAGCAAGTTGTCGAATACTATTTTCTTTACTGTTCAGCAATTGATTAATAAGATACAAGGCTGTGGCAGGAGTTATCCATTCTCGAGCATGAATTCCTGCTTCTATAAAGATACCAGGATTTTCTTTTTTGTAAGAAATTTTCACACCTTTTATAGAACGACCTTCTGTGGTTTTTCCAGCATCAACAACTTGAACAACATTATGATTTTTAGACAGAGACTCCAAGTGGTCATAAATTTCATCCAATGTATGATATTCATTAAAAGCAAACTCTGAATTTGTCTTTTTTCTTGGATTTTCGGTGTCGATTAGACCCTGAACATTTTCAATGAATGTATTGTAATTAATCCCAATAAAATTCATTCTATTTTCAAATTCAATAGTTTGTTCAGGGGCCACCATTAAATCAACAGAATTGTTTACAAAAGCAGGTCCATTCCAAAAGAGAAACTAGACAAAAAAATATTATATTCCAAGTATAAACAAGTAGCATACGCAAATGAAGACAATAAATAAATATTGTTTCATTAATTCTTACATTATCATCCTGCTTTATTTGATTTAACAAATCAACATGTTGTTCAGTTTGAGGTAAAATTCTATAAACTTTAAAGTTTTCAAATGTGACTTTTTCATCTGTAGCTAAAACTACCGCAATGGTGAATAAAATATTTAAAAACAGACGCATTTTGCATTTATAAATCCTGCAAATAATAAAAGGAAATTATTGCATTTATGATTGTATATACTATATATATATATATATATATATTAATCAAAATTAAAAAATTCCAGAGAAAAGTTTCTTTTGTGTATTATATGACTCGGAACGCATTATTATTGTTTATATGAATACTTGAATAAATTAATTAATATTAAAACATGCCAACAACTTATGTTTATATACTTGATAACATGATTTATTTTTATGAAATTAAATTTTTATTGAAATATATAGGTATTACAAAAGTATTTCAATATTATAGAGAAGAATTGAACGAGAAAATATTCTGTACTCACCGCAGTCACACCCCCATTAAAGGTGCAAGAAAATAAAATCACGAGTTTATATATACTTACCTTGAAATACCCCGCTCCAACATAAAATGACAAAGAATTCAATTCCTCTAAATAGAAAAAAGGAGAGATGGTACATAAAAATCAATCAAGAAATTGAAATCTAAATCAAGATATAATACATATTAAAAAAACATTCCTAATTGATAACAACGATATATAATCATACGATAAAATATATATTTCTGATAAAAATGTCTACAATAAAATTCAAAATTTAAATTTAATAATATTAAATTTAAAATGACCTACTTTGAAAATGCTGGTAAGAATATATTTGCAAATATCAGCCTTGCGAAAATGTTAATGAGAGCTTTATGTTATAGTGCGCAAAAAAAACAAACCGGATTTAAAAAAGGACATTTGTGAAAATGGATCGATCATTTTCTTTAAAATTTCAAGATGCCCATAAATTACGTAAGACATTTTTTTGGAAAATTTGACACCCCTCCCCCCTCGTAAGATATTTTACATACATTAGCGCCATTTTTCCTATTGTTCGTAATTTATGGACGGCCCCTATGTAGAGTTTTAAAAAAATTGATTTTTCTTCATTTCCTTAAAAATTTTTTACTTATACAATTATAAAATAATTATTGTCATCCAAGACATTTTTTTGAAGAAATATGCAAAAGAAAAAATGTATATAGCAATTTTTATGACCGGAATAACATTAGACATTTTATCTTAAAAAAATAGACAACAAACCTGTAAAACTTGATGTTTTTACTTCCTGTTATTTTCTACGGATGTAAATTGACCTAAAAACACAGCATTTTTTCAATGTTTTGAGAAAAATTGTAAAACTTGAAAAAAGTTAAGTTAAACCTACAGTTGGGAAAATAAACTAAAAATAATTTTTTTAATTCTCTTCTTTTAAAACAAATTTTTTGAAATGAAATAATTATAAATAATAACATTATATATTAAAAAGTGTCCATTTATAATATATATATATATATATATATATATATATTGCTTGGAATAATAAATCTTAATCAAATTGAGTAAAGTCGGAAGCCAGGTATCATATTTATTTTTATTATTTCTCTTTTACATACAACTTGATAGAAAATTGCAACAATATTGACATTTCCTCAATATTTGGAAACATATTGAAAAAGTTTTATTAATTTACTCTGCTGCATCAAGTTTTCGGGACTGTGTGGGTTATCACATGTTGGAATTCTTAAACCCTATAGCCACAATAAAGAGAAAGAATTTATTCAACTTGATACATGAAACACATACATTAATATATATACGTACAAGTGTGAATTGAAGCGTAGATATAACCAGTCGCTTCCCGCACATGTTTGTACAACCTGTTGACGCAGAGAATCTAATCAGTATTTTTTTTAGTCTTTTATTACAAAATGAGCAGTAAATATAAAATTAAGGTAAGTCTAAATAATGCAAAAATTTTAGCCTCAATGATGATTTTGATACTTGATTATTTATTTATTTATTTATGTGCCTCTAAATAAAGAATCTTTCGCAGTCGTCGTATATAATAATGAGTACGGTACTGCACACAATAATTTATCATTGACATAATTATTATATTTCGAAACAGAATATAAATTCTACAATTTTATAAAATTGACTAAAAGAGTGATGAAAACAAAATCATGTCAAATTATAATATGGAATCACAGTTTGTTCGATAATGTAAAAATTTAAAGCATGAACAATAAAAAATTATTCTAAACATATCCTCTGAAACATTATTCATCAGGTGGGTATTATTGGTGGATCTGGACTAAATGATCCTGGAAATCAAATCCTAAAATCTTGCTGTATTATTAAGCGTGAAAGTGTCGAAACAGATTTTGGATTGCCGTCTAGTAATCTTTTCCAGGGAACAATAGCTGGAGTTGATTGTGTATTACTCTCAAGGTAATAATAACAGCAGATTATAGGGTGTAACATACATACACATGCACATCTATATAGTTGTTTTTCTCTTTTCTATATTGAAAAAAAAAATTTAATACATCTCTCAACTTTTTTTCCATACTATAGGAAAAAAATACAATCTAATTATATAACTGTATCTTGTAGACATGGTGTAGGGCATACAATAAATCCAACTGGTGTTAATTATCGTGCAAATATTGAAGCCTTGCGTTCTGTCGGATGTACACACATTATAGCATCAACAGCCTGTGGTTCTCTCGCGGAGTCTATTGACAGAGGTCATTTCGTTATTCCAGATAGTTTTATTGACAGAACTATTCATAGAAAGGGAACATTTTATGATGGTACGTCACAAAGTTATCAAGGAATTTGTCACATTCCAATGGAACCATCATTCGATCCTCAAGTCTCTAATATTATTCAGAGAGCATCTGAACAAGTTGGAATAACTATCAGGAAAGGAGGAACTATTGTGACAATAGAAGGTCCCAGGTATTCATCAAAGGCCGAAAGTAAAGTTTTTCAGTCTTGGGGTGGGCACTTGGTCAATATGACTATATGCCCTGAGGTAACTCTCATTTTAAATTAATAATGTAGACAAGTGTCAATAATAATTGAATAATAATAATAATAATAATAATAATTCTTCAACTTTGTTTTTTCAGGTATATTTAGCAAAAGAAGCAGGAATTCTTTATAGTGCAATTGCTTTAGCAACTGATTATGATTGCTGGCATGAATCTGAACAAGTTGTATGTACCTCTGACGTATTAGACGTATTTAAACAAAATGTTGGCAGATTAATTGAGGTGATTGTGAAATCAGTGGAACTAATTGGAAAACAAAATTGGGATCAGCAGATCGATAATCTCAAGGTATGCATCGAAAAAGACGTATTCTAAATTTAAGAATATAATCTTGGTTCATATATTTAAGTATATTTTAATCCAAATATTTTATTCTCATAAAGTTATAGAATAAAATATTTCTTAGATAACAAACTTAAACTCTGAAATATTTCCCATTTTAATATTACCTATATTCCACCTTTTAAAAGGTGGATAATAAAAGTAGGATAATAGAAAAGCCAAGATTATAGAATATATATCCGGTTTTTAATCGTTCCGATTTTATAAACTAGTATACTTGTACACAATAGAAGTAAAATTCTTCACGTTAGACAATGCAACAAGTATGTACGTTTTAAATAATTGGTTAAATTAAAACATTTCAGACATTGTATAATTTTTCTTTGAATATGGCAATAAGCATTTAAACAACACATTTATATTTAATTTTCAGGAAATTATAAAAAGCAACACCCTTATTTAGCTGCAAGAAAACATGAAACGAATATTTTACGATAAAAAGATTGCTGACCAAAATTAGTAGGACTTTTATCCTTGTTACACTCACCGAAAAACGCAAGCGTGTAAACACTGCCCAAGGCACAGAGTCCGATTATATCTGTATGGGAACGTGTCGTGCTGTAGTGACCATTGTAGAACCTGCTTGATTTCCCGTTTGCGATTATTATTTCCGTTATGTTTATATTTGGCCTATAGCTTAAGAAATAATTATATTTCTCACTTTTATTTAATAAACAAATAATAAAACTTGTATGCATTTCTCAATATTATTTAATTTATATAAGAAAATAAATCCTTTTAAATAAAATTATATTAAAATTTATTCAATTGTAACCACAAATCGCAAGTTCTATGAGTGTACAATTTGCAAAAGTAATTTATAACAGAATATCAATTTTACACTAAATGCATAATTTATTTATTTTAAAAATTCTTTTTTGTTTCATAATAAATAAAGAAGAAAAGTAGCTTTGAGGATAAACTCTTAAATATAAAGTCAAAAACCTTAACGTACTAGTTATACTGGACTTTTCTTCAAGTACAAGGTAATTGTGATGTGTATATATTTACAGTCTTACGAAAAAAATATACAATGACGCAATTTGCGCAAAAAGTTTCTAAATATTACAAGTTTATTGATATTGAACTTTTTTTTCTTAGATTAATTTGCGCAGTAAGGAAGAAACAAATAAATTATTACGCAGACATATCTGTACATTCAATTCCCTTTAATAAATAGAATTCTATTCATGTGTGTATTGAGTAACATGTTTCTAATTTCAACATTTTAAGGAGACATAAATTTGTAGACCGGAGACGCGATAATGTTGATGAATTAAAATACATTTTAAAGTTGAAAATATTAAAAGTTACACATTTATAGGATCTTGAAATTAGAGACATTTTACTGTACTCATGTAAATACTGCATGTAAAAACTGCACACTATTGTAACTTTTTCCATTAAGCAAACCGTAGTATGTTTTAGGTTGATTGTTGATTTCAATTTTAAATATAAATATAAATAATAGAAAGAAATCTAATTCTGCAGAACCTTTGTAGTTTAAATATTTTAGTATTTAAAGCTCAAGTACAATAATATATGAATATGAGTTGGAAAAGTACAGACATGATGTTCGAACCCAAAGTTTAGGCCAATACTTGTTGTTACAGGGCACTATATATATATATATATATATATATATATATATATATATATATATATATATATATATATATATATATAATATAACATTAGAGAAAGGCAGTTTATACTGCCTCAAAAACCAATACTTATGCCAAACACAACCCTGTTCATCGTTTGACCAAATTAAGAATTTTGAGCACATACTTCTAAGCATAATAAGAAAACAACAGATTACTTTAAGGTCATGTCCAATTATATTATAAGGAAGAAAATTCCTTCTTAATGGAATATTTCATTAATACGATACATGGTGAAAATGAATGTGTTGTATTAAAAATAAATTTTTACCAAGTTGATAAAAAAAAGGACATAATGCAACTATTAAGACTGACTTACAGTGGATTTAGTTTTGCGAATAAGGAGTTTACGAATGGACAAAGTCCACTTTGAGCGATGAAGACTTGATTGACGTTGAGTATTTTCGCTGTTGCAAGATTCACTTTTATGGCTACTGCTGCACTCATAGGAACGTGATCTGCGGTCTCCTATTTCCGAAGAAAATCTAAAATGTAATTTTAAATTACAACTGCCTCAAGTAGTAATATTATTTGTCTGCCATATTTAGTCTTACCCTGAATCCGAGGAAAAGGCTCTACAAGTCGGAGGCGTATTTGAAACTTCGACAACAGGAACACCAGAATATTCATCTTCTGAACTGGATTCGTCGATGTAACCTATTTCACAATCCAGTGTTGGTAATACTGATGGTACACTTGGTAATAACCAACTTCGTAAGTCTTGAAATGGAGCTTGAAAACATTTGAACAGCTTCCCACTAAAATCAAATTTTTGTTGAAAAATATATTAAGAATCGAAAGATTCACACGAAAAACAACCACATACTCATTCCGAAAGTCGTCAACTTGATCGGTGAAGGTGCGTTTAGCATAAATGCAGACAGAACACCTTCTTCTGCTTCGACAAGCTGTTGCATGTAGTGCTGCAGCCCTCATATGCCTTGCAGTATGACGTAACGTCACAGCTTCTTGAGTCAAAGCAGCTATTCCTTCTTCACGCCGAAGACGTTCTGCACCCAATTCATTTTGTTCCAATCTCAGTTTTTCTTTTAGTACTTCATTCTAAAATTATTAGATTATTAAGTAATGAATATTTCAAGTATAAGTATTATTTATTAATATAATGTAAATAAATACCTCTTGTTCTAATGCATCGCGTTCTGTGCGAATAATTGTTGCTTGTTTGATGACTTCTTGTCTCGCTCGTTCTAAAGAGCGTCTTGTTACTTCATTCTGGGCAGTGTGCAGGTGAAGCTGCCTCAATACACCAGCTTGATCACGTTCCAATCGATCATATTCTGACCTACAAGTGTCTCGATCTATTCTGACTCGCTCAATTTCATCTTCAAGACGTAGGCTTCTTTCCAACTGTAAAAAGAGTTCCTCTTCCTTATCTCGAAGTTCTGATTCGCAGCCTTCCAATTTCTTTTCTAATATCCATCTTGTCTGTTCTAATTTATCACGCTCAGTCTATAAAAAACCAATAGTAATTAGAATATAATTTCATTTCATTTCATTTTACATTATCAAATGCATTTAATCCACCTTTAATTCTATATAACGTTCTTCTAAGTAATATACTAGTCCTTTTGCTTCTTCGTATTTAGTTGATAGTGCAATGTATTTATCATAATGCCTTTTAAATAGGACGAATCTGAAAAAAAATGAAATTATTTTTACTTTTATGTATGAGTAAATTGTCCCAATTCATGAAAATGTACTTTTTTAATCTCAGAAATTTAGTACAGAATGTTTAGACACAACTATTAGTTGAAATATTTTTTAATCTGTTCTAAACATAATTTCAGTGTTAAAAGTAAATTGAGGGAGCATTTTCAAGTACACTAAATTTATTTAAACAATGTAAATTTTTAATTAAACAATGTGTGCTAGTAACTTTCAAGTCCTTTACATATACTTGTATGCATATGTAAAAGGCTAAAAAGAGCTTTTTCTTTCACTTGGCTCGTATATTATACAACAACTTAAAAATTTAGGTTATGTTTCAACACAATTGTTGTGGCATTATATTAAAATTAATATATATGTAAAGCTATAATATTGTAAAATTTTTAAATGTATTTTAAAAGTGTTAATAATTTGAATGATTAAGAATTAATGTTTCTTTTACCTATAAAAGTCATTTTCAGACACAATATCACGAATAGAATCAACAGGATCGATTCTTGCAGAAGGCGTGCAAGAAATAAGATCTTCGGAAATTGCAGACACTGGAGTAGGTGTCCTGGACATTGGTTTAAAAAAATCCTCACTTTTAGAATGCCTCATTTTGCACGTACTGTTATTGTTGTTGTTGTTGGTTTTAAACACATCTTTATTCACTGCTTTATAAAGCCCGTTAGAAACTAATATTAATACATCTGTCATTATTTCACATCACAAGAAGAGAGTAGAAAATTCATATTAATCACAATCTTTTGCCTTTAATATAATTGAACAACTTTTTTTTTTTGCAAACAATATTTAGAAAAATAAATATTTTCTGATGTTTAAATGTATTTCACTTTTTAAAATTATAAAAATTTGTAGGTTGCAGTTTTTGCAACATTAGAATATTTATAATTATATATACTGAAACGGATTCAATATTTTTAAGGCAATACAAAGTCTTCTTGCTCATACCACTCATACATAAATCAACTTTTCATTTACTTCGAAAAAATCTAATAGAGGGTACCTGAGTACAGAAAAATGCACCACTTCCCCCTTGTGTATATTAACTTTCCCAATTATTCCCACCATCTCATTAAAAGTTTCCGACTTTCACTATTTTAGGGTTCTTCTATAAAGGTACATACCGGGCATTGGAAAGAAAAGGCCACGAATAGCTTCTGTCATTGTCTTTTGCATGTACTGTCCGTATTCTTTGTGTACAATTACTCTTAAGTTGCGTCCACAATATATTAAGGTGCGCGTACCGTAAGGAGTAAGAGAGTCAGAAAATTCAAATTATTTTCTCTCCCTTACTCTCGTTGCTTACCAGTCACACCTAGATGTGAGTGCACCTTTAAAGGCCAGTGCACTCTGGTTGAAGAAACTATTGTGCACTGATCTTAAACTGATATTTAAAGTATAGTTATACTGCACTCTGCACATGATTGCATCTTTACACAAGTAAATAAAAATATTTCTTTTGTTATTTCATTTAAAACTTAAAATTAACTCGAGTCAAAGCAAACTTTTTATTAAATGTAAAGATGCTACGAAAATTCTGGAAAGAAGCATTTATTTGATTTGAATAAAAAAATTTATTGTTTAATACGAATAAAAATCAATATTATCCGTGTTTCCGCGCAAACGTCAACAAAGAACTTTAATTGGTAGTAGGCATAAAGAAAGAAAGAAAGAAAGTAAGTAAGAAGAAATATTAATAACGAATTCTTAATATTCGTGAAAACTTTATTTTTTACCAATGATCGTCAACCTAAAAATATCAATGCAGCCGTAAGGTGCATTCTAGGAGGGAATGACGCTTGAAGATCCTTTTTTTGTCGTCAAAGAGTAAGTATTGTTTCTTTAACGATTTAAAACTATTAATTTTATTATATTATTCATTACATGAATGTATAATAATAATTTTTATATTTATGTACTGTATTTAATATGTCGTTTAAAATTTAGCGAGGTAAATAAAGCTTTAAATAAGACAAGAAATCTATATAGTCGTTGGGTAGAACTGCAAAATGTTGTCAGTATCACTCCTACGTTAAATTCGCGACATCCAGTTTCGCAGGAGGAATTGGAGTGGACTACAACTGAATTACGAAACGCTTTACGGTCTATTGAATGGGATTTGGAAGATCTTGAAGATACTATTTATATCCTTTTCTTATTTAATAAATATATAATAACATATGTGGACGTCCACATGAAAAGGGCCCATTTTGGCACTATTGGACTTATCTACATGAGCGAATTCCTTGCAAAATTTGGAAAATTTTTAGTGGTCATAAAACTTTTTTGGTGAAAAATTCGATGAGTTACAGAATTTCAAAGTTTAGAACGCCAAACCTCATTTCGAGAAAAACGGAATTAAAAATTGTGATACCAATTGATGGTGATATCTCTGGTTCTTCTGGGAAGTTATTCAGATAAGAATTATTTCCAGTCCAGGGCACCTTTAAGATGAAAAAACCAATAGGTTTAAAATTTTTAAAACCAACCCCCTCCCTCAATTTTGAAAAATATGAAAATTCGACAAAATGGACCCTTTTCTAAAAAGGAGGTTTTTTTTTTATTAATAAACCATTTTTTACAAGGTTAATGATTGAGTGCAATTTTATTGTGTCATTTGAAGAAAAAGAATAGAAATTAAACTTATTTAAAATTTTTTAACTGTCTCTATTGCGAAAAATTTTACTAAAAAAATATCGAATTTTTCATTTCTATGACTACAAAAACAAAGACTCTAACATTAATATCTCTGGTTCTTCTGGAAAGTTATTCAGATAAGAATTGTTTACAGTCCAGGACATCTTAAAGATGAAAAATCAAGAGGTTTTAAATTTTTCCACACCTCCTTTTTTTAAAATACGGATTACTTTTGCAAATGACCGACAGAATGGGCCCTTTTTATTTTTCTAAAGAGCCAATGAAATCAAACAGTTAAATTATCGATAAATTAATGAAAACCGCATGATTCGACTTGTCAAAACATGTAGATTGATAATAAAAAATTTTTAAAAATTAAGATTTAATTTTAAAAAAGCCTCCAATCTTGTTCTTATTACAAATGAGAATTTATTTTGTATATAATAATTAAAAGTAAATACTGGCATGCAAGATTTAGAGAAATTAGACGAAATAAATAACTTGCATGTTTTTATTGAAATTACCGTGTATTAATTTCCTTAATAATCACAAACACGTATCGTCGAAAAGAATCCTTCAAAATTTAAAATTGATAATAAAGAATTAGTATTTCGAAGGCGTTTCATTGAAGAAACTCGTGACGAAGTGAAAGTAAATTCTTTATAAATATAAAAATTTGATGGTTTATAAATATGTATAAGAAAAAAACAAGGAATATATTGTTGATAATTTTCAGATTATGAAAGACAAGATGAATTTAAGTAGAGGTCGAGATCGGGATCGTACTGCTAGACAGGTATTTTGAAATTAATGTTTTCTTAATTGCTTTTGTGTGATATGCAAAAAAGGAGAGGAAGAAATTTTTACAAATTGAAATCAAAATGTAATTTTTATTTTTTTGGTTTCGATTTAAAATAAACTACAATAATAATTAATATTTTGTTTTGCAGCCACTTTTAGACAGTCCTGCTAGAGCACTACCAGTTTCCCACAATTCAACAAAATATAGCAAATTAGAAAATGAAATCGACAGCCCTAATCGACAATTTTTAGACACAACGATGCACCAACAACATACCATGTTGCGCCAACAAGATGAACAACTCGACATGATAGGAGAAAGCATTGATACTCTCAAGACTGTTTCGAGGCAAATTAATACAGAATTAGACGAACAAACAGTGTAAGCTTAAACTTGATTTTAGATTAATTTAAATTTATACATCTTTCAATTAATTTAATAAATAATTTTATTAAATTTTCAGAATGTTGGACGACTTTGGAAATGATTTAGAGGTGACGGACTCAAAATTAGATGCAACTATGAAAAAAATGTCAAAAGTCCTTCATATGAGTAATGGTAACTATAATAATTACATTCCTGCTCCTTCTACTTCATCATTTCATGATACTTATTATAGAACCAAATCTTTATATTCTTTATCAACCACTATTACCAACTGTTTTCTTTGTTCTAAAGAATAACTTACCATTCAAAATCATATTAAAAAAAATTATTCTTTTTTAATTATTTTAAATAAATAAAAGTCTTTACATGGCGACTAATGGTAATGTCTCAATAGAAAAGCAAATTTTAATAGAGTAAATTGAATAGATTTTATTTAATAATCTTTTTATTTTTTAAAATAAACATGGCAATCTTTCTTATACAGCAATAAAAAATATTAAAAATTAATTTTCAAAAATTCCGAATATTACGCTTCAAAAAATATGAAAGCTTTTCACGAAGAATATCTGGATTAAATTAGAATCATACTCTTTCTTTTTAGATTTAATGTACTATATTATTATTGTTGAGCAATAGAATAAACTATTATGTATAACCATAATTTTGCCGAATCTGGATAACTTTTGTAAACCATACTATTTCGTATGAAAAGTTTATAAAGCAAACATTATATACGAAACATTACGGTTTATAGCCCTTATTTAAAACAATATGGTTTTCCATTGAACCATTGAGTAATAAAAAAAATTGTGTTAATAGAACACAATAATTACTGGTTTAATTATAGTAGAATACACAAGTATTGAATAAAGTATATTTGTAAATAATAGTTTATCAAAATATGCCAAACTTTTTTTGTTTTTTTTTTTGTTTTTTTTCATAAGAATTTAAATTTATCTTGAATAGGAATTATTTTCTTTCAATTTGTTATTTGTGAAATTTTAAGAAAAAGTTTACTTGTACAATTATTATTATTATTATTGTTATCGACAATGTTGTCTTTAAATTTGTTTTATTTTTATCAAACATGTATAATGTCTTTGGGAATCTAAATAAAGTTCCAAATGTTTTTAAAGTATTGAACAGTTTGTTAAAAACCCATACAAAAAATTGAAATAATATAAACTTTTATTGTACTAGATGATTTTAATCAAGTAGCAAATTACTTTATGTTTGTTTTAGATCGCAGACAATGGGTAGCAATTGGAGTCTTGACTGCCATATTAATAGTTTTAATTATTTTATTTATAATTAAGTAAATGATTTTTTGTCAGTTGTTTTTCATCGTTTTCTAATTGTAAATGTTAAATACGTTAAGTTTATTCAATTTTTTCTCTTTATGTCGTTAAACGTTGATATTTAATAAAAAAAAATATACAAAAACTCTTTGTTATATCTTTGCACTCGCGACATTTTAGTTAAATTTTAGTCAAGTATAAATTAAGATATATATTTTTGTAATTAATACAGATTTATTATTTTTTATAAAATTAAGTTATACAAAATTATAAAATAACTTTGATTGTTTAATCAAGTGGAATCGAATCACTTGATTATTAGAAAATTATAAGAAAAAAAAATTAAAATTTTTTTTTTATGTAATCAAGTCTTTGGCATGAAACCCTCAAGGCTCTAAACGTACACGCTTGTGGCAATCTGTAGGCAGAGCTTTTTTAATGTCGTCTATATTTTCGACTTCTAATTTGAGACGATTTACTTCATCTTCATAATTTTTTACCCATTGAGTCTGAAGATTCTTTGCGTCCGTTAAAGTTCGAATTCTTTTATCTAAATTTGCAGCTTTTATTTCTTCCTGAGCTGCAAGTAACCGTTTCTCCAAGAGATTCAAATCCTCATCATCTGCGGGGACATAATGACATATTTTCAATTTACATGAATTAATAAAAAAAAAAAAAAAAATATGAATTTAAAAGTTTCTTACTAATTTCAGGCAAAGCTTCTAATTCTTTAACAATTGCAGTCACATCATCAAGGGCTTTTTGTACTTGATGAGAAGCAAGAGAGGTATTAGTTTTAGCCTGACCAACTTTATAGTTTGCCTTAAAAAAAAGAAGAGAAAATTATAATATCTGTAGTCTAAAATAACGTAAATGTAATTACTTATGCAATTACTTCATTTGTAGCATTGACATCTCTTTCCACTTGATTTTCATATTGTTTAATCAGTGACTCAGTAATATCAACTCTAGTATGTAATTTTTCTGCTTCACTTCCCAATCTGATGGCTTCCATTTTTGTTTTATTGGCCTCGATTCTAATGTTATTTGCATTTCCGCTGGCCTTTTCTGCGTCTGTCTGTGAAAATAAAAAAGTTATTTACCATTTGTGTACAATTAGTAAAACTATTTTTATAATTGACTTACTTGGGCATTTTTTGCAAAATTTCGAGCACCCATGGCATTTTTCTCCGAATCTTTTAGTGCATTTTGAGCCTCATTTGCTTTATTTATTGCATTGTGTACCAATTGTTTAGTATTATCAATATTTTTAAGAGCCTCATCAGCTTTAACACGAACTCGTTGCACTTCAGCGTCAAATTCTTTTATTATGAACAGTAATTAAATAAAATTTTAATAAATAGACATGTTTTAAAAATTATTATTATTATTATTATTATTAATATTACCACTCAGTTTTTGAAAAGTTTCTTGAGCTTCTTTTAAAGTTAGAGCGCCACGATTAACAGCTTCTTCTGCTTTAGCATTAGCCCCATCGACATCAGATAATAATTCTGCTGTTACGATTTGCTGTTCTTGAGCTCTTTCCAGCAACTTTTCACCATCTTTTATTTTCTCTGCCTTCTCTCTAAGAATATATTCATTGTCTTCTAATAGTAACTGTGCCGTTTCCTTAAGTCTTTGACCCTATATATATATGAATGACAAAAATTTCCGTCAAGTACTTACTCAATTAGAATTATAGGCTTCTTATTGTGACAGTTTTTTTTTATATTTACCTCATTATTAATAGAATCAACATGATTTTGTAAATCAATAACATTTACAATTGGAATAGTAATATCTTGAATAAATAAACCGAGTGCCTCGTCAGAAACGTTAATTGATTTCAAGAGTGTTGTTGCAGTCAGGTTTAACACTTCATTAAAACCGTCTCCCAAAACACCGAGTTGATGATCAAGATTTTTTATCTCATCACTGAATTACATAACAATAAATTAAAGTCTCTTTTAATAAATATTATGAAGAATATAATATTATTAATGTACATTTACCTAATATTTGAGTTCATTGTTATTGCTTTTTTGGCTAAATTGTAAGCTTCCATTGAATTATTTCGAGCAAGTTCTGCGAGTTCATGTATTTTCTTCGCTTCATTTACATGTCTAAAAATAACAAGAAAAAATACAATGGATTTCAATATAATTTCATTATTTAAATAAATTATTTAAAAAAAAAAACTATTTACAAATCTGCCAAACTTCGCGCTTCTTTTGCTATATTTGTCATTTCTTGATTTTGTTGGCCAACTTGTTCTGCTCGTATTCTAGCATCCTTTAAGGCCGTTTGTCCATCAACATTCAAATAATCCTCTTCTTCCTATTATGAAACAAATTCATATAAAATCTTGATAATTAACAACAAATACAATACAATTATAAACTGATGACTCACATTCAACTGTTCGTGAATTTTATCAAGTACTTTTTCGGCTTCATCAATGCTCATTTGACCCTGCATGGTAATTTTCTGTGCATTCATTGCAGTTTGATCAACATTTTGGGAAATTTCTTCAATTTCATTCAATTCATCTCTGATGTCGTCCAGTTGTTCAACCAATGTTTTCTTCTCATCTACAAAGAAGAAAGATGATGAAAAAAACAATAGTTTATAGAATGAATATTGCTTTTCCAAAAATTATCAGAAAAAATTAGCACACTCACTTCCAGACCCTTGTTTCGCAAGTGAAACAAGCTTCTTTATTCTTTCTTGAACATTTTTTAGTTCCTTCTCAAAATCAGAATCTTTTATAACAGTTGGACTGCTATTGATTTTTTTTAATGTGTCTTCTAAATCACCAAGACGTTTCCTGTGGGAATTGACCGCACTCTCAACTAGATTGTAACAAGGAGGGCAGTCGATGCAACCATATTGACGATTATATTTATTCTCTTTACAGCGATCGCAGCGACGTCCCTCAACATTTGGAAGACACTTGAAGAAAGAGGATTATTATTGAGAAAGAAAAGATTTAGAGTAGTTTAAGGGCATGTTATTCAGTGGTCACGTGCCCCATATACTTTACTATGAGTCACGTGACCCCTGAATAACATAACCTTAAGAAAGTAAAAAAAAAAAAAAAAAAACATTTTACACGGTATTTATACTTACAGGACATTGTCCAACAGCGTCGCACTGAAGATCTTGTGAACCAATAACATCACAATCGCAAGTCTTGCAACCTTCTCGACTAAATCCATATTGATAAGAAATACATGCATCACACCTTAAGCCAGTAATTCCAGGTCGACAGTGACACTGACCAGTCAGTGCATCACATGTACGATTGTAAGATCCTTCTGCGTCACAATTACAAGCTGTGCAACCCTTAAAGTTTTAAATTCCCCTTTAACAATAATTTATAATGTAACAACGTGGATAGTTTCAGTTATTTATTTGAAAATTACCTCGCCACTAATAATGTGGTAATACCCATCTTCACATTTGTCACAATTTCGACCAATTACATGAGCCTTACACGAACAATGACCACTAAGTTGATCACAAGGAGCTACACTTCCATCATCAAGTTCCAATGATCCGGGAGCAAAACATTGACATAATTTACAACTATCCTCTTTCTTATTAGACAAAGCATCTCCATAATATCCTAGTAATAATTAAACATTAAAATTAATTCAAACAGTGTGTAATGTGTTATCAAGTCTTTTTTACTATATAAAAGAAACAAATGAATTATGTTTTTACAAAATATAAAAAATTTAAAATATACCTAATTTTGAAAAAATATACCTATACATACTAGAAATTTAATAAAAAATTTACCTCGAAGGCATTCGTCACAGTGAAAACCGGCAGTGTTATTTACACATTTAAGACACTCGCCACTTTCATGATTACAATTACGGACAGCATTTAAATCAATATTATTATTGCATTCACATGGACGACATGCTTGTCCCTTTTCCGGATTTCCAAAGTATCCATCTGAACAAGTTTCGCAACGTGGACCTAAGAGAAAATTTAATAAACAATTTAAAATTAAAGAAAAACAAAAAAAACTTGTTTGCAAAATTATGTATCTTCTGAAAACAAGCAGCAATACCTGTTCTTCCCAGTGGACATTCAGAGCAAATTGGTTCCGGATTAGTTCCTAGAAGAATACAAGGTCCATTATCAGGACATGGACATGGTTTGCAGTCATTAGATGTTCCTTTCAAAGGATGTCCATAATATCCACGAGCACATAATTCACAATTACTTCCAGCTGTATTATCTTGGCAAATACATTGACCTGTAAAAATAATTTTTAAGCCAAAAATTACTTGAACATTCGCAGTAAAAATTGGTCAAGTAAACACAGAGATATTTTACCTGTTTCCGTTTCACAAATGTCAGCATGCCCGTTACAATTACAAGGAACACAAAGAGCGAATGGTCCTCCATTTGGTGGATCATGATGATAACCTGGAGCACAGGATTCACAAAATTGGCCAACATATCCTGTTGGACATTGACAATGTTCAATCCAATCTGCAGGCTCTCCAGCTGCTCCACGGTGTGCTGTTTCTATCTTGACGTCGTCCAAAAATCCTCTACCTGTAATATTCATTTATTAATAATAATAATGTTTCGGGGGAAAGAAATTAAATAATATAATGCTATACCTTGATGAGTGTATGTGCCACGAATTTTAATAATTGTTAAATTTGAAAGAATGGAAATGAAATTTCTGGAACTAAGTCTTGGCTGCCATCCATAGTCAGGATGTTCATGCAATTTGAATTTGTATTCTTGTGCCTGTAACAAAAAATTAATAAATATTAAATGAATACTTTTGAATAAAATTAAATTAAAATTTAGTAAAAAATTAAAATAAATCCATAAATTACAGTTATAGTTGGTAGGCGATTATCTTGTCCGAAAATAGGTTGCGTGATCTGTTCACCATTTCCACTTTCAATAACAATATCTCGAGCTGTTGGAGCTGGTCCGGTTTCACCGATTCTTAAGGTGAAGCTAAAATCTTGATTATATGATGCCCTTTGATCGCCAAGAAATCTTTCTAGGAAATGTTGAAAAATGTTTTCATGTAAATTATATTTAAAAAAAAAAATAATTTCAAAAAACCTTGAAAAATTATTAACCTGGTGCAAGGAAGTAAACATTATCTCTATCAGGAGCAGTGACAGCTATTGTTTGTGTAAGCGCATCGTAATTTAGGGGAATTGGAGTTCCAGTGGCAACTCCAGCTGTCCAGCGTTCGTTTCCTCTAACAAAATTACTTTCAATTGCTGTCTTTGAATAACCTGTTGCTGCATTGCAAAGCACTGAATGGCCATAACAAAAACAGGGAGTACAACCAAATTCATTTTCTAATGCAAGATTGAAAAATCCAGGCCGACAGCTATTCAAAATAATAATAATAATAATAATAAGAATAAGAATAATTATGAATTTTTTGATTTGATAAATGTATTTTTTTTTGTAATACTAACGTTCGACATCTTTTCCCTTCAACATTATCTTTGCATCGGCATGTACCACTCACAGGATCACAATTGGGTTTATTTTTAAAAGATCCTGCTTCAAAGCATTCACAAGAAGCGCATCCATAAGAACCAAAATTATAGAAATTTGCCAAACATCTATCACATTTATCGCCTGTGACACCAGGCTTGCATTGACATTTGCCTTCACTATTGCATTGTAAACTTCTTGAACCTAATAGGAATTGAAGTTAAAAGAATAAATTCACTTCTGCCTTCTGATTTACTATTTAGGAATAAATCAAATTTATTACCTGTTTCATCACAATTACAAGCAACACAGTAATTATCTTCAGTTCGTTGGTAAAAATTTTCTCGACATCTTTCGCAATTTGCTCCAGCCCGATTGGATTGACAGTCCAAGCAGTGACCTCCATGTCCAGTTAATTTGTATAATTCTTTATCAAAGTAACAGCGATCCGAATAGCCATTGCAGTTACAAGCTATTAAAATAGTTGTATATATTACGCAAAATTAATTTATTGTTTAAAGTTATTTCCATAATAATTAGATATACAATAGAAAAACAAAAGCTTGGAAAGCAAATTTTATCTTAAAACGTGTGATACACATTTCAGAAATGTTCTATACTCACGTTTGCATTCATGCGCATCTATGGTCGTAGCACGACCCCAGGGAGCATCATTATAAAATGGTAGGCACTCATTACAGTCTGGACCAGTTGTAAAATGTTCGCAGCTTTTAAATAAAATTTAAATTTAATTAAAATCGAAATTAAATGATATGATGATAAATTATCATTATTATTATTATCATTAGCAATTATGATGTATTATTATATTTTTATTGCATATATCTAACCGACAAACTCTCCTCGTCCTTCCGTCAACGCTGGTGCTGTTGACACATTCACCGGCATGTCCATTACAAGCGCAACGAGCTCCCACAGCTACATCAGCAATTGCATAGTAATAAGATTTTAATACTTGATCATCTCCAAACACTTCATCTCCGAATGTATTTAATCTGTCTAAAGTAATTCTCAAATCTGTAGCTTGGACCCATTCCTTAAAAGTAGAATAACTTTGTAATTAATCTTGAATTTTATTAGACAATTTGTTAAATTGAAATAAATAATTAACCTGCAATTCGGTGTTGGTCTCAAAGTAGTAAGCAGATGGTCGTCCTTCTAGAGTAGAAAATGCCACAGTTCCTTTAGATAAAGGAGAAATGTCGGAATATTCAGATGTGCAAAGTACTCGAGTGTCATCCCCACGTGTAGTGTCTTTAGACTCTGGCAGTCCGTAAGTATCTCGACACGTGGCTGAGTAAAATTGATATGGTTCCCAGAAAGATTTGTCATTTCTCCTTTTGTAAATTCCCCAACTTTCTGGCCGTGGAGACTCAAATAACACTCTCACATATGTAATGTCAAATGTTTTCCCTAAAAGAATTAATTAAATAAGGCTTTAAATTTTAAAAAGGACATGTTTAAAATTTCATCATGCATAATTTAATAAAAAAAACATTTTCTTTTAAATTCTTTAGATGCGCGCTCGCGCATCTATTTTACAGCTCTGTGAAAATCTTATGTGTGAGTTTTAAACACATGGCTAAGCGCTTCTACAACGATTTCTGAACAGATGTGGTTCACTTCCGGGAAGAATATTGTATTTCTTTATTTCTGTAGAGAAATTCATTTCAAATGGAAGAAAATATTTACTTGAAAATTTATTTTAAAAAAATGTTTACTTACAAAGCATTAATTAAAAAAAAAAAAAAAAGGTTTGCAAATAAATTAATATTTTTAAGGTGAGTTTATTCATTAGACAAAAATTCTACAAGTTTTATAAAATATTAGACCTCTGTTCTGATATTATATACTCAAAACCCCGTGGGTGTACTGATATAAAATTACTACCGAGAATCACAGTGTTTAAACTAATAAACAGGATGGAATTTATCACGTTCCGATAGAGAAAAATAGGGGAAGTCAAAGGTTCATCATCCGCCTACTAGGAACGCCATAATGAAGAGTTTTCAAATAACGATTACAAAATTTAAATACTCGTTAATTTTTTTTTTCAAATAAGAATAATTAAATAAGTAAGTTATTACCAAGGCGAAGTGTAAGATTGACTTGATTTGGAAATTGGATTCCATCCAACATGGTTGTAGATTGCCACCAAGTAGCATTATCATTATTGTCATGATCAGTGAGAAATATTGCAGAATGATCTTCTTGTTTACAAATTTCACAAGATTTTTCATTATTTTGGTTATCGTTGTGCGTTTGCATACAGTACTCAGTAGGTCCTTCTTCTCCGCAAGTGTTTGTAGCTTCCATTACAACACTGAAAGCAGCATTTTCAAACGGCGGTATACACCTCTAAAAAAAGTATTATTATTAGGTATTATTAAATTAATAGCATACAACGCAATAGGCTTTTTTGGCCTACATAAATTTGCAATCAAATAAACATTGTACATTTCTTTAGATTTTTCCAATATCGAAAAGTTCAATTCAATTAAACTATTATTTTAATCTAAAAATCATTTTATAATCATTTGTTATTTATTACGAGAATTCCTAATATAAAGAAATCAACTTTTTATGAATTGGAAATATTATCAAATATTTTCCCTTGAGATAATTTGGGACCCACACTCGTTCACGAACCTTATCTCATCAAGTTCAAGTGAACTCTATGATAACCCAGCATTTTATCCAAAATGTAAACCCCATATATATAAAAGAAAGATTTCTATAAGAGTTAAATATACTATACAACATTCCATCTTATGCTACAAATCATTATTATGGCATATCCTGCCAGCTTTAGACAATATTACACTAAATTTTCTATATACAAATAATATAAAAATTGCAGGTTTATATAAAGTAAATTTCCAATATTATTTTTACTATACTTCCGTTACAATTATTATGCATATCATATCAATGTTGTATTTTTAATTTTTAAATTCAATTCTTTTATTGAAGTGTTAAAAAAGAAAATTTGGTAGAAAATGATTTCATTTCACTACTGACCTGAGCTCTTCCTGAGTTATCGTAACATTTATCTTCCTCTCTGTTTTTCGGTATCTTATGAAATTGTTCATCTGTTGGGTCTGGATCAGCAGAAACTCCAATTAGGAGACCCAGATAGAAAAAAAAGAAGATTCCAGGCATTTTCTTCTTATCACAACTCAGTGCTTCTGCTGCTGTTGATCCATGAGTCCTATAAAAGTGACAATTCCAAATCACACGTTTGTTTACAAAAAAAAAAAAAAACAAGTATCAATTGCAATATTTTATGCTACATGAATTTTTTCCACAGTCTTTACCAGAGTATCACAATATCTTGTATACAAGTACTTTTACATTACTTAAAGTTCTGACAATTGTTTTTTTAAGGATTAAAATGAAATGAGTAGTAGTAGTAGTAATATAAACTCTGCGTGGAATGAATTGCACAGACATTTAAAATTTATCATCATAAAATAAAAAAAGAGAATTTAATTATTTTTACCTTATAGTTCACTTAATTAAATTTGAATCAAATGCACAACAACTTTAACACACTAAAGTATTTTAAATTTAACAAAAGAAAAGAAAAAAAAATATTGAATATCTCACTAAAGTGCATCAAGTTTCAAACTGCTTCAAACAGCTTCTATTGAGGGAACTGGCATCTCTTTTTCTTGTTGGATCATGTTAAGATCACTATAAGCATGCGTCTGGATTTAGTTACAGTAACGCGCTTGCGCTTTAAATGTAGGAATGGCTTTTATATATTTGATATATCTATATATTTCCTTATTATGTTGATCTCAGAAAGCTATACTTTTGCTTTTATCAACTGTAATAATTAAAAATGTACATTTTCTTGAGAATAAAACTTGATTCTTATTTTGAATAATTAAGGATATAATAGCATCACATTTTTAATATTTTACGTAGGTACAACTAAGTTAAAATGATGTGCATAAATTAACCTATATGCCTCAATATATCTTCTGTTTAGGTTTCCATATAAATTATGTAATTAATTTTTGCCGTAAATATTTATTTTTGTAATAAATTAAAATGTACACATTATTTTATTGTATATTGTATATTTTCTATAATGCACCTCCCAAGTTCTTCTAAACTACTAAAAATTTCATCTCTTTTTATTAGAGGATTTACTGATTCGTCGTTTTCTATCATTAAAACAGCGTTCCAATTTGCATTTTTTGCACCTTTATAATCTTCCTCAATGCTGTTACCAATGTGTAAAGCTTCTTCAGGAAAAATGCTTGTTTTTCTTAATTCTTTAAAATTTTTAAGAGCCTCATTGAAGATTAGAGGATTTGGTTTTTCAATTCCAAATTTATAACTACATAAAATGAATGGAAAATATTGTTTGATATTTAATGAATCAAGAATTGAATTCAGTCCATCATCAAAATTTGATATTACTCCAAGCAAAATATCGTGCTTTTTAAGAAACTCTAGTAGTTCTATAGTTCCAGGAACAATTTCCCAACAAACTCTTGTACGGTAACGTTCTATCAATGATGTTGCAATCTAAGAATTAAAAAATATATATTTATTGTAAAAAAATCACCAATATTGTACTGGAAGAATATGATAAATAATTACCTTTGATAGTGTTTCCTCTGAAATATTAGAAGAATGTTGGTCTTTAAATGTAGCGTAAACAAGTGCGCGCCACCAATTTTCAGATCCTAAACCTGTATGTTTCCCAAAGATTGGGTGTTTAATTGAAAATTTTTTGAAATTAAGTTTAAAACTTTTCGACAATTTAACAGTATCAACATTAGTGATTCCGTGTTCTAGTGCAACTTGAGCATAATGCTTTCCCACATCTGTCTTCAATAATGTGCCCGTTATATCAAATGTGACGAGTTTCACGGGTCTAATGAATCTCATGTTTTTTATGTATATAATTATTGTTGTTGTTTCGTATGCGGAAATAAATACCAAACGAATTTTCAATATTGATAATATGTAAATTGAGTTTTGTTTCTCTTATTTAAATTTCCGAAATCTCAATTGGTGTATGTGTGGATTAGCCATAAATCTCAAACATCAAGTTTAGAAAACTCGTTACAAAAAGCGAAGCATGAGTTGAGAGAATAAGACATTATTCCATCTCCCATTTCACATTTGCAACAAAAATTTTCCATTTATTTCTAAACATAATTATACTTGATATTTATACCTAATGAAAATAATGTTACGATTTCCATTTCACAATAAATTCTAATAATAAATTACATAATAATTATCGAGTACCTACTCTATTTATTCTATAGTGTATTATGAAAAATGTAATAAAAATGTAGGTATAAACTGAAATATTGTTTATTAATCAAATGTTGTTGCCAATAATTTACCGGTGATTATAATTAATGTAAACACAAATTTTGTTATTTTTTACACAATACTTTAATGATTAACAAAATATAATGGAATATTACTATATTTACATATAGTTACTGCGATAGATGAAAAAATGTCAATTTACAAAAAGCATTCGTATTATTATTATTATTATAAGACAACTATAAAATATAATTAACTTAAAATATCAGATCACTAAAACAATATAATAATCTATTGAGAGAGAATTATAATATAATATAATATAATATAATATAAGAAATACATTCGTTGTAAAAAGATTGTCCAAGAAAATAATTTATCGTTTGTGCAATAATTATGTATTTCATTGAAAAAGATTTAAAAACACTTTTTTTCCAATTCATTGGAAAACATGAGATCAACCGATTGCTTGATTTTGTGCTTTTATAAATTACTCAAAGAGTAATTTTTTCCTTTTTGTAATATTTAAATATCTAGCAACGATGGTGGTTTGTAGTTTTGATGTTTAAATATCACGAGACTGTCCATCTTAATAAAATTGCATTAAGAATATTTAACGATGTCAGTCAAAGTTGTTTATACACAAAGCACAATAGAAAAATGATACAAAATCGTTCTCTTTTCATTCCTTTTTATCATACACACATACCCTTAATTGCTTCACATCAAACCTTTTTGACTACTAAAACATCATCATCATCATCATCATCATCATCGAAACTGGCACAAAACTTTCATTCAAATTTTAAAGAAAACATTCTTGTTCCTTTCTATTAATCCGTTAATACAATAAACTTAATTTTTAATCCTTAATTATTATTCTTCATTAGATGACGATCATTTTTGATCGAAAGGATTAAAACTTGTAATATACAAAAGACAATTAGTGAACAGGGCCCGGGGGATGAATGAAATCGTACACAATATTGTGTGACTGATACTTTGCAATTAAAAAAAAATGTTGAAAATTATGCATCTCACACTTCGATTCGCAATAATGCTTACACAATATGTACAAATATATATGTTTATATTAGATAATAAACATTGAGTTAACGAGTATGGCAGTCGATTATTAAAAATTTCACTTACAAATCTTCCTATTTCTAAAAGTTGTAGGTAAATAAAAATTATTTCCTTAATATACAGATCAGTCTCACAATCATTATTAAAGTTGTTCTTCGGAAATTCTATGATATTGTGTAATAGATAATTGGGCGAGATCCACTCAATACAATATTTACATCCATCCTTGTCATCTCTTTCCCGAGAAACTATATGTAATTGTGTGCCCACTTCACTTGCAGTCCTTGCAGTCGATAGATATTCGCAAGCCCCAAAACAAACTTCTTATACAAATTGGTATATATAAATATAAAAAATTATACTTAACATTAATTAATGAGCTTTTCGCTCAACTTTTATTCAAACCTTTCGACTATTCTTTTGTGAATTTTCATATATATTTCAAATATCATATCTTTGTTATTTAAAATTAAAAAAAGTGTCAGTCCACTCCTCTCGTACATTTTATCTAATTATATAAAAAGTTAATTTCAAAAAACGTGTTTCATACATTTTATTTTTTTTATTCAATTATTGTGCTTTTCAATAAAAGACTGCTGTTTTCTGGATATTTTATCATTTTATCAAAACTGTCATTTCAAATTTCTTTATTCGCAAACTATACACTAATTCTTGCAATATAAAAAGTATACCAACGCGATAACACATGTTTTTCTTCATTATTAGTCAATAATAAATACTGAATTGATTATAAAAACTGTGATTCCAACTGTCACAGGTAAAATCACACGATAAAAAAATATTACTTAAAAAGTAAAAAGAAAAGATTACATCATATAAAAATAAATTGTAGTTTTGCTTTCATTCAACAGAAAGATTACTACTGAGACGCACGCGCTAATACCAGTCGTGTATGTGTCTGTCTCTCTCTCTCTCTCTCTCTCTCTCTCTCTCGAAACTGCTCTTTGCTATACTTGACTGGCATAAGTGTGTGCGTCCGACTGATTCCCGAATCAATTATTGGAGGCCTCAATTATTGTATAGGTATGACTCAAGTACTTTTCAAAGAAAAAGAAAGAGATAGGACACGTATAATAGATATACTGTCTCTGGTGTATAATTCTGTTTTAATCAAATTAAAAATAATAAAATTTTTGTTTATGAAGAAAAAACATTTTTATAATAACATAATATTCGTTTTAAAATATTAATGATGTACATTTGACAATACAAAAAATGAATATAAAAACAAATTGCTAAAAACCTATTTGTATTGAAATTTATTATTATTAATAAATATTTTTGCTCTATTAGGCAACTTTTTCAATCTGCGCATGATTATAAACATAAAACATAATTTTCGTCCAATTTTTACAAATTTTTTTTTCTTTGCTTGAATCAAGGAATTAATTTACTATATGGAAACAATAATACAGTTAAAAATATATTTATGTGAAAAAAAATAAGCAAAAACTGGAATAAAGACAAAAATCAGAAAAAAAATCCTAATAAACTTGTTAGTAATTGTAGATACAAATGATACAATGGAAACGAAATTTTATAGATTTATATAAAATTCATGGAGGTGTACGTATATAGAATTGGACAAATGGCACAATATCAAAAAAATTCTTTTACCAACAAAAAATATTAAAAAATATTAATTGACACGAACAAATAAAAATTTTGTATTAAAAGTATATGTGCAATAATTGAAAAATTTAATTTGAAATGAAATTTTGATATGAAAGTGTTTTTTCGATTCTAAAACGAAATTATTGCTTTGTGATGTAATATAATTATAAATGAAGCTTTGAAGAATATTTTTAAATGTATGTGTTTCCTTAATCTTTTGGACCCAATATTAAAAAGTTAATTGGCATCTTGGAATAACTATACAAGAATTATCTAGTATGCTAAGTGTTCTTTTATATTGTTACTAATACCCAGAAAACAAAAGCTGTGAATGGGATGTTGTAACTATTTCTTGAAAAAATTAGACAAATTAATAACGAATTTCTTTAAAAAATCAAGTATATGGAATTTATTATCAGAATGAGTCAAGTAGTAGAGGATGTTGTGTGAGCAAAAAAGAGAAAATAAAAAAAACATTTCAACCCATTCGTAGCTCTCGAAATTTGAGTTTAAGAATACCTAACCTATCTATATGAGAAACAATAAATTAAAATTCTACGAGTGACTGACATTAATTATTAGTGACAGGTTGCCTGGAAGAGGCATGAATAGCGAAATCTACGAGTGGATTAGATGAAATCAAAGTACCATCGTTTAATGAGAGATTACTCAAAGTAAGATTAGTACTAAGAGATATTGGCTTCATTGGAATTATTTTTATTGGCACTTCTTTTGTTGTTATTCGAACAGCATCAGATATTGTTTTAAGCGTCACACTTTTTGGAGATCCTGAAGAGGAATTTTGAATTATTTTAGCTAATTTACTCTCACCTTGGTTGGAAGACTCATCATATCCTGAATCCGAAGAAGATTCGTAAAATCGATTATTTATCATTGGTTTCGTTAATTTTGAAATAGCTGATTCAACGGCAGATTCCACGCTGTAAGCAGGACTGGTTGACGCTGAACTATGTGAGGGACTTGTTGATGCTGAAGATGGATTAATAATAGTGATCTGTTGTTGTTGTTGCTGTTGTTGTTGTTGTTGTTGTTGTTGTTGCTGCTGCTGCTGTTGTCTTTTTGAAACACTCCCTGAACAAGGTTTCACCAAAGTTCCATCCATCATTACTTCACCATTACGACCCTTGAATACCATTCCACAACAAATCATCTCTCTGAGGAAAAAAATTCAAATTCAAATTCAAATAATTTTATAATTTATTTTGTTTTATATAACAAAAACTTACTGTTTAAAATAAGTTAAAGCCAAAGTAAGTAGTTTTGCTTCTGTATCACAATTTTCTTCAGGACTTCCTGCTCTGCTATTGCTTCCAGAACAATCCTCTTCTAAAACAAATAAAAAAAAAATTAAAGAAATTACTCACAAGAAATAAAAAGTATTAGAAGTAATTAAAACGTGTTTATCAAAGTATTACAAACCAGTAAAATCATCACTCATAGCAGGACTATCTTCTCTGTCTCGCTTTTGGTAAACATGTTTCTTTTTTACAATTTTTTCCAGCTTCTCATGAACATCTTTTAATTTTTTCTTTTTAGATTTAAATTTTGTTAAAGATTTTATTCCCGGCCCAGCACGTGCATCTACAACCTACAAATAAATGTTTATTTATATACGATCAAAAATGTTTATAATTATATATTATTATGTAATGCACTCTTTTACATGATTCCAATTGCGATCGGTTCCAACTGGTAACTTTTTCCATCTTTTAACCAAAAGTACGCAAGCGTTACATATCTCTCCTGTTCGTCGTTCCTCTAGTACAAAACATTTTATAAAATCCTCTTCATATTTTTTGCTGTCCGTGAACCTTGAACTAAACATAATAAATTAGTACATTTATTCATTAATTGGAAAAATTTATATTTATTTTGGAAACTTGCCTGCTTGATTTAGCTTTGCAAATGCAGCAGCCTTTGCTTGAACGGTATACCTTGGGTTTATGAAAGCTAAACATTTTTCTTCTTGGTTTTCTAAAACATGAATGAAAAAATTATAAATTTAAATTGTGTTCAACTTGAAAAATGTACTATTATATTAGAGAACAGTTGCCTCGTTGAAAAAATATACCCTACTCATTAAATTTGGGGTTTTTTTGAGAAGGAAAATTACACAAGTTTGAATGATATTATTGGAATTTAGAGAGAAAAGCATTACTGTGTTTGCATTAAGCTTTTACATTTGTTCAATTTTATACAAATTCGCATACAAAACATTGTTGTACATACATATATATGTATATTGCCATATGAGCGAAAGTTGCCGTGCGACAAAACACATGTCTAAAAATAGTAAGCAACAAGTATAATGTGTGCTTGCTAATATAGAGACGTTTGATTTGCCTTTCCGCGAATAAAAGACAGTCATTAAACTTGAAACAACACTAAAATATTGAAAATATTTTATATTCCGCAAAATTTTTTTTTTTTAAGAGAAACATGTATTTTTATTTATCAATTATAGAAAACAAGAAGAAGAAGAAGAAGAAGAAGCAATTTTTTATATCAGAAAATGTTGTCAATTATTGATAAGAGCAGATGTGATAAACTTAGCTTATCTATATATAAAATCGTGCGTACACAGTAAAAACAAAGCCTGAAAAACCGTTTACATCTTAAAATTCAGCCAATGCATACCGCCAAAGTCTTTCTTTCTCTCTCTCTCTCTCTCTCTCTTATTCTCTTGTCTAAACTTAAAAGTGAATTTTAATCAAGTCTCAGGGCTAATAACAGAATTGGGAGAAAGCAATTCTCTTCATTTATGTACGCTCCAAATTTTTATATGTCACTATGATGACAAAAACTAACTTTAAATTTCTTTGCAGTTTCAGACATTGTTAATTAAAAAAATTAAATCATATCCCTTTATCGCTTGCTGTATATAAACAATGATTAAAAATTTTGTCAAATGTAATTAAGTAAAAATCTGAATTAAATGCTCTGATCGACAATTTTCTCTCTTGCGTAACTGTTTAGCCTCAATTATCGAGGAAACGTTCTGTAACTAGGCGATGTCATTCAGCCCTGACACCATTACCTGGTAATCCAAACTTTCAGTCTCGCTTTTGGAAGATAAATGGTCCTAACGGTAAAATCCCAATAACTTATTACATTACAAAAAGGAAAATCAAGCCCCTTTTAAGATGTTTCAAACAGCCAGCATCTTAAAATTTACAAGTTAATGGATATTCAAATGTTAACTAAATTGTAACTTTTCCAACAGTTAAATAATAATTATTATACTTTTGTCAAAGAAATTAAGGGACATTGTGTAATTAAAAATTTTCAAAAGCTTTCATTGTAGTAAAAGCTAAAAACTTTTTCTTTTTTAAATACGGGGCGTGCAGAACTTTGTTTCAGAAAATCAAGAAAGTTTGTTTTAAGAATATTGTTACAAAGACTTTTAAAATAATAAGATAAAAATGAAATCGTTAAATCAACATTTTCTTTTACATAATTAGATTAGTAGAATTTTTTAATTTTAAAAAAATCAGCTATCGAAAAATAATTATTTTTTGTTGGATATTTCCTCTACTATATTATTGTTTTTTTCTTTAAAGTAAAAAAGAGGTATTGCACGTGTAATTGATATGTATTTCAATTCAAAAGTTATTTAAATTTTTCAACTTTTTTTTCTGTTAAGAAAAATATTTCCAAAATAAAATTTCAAGGATGCATATGAGAAGCAGGCAGCGTGTCTCTTTATACTCAAATACTTTTTTAAAAAGTTATTTTCAGTCACTCTGTTTGTTGCAGTGGCCACACCACTACTACTTTCACCAAACACAGAACTTTATAATCGAATCACATATTTTTACATTAAAATGCAATTGACTTGAAATCTTTAAAATATAAATTTCATAAAGAGCAAATAAAATTGTACAAAATTAAAAAAAATTAGTAAAAATATTTCTCATGTGTTAAAGGGACAATATTTTAGAGACAACGTACATATTAATATGATTAGAAATTTATCAATAAAAAAAATTAATAATTTTTTAGATTTTAAAATAAACAAGTATACATAATATACGGTATAATAAAGAATATTTTTCGTTTAAATTTTTTATAAATGAAAGAGTAAAAGAAAATAAATAAAGTGTATATACACATATATGTACATGTTTTGTATATGTTTCTCGTGCGGTTGGTGAATGACGTGTGTTCAACATAACGCCGCCATAACCGCTTTTTATACTTGAACCTAAAATTACTTGAATACTTAATTGTTGTGTTGAAGTAAAACTCTGAATAATCAATTAATTAATGAAATATTTTCTGGTATTTTAAAATTTCATTTCTATATGCATAAATAGATGTATTATTGAAGAATAATAATATGTAATTGAATCATTTGACGTCTATTGTTTATCTCTATGTATGTATGATATATGCCGACAGTTGACAAATTGTCAGAAGAAAAACTTTTCACGTTCAGAAATTTAGAGTGCTATACGTACTTGTCCTAAAATTCAACCATAGCTTGTCTTTCCACACAGAATTTATAATTTTTCATTAAATCGTGTGTCAAGCTGGAAGCCAGATTTTGACTACTCCGGTCATATAGAGACGACGCTACACTAAGGTAATGTGTAATACTTTCAAGAAATATGAATAAACTCTGATGACAATACGTTTGACTAGAAATAAATCACTAAACTATGTTTTGCTTATTAATTTGACGAAATTTTTCCCACAATATTCGATTTAAAATTAAATTAAATATAGAATAATATACTGTGCTTACCTTTCAATACAGGTGACGGACACAAGTTTCTTTGCGCAACTTCATTACGCAGCTCAACGCGACTGTGTGTTTGGCGCTCTTGTGTCAAAAATATTTTATTTCCTATTTTAATTTAAAAACTAATTTATTAATCCTTCCTGAAATTTAATTTCTTTTAAATCAAAAAATAAATAAATAATTATGATAGTAAATAGTGAGAAACTATTAATAGTACATTTCGTTAAAATAGATTAAAAATAAATAATGCGATTATAACTTCCGGTTAAAAATTAAAGTTTCATATGCTTATATTTTCTCAAATGCAATTAATATATTTCATTATCTTTAAAAATAAAAAAATTTTTCACAATTAGTATTAACTCTTCAAATGATTTTCTTAATTTTATTGAAAGAATAAAAAGTAATATTAAAATTATTATTACCGCGCCATCTGTCGACAGATTAATTTTTACCATGTTTTCATCAGCTGATTTGACGTTTCTGATCATCATGATCATCATGGGAAAATGCATGGAAAGATGAATATATTTTCGAGTTGTAAAAAAAAGTGTAATATTAAATCGTGTTAATATTAAAATAAAATTATGGCCAGTTTAACTAATGCTAATGTATACGATTTTAAAGTAGTACTTCTTGGTGAAGGATGTGTGGGAAAAACATCAGTTGCCCTTAGATATGTTGAAGATAAATTTAATGATAAACATATTAGTACTGAACCAACAATACAGGTAAACAAAATTTTAATACTTGAAATTCTTTAATTACTTGATGGCTTTATTATTAATAAATAGTCAATTATTATAGTTTATTTATCAATTATTCTAGGCCTCATATCTTAAAAAGAAATTGAATATTAATGGAAAAAGGATAAATCTTGCAATTTGGGATACAGCCGGTCAGGAAAAGTTTCATTCGTTAGGTCCAATTTATTATCGAATGTCTAATGGTGCAATATTAGTTTATGACATAACGGATAAAGCATCATTTCAAAAAGTTAGCTATGAATTTTTATACAATAATTATTCATTTATTTATTACGTATAATAATAATAATAATGGTACATATTTTAGTGAAACCACAAAATTATTGTTCACTCTAAATATCAATCAATTGATTTAAAAATTTTCTTTCAGGTTAAAGATTGGGTTAAGGAATTAAGGAAAATGCTTGGAAGTGATATCTGCTTGGTTATAGCCGGAAATAAAATTGATCTTGAAAAAGAAAGAAATGTTTCCTCAGATGAAGCTGAAGAGTAAATTATTTACATTAATTTAAATGTTGTAAATCATAAAAAATTTGATAAAAATTAATTTAATTCAATTTTTAGATACGCGGGACAAGTCGGTGCTTCACATTTTAATACGTCAGCTAAATTAAATCAAAATATAGAGGAAGTATTTTTTGATTTAACACGTTGTATGATGACTCATGCTGATCAATTGCAATTGACAAAAACTAGTAGTAGTTCTCGACGTAACGTTGTGGTCGTTGAAGACGAAATAGAAGAAACTTTATTAACGAAAAACTCGTGTTGTTCAGGATCTTAATTACCAGTGTGTATTATTTTTTGTACATATATACATAGAACGTTTCATGGTGGAAAAGTTGAAATTTTCAATCTTTAAAGACATATATTCATGAGCATAATTTTTTTTCCACTCGTTCTTTCTTTCACCGCCATTTGAGCGTGGTCACAAATCGACATTTTAAATGGTAATTTCACAACCACTTTCATTGTATCAAATATGTAAATAATGAAAATCGCAAATCAATTAGTTTGTTTATAAATATTTATTTTAAATTGAAATAGCAACATAGTTTTCTTCATAAACAATCACGACACGTAATAGTAACACTAAAATCCTAATTATTTTTAAAATATTCAGATTAATAATTTATAATTTTATCAATTAAATTGAAAGAAAATATTAATTTTATTACTACTGTACCTATTTTTCAATAATTATTATTGAATTAAATAAAAAGGATTTTGAAAAATTTAGTAAAATTATTTAACATCGCATGATATCAATAAAATACTTGATTCTAAAGTTTGTTGAGAATTCAATTTTTATGGAAAAAATTTTGCATATTCGTGAAAAAATTATACTCTTCTACTCAAAATTCAAGTGCGCTATAATAATGTGAATTAAAACGTTGTTGAACCATCTCTATTTATTACATGTTTTATTGATGATAAATAATAACAATGGGGAAATTAAGTTTGTATAATACAATAAACTTTAGATTAAAGTCGGTTTTTTTTATTGGATATTACCTATCAATACTTGATTATATGAGAAAAAAATCAATCAATTATAAAATAATGTTTTTCACTTTTTGTCAAAATGAAATACTAAGCATTAAAGAAAATATGATTACGTAATGATATCAATATTATTGTTCTTAAAAGAAGTTGAACCTATATTTTAGTCACTTTATTTGAATAATAATTAACATATATATTTATGAGAAAATATTTGTTTTATGATTCGCAGTGTATTATTCTTTATATGTTGATAACATTGATGTATTATGACTTTTTTCTAAAATTTCGTGAACCTTAACTATAATTTATACACATTATATATGTATATGTACATAAAATGTTTATGTTACAGGGTATACAGTGAAAAAAAAGAAAAAAAAATGTGGACTTTCGCGAACATGTTCTTCTACAAGCAGTGTGTGATTGACTTTGGTTAAATGGAATGTGAACTCTATATATGAGGAGGAATTTTGCAAAACCTGTTAAATCCATTTTCAAAAAATGTATTCTAAACATTATTTTTGCACATTATAAATTAAATTGATTATAAAAATCATGTTTAAAAACATTTTTAATAAGAAATTTATCAGGGTTCGTCAACTTGCTTCCCACATATAGTGTATATATATAAAAATAAAACTTATATTAAATTAAATACAGATATGTATGTGGACAACATAATTAATGTAAAATTAAAAAATTATTTTAAAGAGTAGTTTGTGTAATGATAAAATTCTTTTAAAAATCGAATAATTGTACTAATTTTATATAGTTATACATAAAAACTGTTTGACATTCCATATATCTTTGGTATACAGTAACAAATTTTATAAATATTTAAATATACGATCTTAATTAACAAGTATCGTTGTACTGTCTTTACAGTAAAAAAATGTATTAATTGTGACACACTTTGTGCACAATACAAAAATGTAAGAGTAAAAAATATTATAATATTAAAATAAATAATACCTTAACAAATTGTGAAAAAATAAAATTTAAACTATAAAAATTTTTTTTCATTTAAGTTTGGTTATTTCATTAAAAAATATAAATAATAATAATAATAATAATAATAATAATAATAATAATGAGGAAGATTATATACACTTTAAATAGTATAAAAGTCAAACTTAATTAAATTTTTCAACATAATTGTTTGGACGCTAATTATTTTTAAATTATGAATATTTTATCTTGATAAGTAAATACAAAATCAATGAATTGATTTATAGGACCTATTGCAGACAGAGACATTCCTTTTGAGGGAGGCGCCCGAACTAAATTTGGACCGAAAACAACAGCAAGATTACTCGAAGTCATCTTGTTTAGGTCACATCTATCCATCACCTAAAAAGAACATGATTAATAAGTAATTGAATACTTTGTAAATGAATAAAATAAGGAAATTATTAATAGAATTTACCTTTGATAAAAACTGCACAATATATTTTAAAAGTTGGTAATTGTCAAGAGGAAGTTTTTCGAGGATTAAAATCTTCACTCTCCGTGGTCTTTCATCTTTCGCTAAAGCTATGAATATATATAATTATAACTTGTTTTTTTTTTTATAACTTGAGAAAATAAATAATTATAAATATTTACTTTGAAACTGGGTAATTTCATCGTAGAGATCATATGTCATGAGGGGTTCATCCAACTCTCGTAAGAAAGTTTTGAGTAGAACTGCTGCTATATGAGGGTCACATTGAAAATCAACAGGCAAACCTTGATTGCAACGATTTTGAAGCTCCTTTATTACCACAACATTAGCGGACCTTCTAAATATTCCTTCTGTCTCTAAAACTGTGCGTGATAGAGTAACAACAGTTTTAGTATATTGTCATTTTAAACGGGAGTCACAAATGGGGGTACAACTTGATTGAGAAAATTACCTTCTGGTGTTTTAAGAAAATCGATGCATTGACGAACAATTGGAGGTATAGGATCCCCGCCATTATTTTCTTTGATAAATTGAAGACTCGCACCAAATTGTGTTGTACAAATTGGAGACACTATTCCACTAGGTGTTGGTATTTTAGACAAATTCTTTTTATGCTTATTCATGAGTTGCTCATCGTGCCTGAAAAAATGACAACTTTTTTATAATCTAGTAATTTGTGGGCAAAAAAATTAAGACTACTTACTCTATTACTTGAGATGGAATGATTAATTGATCTAGATTAATGTATTGTGCTAATTCCTCTAAATAGTTGACGTACATCATCTTTCGACCAAACTTTGCACTATAAACAAAATTTGAAATTAATTTTGTGATTAAGCAAGAGTTCCCCACAGAAACATTATTGAAAACTTACCTAATTGCTGGTTTAAATATTTGCCAAACAATTCTAATAAAATTCGTTGGATGTACTAAGTAGAGTGCCTTTAAATTTTTTTTGTACTTTCTATCGAATGCCTTATAAGCTTGCCATAGCCAAGACAATGGTGGTTTATTCTTTGACGTAAGACCATAGTGAAAATAAACTAAACTATAATCTTGTTCAACAAATGTGTCCAGAGTGTGAGTAAGATATCTAAAAAAAAAATGTATACATTTCTTTAATAATCACTAATTAATACTTTTTTTTATCCTTTACATACGCAGTTTCATACCTTAGAAATTTAGCATGATTAAAAGCTTCTCTGTTTACTGGTGGCAATTTACAAGCCGATACGACAATAATTTTTCTTCCGGCACTGTCATCGCCAACAACTTCAACTATCCCATGTTTAGAGATATCTAAATAATCTTCCTCATCTGCGAGCTCTCTATCAAGAGCTGCAAGATCAGCGGCTACCAAAATTACACAAAATTAATTGTCAAAAGAATATTTTTCAGTCAAATAACAATTATTAGTATAGAATGGTTTACAAAATAAAATATTATTGAAAAGTAATCTATTCGAAATCAAAATATATACCAGTTTCAATAACGGGTGCATCTACTAGAGCTTCTTCAAAATTCTCTTCAATAGTTCCATCACTAACTGGACTCTCTAAATAGTCTATGCTTGTGCCAACCCCACTTGCATTTAAATCTAAACTTTGTTCCAAAAGCTTTGTTGCTGTAACAAAAAGTTGATTATAAAATGAGATTTTCTGTAGTACATTATTAGAAACTTGAAAACAGTAATTATTAAATAAGAAAGATTAATATTAAAGACGATTCAAAAGTAAATATTTTTTCGAAACACACCCATACTTATTCTATTATTGAGAGAATTAAATTCAAATTTGCACGCACAAAAAAATATTAATTTTGAAAATATTTTAATGGGTCATGAACATCTTGAATTTTTTTAAACAAAATTTATTCATTTTCTTTACCTCACTTTATTAATTATATTATGTGTCTAAAAATGAAGAATTCTTTTTGAATTTAGAAAATAAAAAATACTACCCACTACAATTTTCTTACCATTTGTCGTCGAAGCTTGTAATTCAGTGTCATCAAACTCCAAATTTGGTTCATAATCATGATAATCGGATAAGCTAGGATATGGATCTTCTGTATCAACTGCTGCTGCTGTTGTTAAAGTGTCAAACAAAAATAGTTTTAATTTCTCGTTATATGTCAATTTATTAGAGTTCGGGAGTCACTCCCGATTACCCTTAACAAAGAAAATATCAACTTATGGAAGACTTAATTTTTAACTAAATATTTTTCAATGGGATTCCATCATTGTCAATTAATAATTAACAATGTTATTATTAATTTCTAATTTACATCTTATTTTAAAAATAAAAAGTTATTATAATTTATTTAACCAAATTCTCTACAGATTACTATCTTAATTGTCTAGCTTTTTTTTTATAGATAACAATGTATAAAAAAAAGCTTTTTATCATATTTAATACAGCGTCAATATATACCTGTCAAAACTTGGCGACTTTGCGTCGGTTGATAGTCGGCTTCCATTTCTTATATGAAAACAGTGAAAAATTCATCCAACTACAAAATCATTTCGTCAATTGACATTTTAAAATCAAAATTGAAAAACCATTCAGACTACGAGATTTATTTGGATCAAATTCATAGACGAAATTTTTCTTCGTTCCACTAGCAACCAGGATTAAGTAAAATACACATTGTAAGGCTGCGGTTACACCTCTGCAGGCTGCCTGCCTGCGCAGGCAGGAGCAACGAGAGTAAGGGAGAAGTTTGAAGGCACTGACTCTCTTACTCTTGTACGTTACCATGACAACCTGCAGGCAGGCAGGCTGCCTGCAGAGGTGTAACCGCAGCCTTACATTAATTCAGAGTTGGGAATTTATAAATGTCAACGCACAACTTGTTCGCGAACGCAAAGCATGAATTAAGGTCTTTCTCCAATAGGATCCCAAAACTCTGCGTTTGCCTGCGAATGACTGCGTTGCGTTGATTTTAGCATATGTTGCCATAGCAACCGACGCAACACAAAGTTTTGGGAACCTATTGGAGAAAGGCCTTTATGGAGCGTTCAGACCTCTGTAGCCTGTCTGTCTGCCTGCAGGTTGCCATGGTAACATACAAGAGTAAGAGAGTCAGTCAATTCAAATTTCAGGCTGATTCCAGAATAGCTAAAAATCGTCTCGACTTTCAAGACGATTCGATGCGCGTACATACATTTTTGTTTACTCCGCGTCGGTTGCTATATGGCAACATATGCTAAAATCAACGCAACGCAGTCATTCGCAGACATACGCAGAGTTTTGGAAACCCATTGGAGAAAGGCCTTTAGAAAATGACAGAGTATAGAGTTGTGTCCTTTTCTATCTCTCTCACGCATTTCGTTCGCAAACCTATATATAAGGTCGAGTTCACAATAAATAATGTTGACTGAAGGCCAAAAAAACAGCAGAATAGAAACGTAACCGGAATCGTAATTACCACAACGGAAGAATGAGTTAGAGAATGATAGGTATATTCTATCTGTGGCACTTCTTCTATGTTTACAGCATGCATGCTAAGGGTGCAGTCACAGCGTAAAACCTAAAGCAGAAAATTGGGAGTGCAAGAGAGATAGAGACGCATGATTTTCCCCTAAACGACAAATGGTCGAATGTTCAAATGGTCGAATACCAAGTAGTCGAATCGTTAACTGGTCGAATGCTAAAAACATCGAATGCTAAAAACGTCGAATGTTCAAAATATCGAATCGTCAATTTGTCGAATGATCAAAACGTCGAATTCTCAAATGGTCGAATGCTAAAAACATCGAATCGTCAAATGGTCGAATGCTCAAAAGGTCGAATCGTCAAATGGTCGAATGCTAAAAACATCGAATTCTCAAATGGTCGAATGTTCAAAACGTCGAATCGTCATTTAGTCGAATGCTAAAAACGTCGAATCGTCAAATAGTCGAATGTTCAAAAGGTCGAATCGTCAAATGGTCGAATACTCAAAAGGTCGAATCGTCAAATAGTCGAATGCTAAAAGCGTCGAATTCTCAAATGGTCGAATGTTCAAAACGTCGAATTCTCAAATGGTCGAATGCTCAAAACGTCGAATCCTCAAATGGTCGAATGCTCAAAACGTCGAATTCTCAAATGGTCGAATGCTCAAAACGTCGAATCATCAAAAATTCGAAAAATTTGCTTGGTTTAAGTCAACATTAACTTAAACCAAGCAAATTTTTCGAATTTTTGACGATTCGACGTTTTGAGCATTCGACCATTTGACGATTCGACGTTTTTAGCATTCGACCATTTGAGCATTCGACCTTTTGAGCATTCGACCATTTGACGATTCGATGTTTTTAGCATTCGACCATTTGAAGATTCGACGTTTTTAGCATTCGACCAAATGACGATTCGACGTTTTGAACATTCGACCATTTGAGAATTCGATGTTTTTAGCATTCGACCATTTGACGATTCGACGTTTTGAACATTCGACTATTTGAGAATTCGATGTTTTTAGCATTCGACCATTTGAGCATTCGACCTTTTGAGCATTCGACCATTTGAGCATTCGACGTATTGAGCATTCGACCATTTGACGATTCGACGTTTTTAGCATTCGACCAAATGACGATTCGACGTTTTGAACATTCGATCAATTGATGAGTCGATGTTTTGAACATTCGACGTTTTGACTATTCGATGTTTCTAGCATTCGACCAGTTAACGATTCGACTACTTGGTATTCGACCATTTGAACATTCGACCACTTGGCGTTTAGGGGAAAATCATGCGTCTCGAGAGATACTCAAATAGCACTATTATTTCAAATCTCAGAAATCTCATGAAATTCATATTTTTTGGAGAATCATCATTTTTCCAAATGATATTCAACATAATAGTTTGATTATTTATTCACTTTTCATATTCATTCCATGAAATGTCGTTCTAACTTATAACAATATGTTGTTAAATGTCATTTGGGAAAACTTAAATAGTGGAGCACTTTATCTAGGGTTAATTTTAGAAAAATAAAAATCATTCGGTTCAAGTATTTGATAATTTACTTAATTTTCAGTATAATGGAGTCGAAATGATTTTTTTAGAAAAATGAAGCAGTGTGGTCTATTTGATTTTAAATTGTAACCCGCTTATAAAACGGACCTTTTTTTGAAATCTTTGTTTTCTTCCATTGGAATTATATATATAGATAAAAGCAAAATAAACTTTGATTATTTACAAAAGTTTCTAATTTTTTTAAAACTTTTATACTATATAGGTATGTGTTCGACGATAGAATATAATATACGTTTACAATTCATAAAAAATATATCTCTTGTTTTAACCAGGCAACGCTATATGTGTATGCATATCGACGTCCTTATGAATGTGAATATTTTTTATATGGTTACAATATACGTATATAAATAATAAATAGTTCATATAACAAATATTTTCTATAATGCATGGAAATATATAACACGCGACTGAGGCTTCTTGGATATACATAAATTATTTGGAAATACAGTTGCATTTACAAACTATTTGAGCTGTATGTATGTATTGTATGTTTTTAAAAATTCCATCGCAGTAAACATTTAAACTTGAATTATTTACAAAATTATACCATTTATTTGAGAATTATAGACTTTTAACTGGAGTTAATCCTTTTGCTAACATCTGAACTTCAAGGTCACGATCTTCATCTTGATATCTAAAATGAAATGAAATTGTTAATATAGATACTTATATGGTGATGATTAAATTTGTTTTGTAGTAAATGAATGTAACATGCAAATTCTATTTCATTTAAAACCATTATTTTTATCTGTTTACAAAAAATTTATAGAGGATAATATTTCTATCTTAAATATCCTTATCTGTCTGTATCTTGAATAGAAATTATTAGTAAATAATTTGTGCAAATGTGATATTTTTCAACAGATTCTGATAATAAACTATAATTGTTGACTATGTAATTATATTTTGTATTTATAATTTTTAATGTTAAATGCTTACATTTACTTGATTATTTTATAGTTTAAAATTAAGGCACAGGCTTACCAAGGCAAAAAAATGTGAAGCTCTTTCCTATTTACCCTCTGCCCAATTCTTAGATATATATATATAAATATATGGAATATTTTGATAATGAATTAATGTCTGCGAAAGGTAATGAACCTATCTCTTTCTTACAGAAATTTAAAAATATTTTAATTATAATAAATAATATTTTCAAAATTAAGCGTATTGTTAATTATTATTAGTTGCCCACTGAAAATGTCATTAATAGACGCATTGCACCTTGAAATGCAAATGACATTTTTTCCCTCGAAATAATTTAAGTAGAAAAATAAATAAATAATAGCACATACTGTCGTTTTTTCTAACACACGCATATACTAACAGTACAAATATTTAATTAATTATACAGAATAGCATGAAGCTCTGAGTGGTTTGTTTGTGCTAAAAGTTGCTACTCGGAGAGCTATTCGGATGTCTATCTTTTGTGATTATATTTTATTATCAGAATAAGGTGGAAATTATTGAAAAAGACTGATTGAGGGCAAATAAGCCCACACTGATAACATTTTTTGTAGACAGATAAGAAGTAACGCTTAATGCATCTCTTAATTTAAATAATATCACAATATCATGCATAAACTTATCTTGCCCTAAGCTTCTAGAAATATTTAAATGTCCGCTTTATGGGAAAGCGGACCTAAACCTTTCATTGTAAATGATTTGAAAATCGAGGAAACCCATTTTTCTAACTATTTAGAGATTTAAATAATTCCCTTAAATTTACAAGTGGAATTTTGAAAAGCCCAGGGGAAGGTTCCTGCAATATTCACATTGTACTATGTGGGTGTACTTTAGGTTCGTGTGTTAGAGAAATTAATTAAAAATTTTTTTTGTTTAAAAATCTATGAATATTAATTTTTTTAATCAATAAATCAAGTCATGCAGCATTAGAAAATGAAAATGCCAAACGAAGAGAAAAGTGGTGGTGGTGGTTCAGAATGAAGACATTAGTATATTAGTGAAGCGGCGATTCGTTGAGATAACTAATGAAAAATTCTATTAGGAGAAAATATATGCCGTATGTAAGTAAAATTATGATGAAAGCGTATGTATAAGAGATAGAAGAAGTAGAGGAAGAATAAGTAGAAAAATTAGTAAACATTGTTTGCATTGGGCATGAGGGTCTACGCCACCTTTGTCGCTCCTCTTCTAGAAGAGCAATCAGGGAATCGCGCTTTGCTACTATTTCCAACATTTCCGTTAAAATTTCTCCTTCTTTTTTTACGTCTGCGCTAGTCTTGTTTTGATCTGTAAAATAATAAAAAAAATAATAAATTCTTATTTAGAAAATATGAAATTCTAAATGTTCACATTTACGAACCATCATCAGCCAATCTCTCTCGAAGTTCCTGCTGTAATCTCTCATGTCTATCCTCAAGCTGTACTTCCTGAGCTCTTACCAAAAGTTCTTTTTCATATCTTCTTAAATCTGTACGTTCTCTCATCAGGTCGAACCACTCTCTCAATAAATCAGCTTCTTCACGATTCGAACAATCTAAATTTTCAACATGAATGTTTGTTAATGTAAAAAGCAATAAAGCATTCATTTTGAGCTATGAAAATCTCTAAAGAAAATTTAACAGTTGAATTTATTAAAGAAAATGAATACTTACCCCCTTCTCCTCTTAAAGCTTTCTCTACACTTACTCCTCTGCACTCTAATTCTCTCTGTTTAACTTCTGTTTCTTCCAATTTTCTCTGGATTTCTTGTGCAATCCGTAATCTGTCAATTTAAAAAAAAATGTGTACAATAGTTGAAACGAAAAAGTACATAATTATATAGGTACCTATCAAATTCATTATTTCATTTTCTTCATAAAAAATGTCCATCTCTATACCAGAAATTTCAAACAAAATTTCTACTGAATGGATGTTTAAGAAAATTTTTCGAGTTTGATATTTTGATTTTTCAAAAAATTTGGAATTTGCGTTTGATACCTTTTTAATTGTGCCTGTCTCGCTATTCTTTTAGTGGCTTTAGTTTTCCGTGAAATGCTGTTGCAAAAATCATCAACGCTGGCTGTTTTATTTGCTTGTGAAGTCGATAAGGCAGCTGTTTTTGAATCTTCATCAGACAAACTTCCATCTTCAAAATATACAAGTTTAAAAGAAGAAATGAATTTAAAGAAAAGGAAAATTTATTAAATAATATCTTTAATACCTAATATGTGAGTAGTTAATGCAGTATAATTCACAGGCAGAGGTGGAAGAGGTGGTGGTGGAACTTCGGAAAGAAAATGATCTACCAACAACATTCCCTCTGTTACACTTTTTGGTCTGGCATCGAATTTTGGAAACATTGTTGTTTTGTCCATCTAAAAAGAAAGAAATTTTGTTAAAAAGCAGGAAACAAGGTCATTTCCAACCAAAGCACACACAACTACCAAAAATATTTGGTCATTTTCTTATTTGTTAAAAATAAGAAAAATACATAAAACAGCAAACAAAACAGGGATAATCAAGTTTATATTTTATTAAAATAATTAAAAGCAAAATAAAATATTCTTCCATAAAGTGTAATAAATAATTATTGTAATAAAGAAAAATAAGAGTCAGTTTTTGAGGTGAAAAATTTCATGCTATAAAAAACAATAGCGCTATAAGCTTACTGCTAAAAGCTAATTAATCAAGTATTTTTTATTGTCTTTTATAATCTGGAACATGATTAATTAAGTTATGTAAAAGTTTTTAATTAAAACGTATTGTATTTTATTTATATTGTAAATCATTCAAAGACTATTTTTAAGCCTTTACTTTCGTAAAAAAGCATGTACATGAAATTGTAAAAAATTTTTAAATATACTTAAATAACAATCAAAAAAACTAATAAACTAAAAGTTTCTAGTAAAAAGTTTCAACAATTTTATTCTCTATTGTAATTGAGGAAAATAAATGAAAAAATAGGTCTTGTCTAAATAATAAAATAGTACTTGGAAAGTATCAATAATTGTTTGAAGAATAAAGAAAACAAAAAATCAAAAAATACACATAGTGAATTGCTTACATTCGACGCATCAGAATACGATTTAAACAACTGAAACACGTTAAACAATCAAGTTGTAAAAATATATTTAATATTATAAGAAAAATTACCAACTAAATAATAATAATAATAATAATAATAATAATAATAATAATAATAATAATAATAATAATAATAATAATAATAATGATAATAATGTTAATAATAAAAAATAGATGGGATTACCTTTGCTTTTTCCTTGGATTTCAGTCTAAATGTAAATAATTTTTCTTTTGTTGGAGAGTCTTTTTTTTTGAAGAAATCAGATACAGCTTGAATAATACTTTTCCTTCGTTCAGAATCTTTTAACCTTCTTTTATCTCGTTTGACATCAGAGATTTCATCTTTTCTAATTGTTTGTAACAATTCATCCATTGATTTTGTATTTGTTGGAGATTTCAATTCAGCACTCATGTTTTTTGTTGTTACTGTCTTAAAATTATCAGTACTTTTACTTGATTTTAACCCGTGTGGAGAATTCATTAAGAAACGTTGTCTCACTTTATTCTTTGATTCATTCCTTTCTTCTAAACAAAGTTGCCTACGAGCAATCACTTTCATTCGTAACTCTTTAATTTTATCTTCAGGGCTCAATCCGAGATCTTCATCAGTTTTCAGTCTTGCTCGTTCTCTTGCGTCCTGTTTTGCTTTTTCGGTGGTTTTTCTCGTCATTTCTTCATGCTTTGTTCTAGGAGGAGCGATGGGATATTCATTAATGGAAGATTTTTGAGGAGTGGAGAATTCCAGTGGTTTAAAAACTGATAATGTTTTGTTCTCTCTTGATGATGTTTGTTCGACGCTATTTTCTGAAAAGAGTGAAGAAGAAGACGAGGACAAAGGAGGAACTTCTAGTGGAGGGGGAGGAGGAGAAATGCCAAGTTTTATTGGATTTTTATTTGAGAATGAAGATGCTCTTGCGGCTCTTTTTGCTTTTTTCTCAGCAGATTTTTGTTTATGAGCTTCTAGTTTATCCATCAACAAATTTTGAATGACACTTTTTTGCTTCGAACGCTCTTTTGTAATTTCCTCCAATTTTCGAAAAGTATCCATGGAATTCAAAGAATCCTTCTTCACCTCTTCCGATATTGCATCATTCATGTGAATTAATGATTTCGAACTTTTTCTCTTCGACTTTCTTACGTCTATAGAATCTTTAGCGTTACTAAATTCAGCTATTCTGGATTGAAGTCGTTTGACATATTCCAAATAATCAGCATTGCTTGAATCGTCTTGAACTAATTCGTCTTTAAGCATTATTTTCTGTGGAGGCAGTTGAGTTGCAACAACAGTTATCAGTTCACTAGTGGTTGTTGTGTCTTCGGCAGGTTCGATTATCAACAGACTGTCTTCATCCATGGACTGCAACGTTTCTTTATTGCTGACAGTTATTGTTCTTTCATCTCTCGGCGACGGCGACGGCGACTGCGACGGCGGCACTTTGACAAATTTGTTAACAGCACCATTTAGTTTATCTATAACATCGTCTATCGTAATAGGATTAATTTTAATCACATTATCACAAGCGTCCATCTCGTCATCATTCTCCACTTCAATTTTGGCAATTGGAGCATTTAATCTATGAAATTTAGTAGGTGTTTTAAAATTAACAAATTCGATGTATCCACGATTTTTTAATAGAGCATTATTTGATGCTTCTTGCAAACTGTCATCCAACAAGGACTCCTGCTCCTCATTATCGGTATCCATAAAATCTAAATCCTCTCCATTTGCAAGAAATTTTAATGCATCGTTACTAGGAAATTGTTTATTACAAATATCATCATCATCATCATCATCATCATCATCATCATCATCAACTTTATTATTATCAAATTTAGTATTTGTCAGTATATTTTTACTTTTTCGTTTCAATTCCGGATGATCTAGATCCACATCTCTGATATCTTCAGAACCGATAGCTTCAATGAAACCATCTCTTGCCCATTCCGAATACTCTGTTTCAGTGTAAGCAGCAGTAGTAACGTCATTTTCATCAGAATCGTCCAGTTTGTTCTGGTTGTGATTACTGTTTGAGGCACTATTGCAAATGCTCTTTTCTTCTTCCTCTTCTTCTTCCTCTTGTTGTTGTTGTTGTTGTTGTAACTCAAGTTGTTTTATATCATTAATAACAATTTCGATATTTTTCATTAAATTATTATCATTAGGTGTCCTCCTATGTTCTTTATCCTCTAAAGTAATACATTCTATTGAATCAGGTTCAAATTTGTCAATGTCGTCCATATTTTTCATCTCATCTAGCAACAAATTTGTGCTATGAGGTCCGGATAAATTAATCAGCTTTGATAATGGCTTTTCTTTTGTTTCCTTCTTCTTCTTCTTCTTGATCTTAGCATCTTGATGTAATGAGTCGCTGTCCATTTCTTCTGAATCCTCGGAACTTTGATTTTTTCTGTTCTTTTTCCTATTAGTTTTCTTATTCCAATTCACTTGTGGAACAATAATACATGTTTCGTGCAAAGGACTTCTTGGTCTAGAGTGGATTTGTTGTTGATCATCATGATCAACAAGTTTCTTGTTGTTGTCCTTTTCGCAAGTTGTTTCTTCATGTATCCCTTTTTCTACTTTATTAATATGATTTTCTATGGCCTTGCTTTTAATTTTATCACTTTCTTCATTAAAATTCATATTAAAAGTAATGTTTGAGTCAGATTTGAATTGTTGTTGTTGTTGTTGTTGATTAGTACTTGAATCTTGAATCAAATCTGGAAGTAGAGTTTCTGGGGTCGATTGAAAACACGTGAGACTTGTTGTTGTTTCGTCAGCATTGGACGATTTGATGAAAAATGTTTTAGACGAAGATTTGAGGATATTATTTGCTGAAGAAAGAGGTTTATTTTCGGCAATTTTATTTGCGCTTCTTTGCAAGAAAGCTTGCATCGTCGGACTTGGTTCAGGAGCAGGATTCAAAAGTTTTTGGTGTTGTGAAATCGAATCCGTGAAACTAGTCAATTTTGTATTGACATTTGAGGCCGAGCCAGACTTGATGATGGATCCACCAACAATGCTTATGCCCCCTAATAAATAGCGCTTCTTAAGTTCCAGTGACAATTTCGACGCTATCCCCTCCGTGGAGTGCGTACGATTCAAAGAATAATCACCTGTCCGAGGATTAATGAGAGGACTAGACGGGAGTGCAGTGGACTTTTGTTTTAAATTGCTTGCATTAATTTGTGGTGATGATTTGTCAACTGTTGCTTTTGAGAGATTACTTTTTTGATTTCCGTTCGTGGAATTTAGCAGCATGTGACTTTTGACTTGTACAATTTTTGGTTCGACATAATCGCCTCTGGTTTTTCGTACAAAAGCATCATTTATTGTTATTTTCGGTATTTCGTGTTGTGTTGGCGTTGTCCCATCGTGCTCGAATTCAGAGTCAGTCGATATTTCTGTTGCGGAATTTTCTTCACTATCTTCAGTTGATTCATCTGACGCAACCTGAAAACGAAATTATACTAGTATTATTTTCTTGGTATTTTATTAGTTGACAGCATTGCAAAATAGTAGAAAACCAATTAATTTTTTTACAGCATGAGCAAAAAAAATTTTAATGAAGAACAGAACTTTGAATTATATAGAAATGGAAGGAAATTCAATAGTAGGAAGACGTCTTTGAGGTAATGAGCTGGATTATTGGACTGATACAAAGATTTTCATCTCTATTTTCTTATACATTATAATAAAAGCGTTGATTTAAATCACACTTTTATTTTCACCAACCAATTTTTATGGGTGTTTATTATATAATGCAAATTGCAAAAATACTCTTTACAAGAATTTCCTTTTTTTACAGAGAAGAAGAAATAAAAAAAAAGAGATAAATAGACATCTCTTGTAATGGATTGTTGTCAAGAGAGTGCTTGGGACAATTAAACTGCTTTAAAGTTGTAACGCAATTCATCCGTAGAGAAACAAAAAGTATATTTATATTTAAAAAATACAGCAACTAAAAATTTAAAAAAACTGTGAGATATTAATAAAGTTTCGATTAGCAAATATAATATAGTAAACTCAATTGCTGGTGTGAGTGAAAGCACGAAACAAACACAAATAAACGTTTTCAATTGTTGTTAATTCGTTATTAGTGAAATGACACTCGATTTACATAGAAAAATTTTTGTTACCTTATAGTGTTTTATATTCTCTTTGTGGGTGTTTGAGAAATATTTTATATCATCATCAGCCATTGTTTACTTGCTTATTTACTTTATTAAATATATCTCACACAATCTATATTAAAATAATTATTATACATGTTTGAAGAAAAAAATAAATTAAGATACCGTGCACTTTTTCTTTTCATACTTTAATGACAAACGAGAATCCATTTTCGAATCTAACGTATTTAATGAATTTGATTTCTTAATGTTTTTTGTATTTTCCAAATCTTGAATATTAGGTACTCTCAGTTCATTTAACCGATCGTTTGAATTATTTTGTAAAACAGTTAATCTCTCGAAAGGAATTTCCCTCTCGACTACTTTGACTTTATGAATTTCAACTTCCGCAACATTTGAAGGTTTAAACATTTGTTTATTTACATCGAACAAATTACTCGCTGATTCAACATTTTCTTTTATTGTTAACTCTTTAAGACAACCACCACCACCACCACCACTGTTGTCCTCCTCCTCCTCCGCCTCCTTTTCCTGTTCTATTTTATCAAGTTGCATATTAAGAGTGTCAGAATCAATTTCGTCAATAAGACTAAAATCTTCAACAATCAAAGTCTTAAAATCAAAATTAACTTTCGCTTTTTTTCTACATTTCTCAAGTTTATTACAACAACTAGTTGGTGGAGAATTATTAAAATATTTTGATAAATCCTTTTGATTATCTGAAAATTTTGATTTCATCTGTAACAGCTCTCTCGCATCAACTCGAAGTGTTTCATTTTCAGAATTATTAATTTGCTCTCGAGCAATTTCTTTCGAAAGAGGACAAAGTTTTCCAACTTCCTCATTATTTATAATTTCAAATTTATGCGGAGAAGTTATCGACTGACAAACATGACCTTCAATTAAAGTTTGAAAAATCGGAGAAGGGGATGTTACAATTGGAGTATGTTTTTTGCTCTTGAGTAGTGTTTGGGAGTCAAAAAGACAAGTGCTATCGTGAGTTTCATCTGATGATGTAACGGAATCAGTTTTTAATTTTTGATTTATACTTGAAAGTGATTCAACATTTTTTGGACTTGTTTGAGAAGTATTAAGCAAATCAGGCAAATTAACATTTTTAAACTCTTCTATTCGATTATTAATATTTGGAAGTACATTCTGTTCTTCATCACTTGCTACTGTTTTCAATTTTAAAAAAATATTCTTATCCTCTGTTTCAAGTTGTTTACTAAATGCTAAATTTCTTTCGTCAACATTTATTTCAGCGGTATCTAATATGTCTGATGAATTTACTTCAATAATTGGTTTCAAAGCATTATTTGATAACAACTGATAAGGTTCAATCGGGGATAAAATTAACTTTGTTTCTGTCATGGGATTGATAAACGGTTCATGAATTATATTATTTTTCACCTCAGTTTCCGAGCCAGTTTCCGTGTCAGAACTTTGAGGAGGTACTTTTAGCCATACTTCTTGTTTTCTCAATTCTCTTGCACGAACTTCATCTTCATTCTCAGTTGCCGTAGCACTATCATCGTCTATAGGAAAAAAAAATTATCTATGTATCAATCAAAAAATAGATAAGATGGAATTAAAAAAAAAAAAATTTTAAACAAATTCATTCTAAAATTTTTTTTTATAAGAAAAATAACATTTAGTAAAAAACCTTAGGTATTGAAATTGGGTGTTTAAAAGAAAACTTTGAATTAGTATAAAATTTGTATAAAGAGGAAACAATATTCCACATAAATATAAAGAATAAAAAGTTAGTAACATTTTATTTATTTTGTAAATAATAATCAAGTACCAATATCTGGAATTCTTGAATCCAATATCAGTTTTAAAGGGGGCAAGATCCTTTCGATCCAAGACAATCCAGCTTCCATTTCAAACCGGTTTTAATTCAATACCTACATTTTTACATTATTTATCATTTTTCAAAGAATTCTTTTGCCATTCAGTGTGTGTGTGTGTGTGTGTGTGTGATTACTGAAGGAAGGAATTTCTGTGAATACTTAAAATGCATAATTAGTTGATTTATTTACCTTCACTTGTACATTCATCAGTGGAATCTTCATATTCATTACTTCCAGTATCCGAATGTTCTTCTGAAGGATGATACTGAGAATAACGAAGAGTCCAATTTTTTGCCAGTTCAAGAGTTCCTTCTGTTGTCAAAGGTTGATCAATCGCCTCTTCAAACACTTCATTGTCCTCCTCTGAATCACTGTAAAAGTGATAAATTAAATTATTGTTTTGAAATTGCGTAAAATCCTCAGGATCTTGGATTGAATAAAGTTTAAAAAGTTTAAATTTAAATAAAAATTCAATTTGACAAGACAATAAATTTTAGAATGAATGTTATTAAATTACCTCAAATCAGAAATATCATCATCACTCGAACCCATTTCCGCAGCAGAAGCGCCAAAATTTCTATCCGTCCACTCATCTTCATCCATTTGACTGTGAGCATCTTCAGCGTCAGATACTCTGGCTAAATTTTCAAATTCTATTCTCTCTGGTGTTTGACCTCGATCGAGCAAGTCAAGGCCGGTAACTCCTTCTAAAGACACTTTAGGCTGCAATCAAGCGCAAATTAGTTTTTTAAATACTTTTTATTGATTACTCAGAAAAGTGTCACAACTATAATTATGTCCATACTTTATCGGGCGTATTAATTGATACATTTGGTATATTTTCTTTGTTCATCATTGGCGGGGTTTTTTTCTCCATTTTTGTTCTCATTGTTCCTGACAGACCTAAATGTTGCGTACAATAAAAGCGTCCACCATTCTTTCCCCTGTCAAATGTATGATTTCCTAAAATAAATCAAAATCAAAAGTGAGTAATAATTTCAACTTTTCGAAGGACTAAAATAATGTTAATTAATTTACCTATTCGAAGTGAGGTTGAGCAATATTCACAGCGAAAACATCCGCGATGGAAAAATTTTCCTTCAGCACTGAGTCTCTCCATAAGATAAACTCTCTTATTGCAAAAGTGGCACATTTCAGAACCACCCTGAGTTGGTAGTGCAACGGTCACTTTTGAATTCTAAATAATTCAAATTCAATACAATATCTACAAATGTGTATTATAAATGAATAAAGTCAGCGTAGGGAATGTATCACTTTAATTCTTTGCAATAATAATAAAAAATTTATTCTTCATATTTGGAAATGATGATGACAAAAGATTTTGCAAGGCTTCTCTGTTTTCTTTATTTTGCTTTTTGATAAAATTTAGTAAATTGCATTCGGTTTGTGTGTTGGAATAAATAAAAGACAAAAGCCATTCTTATGTTTAACAGTTTTACAAGCATTTGACTTTACACTCATATCCTATTATTTTATTTCTAAATTAAAAAAAAAGTAGATAGGTATTTAAGTAAATAATTTTTTTCTCCACCGACTGAAAATCCATTGAATTTACTATTATTATAGGTAACTGATAAAGTAATTTTGAAACGCTTGATAAAAATAAATAATTTATAATATCGTTCATATGGGTTTGTTTGCTGACTTCTGAATTTTTTATTACTGTTTTAATATTTACCAATCTCTGCATCTTGGGTTCAGAATCTTTATTTTTTGTAGCAAATTGCTCAGCCATTGCTGAAACTTTGTTGTGTCCAAGAACATTGCCTTCTTTAATTTTCCGGTCAATTGTCTTAAGTGTATTGTCAATATCGGCGTACTTACTTTCTATTTCATATGGATTATGACCTTTCTTTTCCATTTTAATTTGACGTGCTAAAAACTGAATGAAAAATATAGACGTCTGAAAAATACGTGCATCTATCTTGAATTCGTAAATATTTACCTGTTCACGACTCCATTTTGGTACCCGCTCCACTTTGTCATGACTTCGGACACCTCGGCCCATTTTATTCTCTTGAATTTTTTTTTCAATCTCCTTTACATTCCAATCGGTTTTCTCAATTTTACCTTGTATTTTATTAATAATAAATTAAATACATTTATATTAAGTAGGGGAGAGTCTCCAGTTGTGAGACAGTCAATTTTTTTTAACATGCAATTTATTAAAAAGCCGATTGGTTTATATAAAAAAATTTCTTTTTATATGAGCCAACTTTTTCGTGTACGCCGAAGCGGATATATAAACTGTTTTTGTTAAATACCAACACTGTGTGTGATAATCGACTAAAAAGCGTTTTTTCAATAAATGCAAAGTACTTTTTTTCCAAGTTAATTAATTGGAAAAGGTAAATGTAATGCATTCATCTACGGTTGAAAATAATTTAATTTTCCTTTTTCAAAATAGCGCCAATTTCTGGGTGTGAGACACAGCATATCACCAGTTGTGAGACGGTGTCAACACCCATCTGGGCAGCATAAAAAATACGACTTTGCAAGCATGTCAAGTGGAAAAAAGTCAATTGATTCAGAAGAAATCAATTTTAATGCTCTTGTTGAAGCTATTAAATTGTGTTTATTTGATAGTCATATTTTGGCGAATAAATATTATTATTTAGTATATAATAATATATATTATTAATATATTTAATTATTTCTACTAAACATAACGTTTTATGTCAAACTTATTAAATTTTAGCAATTTTTAATGAGTTCATCGAAACACTATGCTTTCTTTTAATAAAAGTTGCGTATTTCTGTTACCTTTCGAACGGTGTATTTTATTTACAATTTCGTTTGGCCGTTTACAATTTACGGGTCAAAAATAAAACCCGTCTCACAACTGGAGACTCTCCCCTACATTTATCATTATCTAATATTATTATAAATAGAATTGAATATTACATACCTATTGCTCTTAAAAGGTCTTTAGGTTTCTTTTCTAAAGAAATTGTTCCTTTCAATTTGTCCTCGATATTTTTTATCCTACCAGAAAATTCGTTATCTGCATTCTTTTTGTAATGACCCATATGCATTTTAGGTTCTCGATCCTTTAGAAAAAAAAATAATTAATATGTGCACATTCTAAACATTATGAATTATTATTATCATCATCACTCATTTTCTTTTTGTAAAGAGAATTAGTATCATTAGTAACTGAAAAATAATTGTTCTTTAAAGGTTATGCATATACGCGGTAAACGCGGATAATGTCGAGCATATTAAAATCTGTAAGATATTATGTTAGGAATGATGTTATTTTTGAAATAATCTTATTTCTTGGTGTTCCACTTGTGTAAAATTGTGTAAAATTGTGTAAATAATTTTGCATGCCGAAAACACACTTATTTAAAAAACCAATCAAAGCATGTTAAAAATTGGGAATTTATCGCCAAACACTTGGCTTACTGGATAAAGTATTTTCTGTTCGAGATCTTTCACCCTGTCCTTGAAATCGGGAGCAGTTTGTCGATACAAAAATATAGAATAATCTTCAAAAGGTTCTTCCTTTTCGCGTTTAGCATTAGCTGATAGCATTTGTATACTTTTGTAAAATTGTTGTGTTGCCATTTTTCGTAGATATTGACGCTTCCTCATACGCTCTATTCGATTCATTTCTATGTCTTCGAGTCTCTTCTGTCTTTCCGCCTTTTATTTAGAACGTTAATTATTAAAATATACCAATTGCGCGTTGTTTACCAATTTTACGTTATTTTCAAGAAATGTATTTTGTTATTAAGTAATTTTAATTAGGTATATCAATGAAGAAAAGGTCAAAAAGAAATTTAATTTGTATATTGTATTAATCTAGAATGAGATGAGCGGACATTTTTATGTATAACATCAATCTTGTCTTCCGTAACTTTTAATGCAATCTTCAGAAGATATTTAATGAAAATTGTAAAATTTAATGATTACCTATTATTAGTTTTAAAAATTTAGAATATTCTTACCACAGTGGCACCCATTTTTTCTGTGCTACGGCGCTTTCTTGACCTCCGATTTACAGCATCCTTTTCCGTAATAAAATTTTCACAAAAAACACGAGAGTGCCTCAACCGAGTTGTTTCCTTCTTAAGATTAATTGTTTCTTCTTTACCTGCTTCTCGGCTCAAATGCTTTGAGAAAGTTGGCTTTTCTTCATTTCTTTCTTCAAATTCCTTAAAAAAAAAAGAAAAATTTTGTTTAATATTATTGTTTAGAAAATAATTAATTAGTATTGTAAAATTGATAATTGAATTTACCAATTTCAGATGTTTGATGTGAGGGATTTCTCCTCTAAAAGCTTCATATAAATGAGACAAATATGAAAACATGGACAACTTGTCAGGAACTTCACAGACTGCCATTTCCTCTCCCGTCATTATCTAAATTTAATAAAAATTAATTGTTAAACAATTGCAGCTTCTTCGTTGTTAAAAGGATTTTAAAATAAAGAAACTTTGAGGCATTTAGATTTAACGAGTTATATAGCCTTTTTTAAGGAGAAAACATAATAATTTTATGAAATTTTTTCAATAAAATTGTTGAAAAAAATTTGCAAGTAGTAATTAATAGAAACATATTATGATAATAAATTTGATTTTTTTAAACCAGGTACATAACCCTTTAAATCATTGTTCTTATGTTGGAAATAGGACAAATTACAGGAGATATGTTGAATTCCTTTTGCAATATATCGAAAGCAAGTTGATTATTTTTTGCTGATTCTGACGAACTTAAAGACTGAAAGTCTATTAAATCTGGTCTGTATCTATGGATAATTGCACAAAGTGCTAAACCATTTTTGAAACAAGTACCCATATCGTTAATCTTAAGTGAATCGTCCACTTGCTTTTGTAACCAACGGAGCAGTGAATCTGGATGTATGTCTGTTAAAAAAAAGATTGAAATAGATTGATTATTGATTATTGATTAAGACGAAAAGATATAATAAAAAAGTTGATAATAACCTCTTCTTCGTCGCTTTTTGGGAACATCAATTGTTGAAAGAAATGGAGATTGTTTAATATTTTCAGGATCATCAGTATCCAAAAGATTTCGCACTTGAATTGGAGTAACTGAGTGAATGTTTAAATTTGGGTACCTTTAAAAAAAAGATTTTATAAATAATGGAATAATTAATGTGAATAATAAATGTATTTAAAAAGACAATATATACCTAGTGTGGGGGTCCAAAGTGTAAGCAGCATAATCTCTATTTAAATTTTCTGGTGTTGTTTGACCTAATAATCTGTAAATGGATTCTCGCTCAGCAAGAACTTCCAATGGATTAAAAGAGGCGCCCCATCCTTTTATAGCCCAACAAGCATCAAGAGAACTTAGAAAGCCCCTTGCGCAACCAGAACCAGTTGGCCAGAAAGGCTAAGAGAACAATAAAATATTCTTTTATAATTAAAATTAAACAACATATTTTTAATTTTCCTTCTTGATAAAAAAGAAGAAAAGTGAAAGAACATAATCCATTATTATTATTATTATTATTATTACAAACCTCTAAAAGACTATCACCAACCAAGGTCATAAAAAGTTTATGTCCTCGTCGTTCAATAATTCGACTAGCATTTTCTGCAGCGTACATTGATGTAAAATCAAACATTGCAACATCCGGTTGTCCGTAATGATTAACTGCGAATTCTAAATCCATCATTTGATATTCTGTAGAGAATTCGGCTGCCTCTCTAGCATAAAGCATTAACGCCTCTCGATCGACATTTTCTTTATCAAGTAATTTTGCAGTATCTGCATGATCCTGAAGAATAACGCCTTTATCGATTAAACTATGTTTTTTTGCAGTCATCACAAAGTAATGAGTGTCGTCCTTGTAATAAACAATATTCTCTAAATCAATTCCCGTTTCTTGATACAATTCCTTAAAAAATTTTTGATTAAAAATAAATGCTACTCCGCTTATTTCTTCAACACGCGCTTCAGCTTCAGTTCTTTTATTAATGAAATTAGCTGTAATGGCAATAGCTAATTTTCCTCTGAATTCCTTACGCCTAAAACCATCTAAAGTATTTCTTTTCCCATCAGCACCAATTAGCACATCAAATTCATATTGAGAAACTGGATGATCAGCCGGCGTGAATTTTGCTCTCCAGCCAATTTCTAAAATGAACAATAATAATAATAATAATAATAATAACAATAGGTACAATTGAGCTCCCGCGGGCAATAACTCGATCTGCGCTCGGACGCAAGCGCTAGTACCAGTCGGGGAGCAGTGAGCGCCTCTGCGCCACTCACTGCCACCCGACTGGTATTAGAGAGTGCGTCCGAGCGCAGATCGAGTTATTGCCCGCGGGAGCTCAATTCTATGTAGGTAGGTACACAAAAGTTTTACTTACTTTCATTTTCCTGGTTTTCTGGAGGTGACAATAGAACATCGAAACTAACGTTTTCATGAAACTCTACACCAAGAATTAAAGCGACTTTTAAGAGAATGCATTGCAGTTGGCGAATACTGATATGATCGATTGCACCAGCGCAAAATTTTCCAAAAAATTTTTTTGCTCCTAAACTTCGAAGATCTTGAATTACAAAAGGCCATAAATGAAGAACGTTATTTCTAGACATTCTATCGCGCTTCTCAATTACAACCACCTTCGCCCCAAGTAATTGAGCCTCAATTGCTGATCGTAATCCACAAGGACCACCTCCAATTATTAATACCTAAAATTTTAAATACATAAAATCATTAAAGATTTTAAAATACTCTACTTTCAAAAAAAAGAATTAACCTTTCTTAGCACCAAACCAGAATTCTTTCAATTTTTAATCAAAACAAACAATAACGCCATTTATAACGAATGAATGAATAAATAAATTAATTAATTCAGGATTAATACTATAACAGTAAGAAAGAGAAAAATACCCTCGTATAAGGGCATGCTTTTCCTCTATTGTAGCATTTGTGATTTGCCCTTTGATCGAATTTTTTCCATAATGCCTGTGCCTTCCAAGATCTTAATTTAGATTTCAGTTTTGGATAAAACTGATTAATACTAGTAGGCCGTAACTTTAAAAGGTCCAATAGATGTCGATAACAACTAAGAATGGATTTAAGAGTTGAGGCATTGCAAAATTGATCGAAAACTTCATTGGCAATTGCCACTTCAGGAGAAGCAACTTGCTTCCTTCCTTGCAGGTGTTCCATTTGGCCGTAATTTTCAGTTTTACAAATTCATTGTTATCTGAAATCATAAAAACATATATATGAAATAAATAGTAAAATGATATTCTCAATATATAGGTAATTACTTGTGAAATGTAATTAAACAGTTGCATCTTCAACCTTTTTCCCAATAAAAGAAAAACAACTCAATACAATTTTTTTTTTTTTTATCTTTTTCAATGTATTAATAATTAAAATAAATAAAAGGGACACTGAAAAGAAGCATTAAGCGAAAATATTTATTCGTCAGTATAAGCTTTTTAATTGTTTTATTGTTACAATATCCGATGTCATAATTGTAAAACTTTTAGAAAACTAGATACTTTCAGAAAAAACAATCAATTCTTAAAAATTCCGTTCACCATATTGAATTCGCCATTTTGAAATAAATACGTCGAACCAAGTAAAATAATAAGTAACTTCTAATCAGTCTTTGAATGCGCTCTTAAGCGCTGTACATCTCACTCACACACTCACTCTTTTCTATATATAGTTACTTTTACTTATTTGTACTGAGAGTACAACTAATTATGAATATTTATACATATATATATATACGTATATAAAAATTACAAATAGAATACTATGTGAATAATCTTCATTTGTGTCAGTCAATTAATAGTAGCACTGGTGTGTGGTGTTTTCAACATATAGAAACAAGGAATGAGTATAGACTCTATAAATACAAAGCAAAGATCCTGCAAAACTAGAACGCCCTGCACCAATTTTACTAAGCGTAGGCGTTGATTTTTAAATACGATTTCATCACATTGTATCATAAAAGAATTAGATGCATTTAAAAACTAACATTTTATTTTTGAATACAGAAAAGAAACAAAATTTTTAAAAATAATGTAATTGACAATCTTTTCGTATACTAATATTTCAGGTTTATACTTGAAAAATTCAAGTTTTTTTTTAAAGGAATAATTCTTAAAAAAAGTATTAAGACAATTATTACAATAGAATAATATACAAATAATTAACATATTATGCATTGCGTTGCGCAGCTCAAATGGAATTAATACTGTTTTGAATTTAAATGTTTATATGTTTGCAATATGTTGTTTTTGAAAAAAAATTTATACTATTAAACAACATTTTTGAAATACTCAAATATAAAATTTCTCTGGTTTTTTTAATATTAATGACTTTAAAAATTATTTCTAATTCACAATATATTTAATACAGAAGAAATTCAATTTATATTGGACATTATATTTTTAATATAAGTAAAGTTATTAAATATAACTTTTAATAAAATGATTGGAAATTTCGGGCAATTGTACTGAACTTTGAAATATACATTTCTATTACAACTGTAAATTTTAATAGATACTAAAACTTAAAATTTAATCTATCTCATCAAAGAGAAAAATAATTGAATAATTTCAATCTTTAAATTTTCCCACTACTATCTACAAAAATAATAAATATAATAATTATTTTCAAAGCGATAAGTTGTCTAATAGTTTTATTTTACTAAGCTGAGTTTGTTGTACTAAGTAAAATCAACTTTTTAATACCTCATGAAAGAATACAATTAAAAAAAAATAATGAAAAATATAGTATTATGTACTATGTAACAAAAGCATATCAAAGTGTAATTAGAACAAGTAACAATGTTTCTTAAAAGTTGTAAATAATTCATTTAAAGAGCAACCTTCATCACAATTGAAAATGAGTATAATGTTAAATTTCATTAACTTACATTTAGACGGTAGTTACCAAAAGCACCTATCTCATTAGGCAATTATGATTTATTATGTTCATCACTCGATTTACCATAAAACTCATTGTTTTAATTATTTGATTTAAAGGTAGAAAGCAAAAATAATTCTACAAACATCTAATTATTAACAATGCTCTTCCACAATTTTATTATTATTATATATATATATATTAAAAAAATGTCGACTATAAAATTAGTCCTTTTGTTCAATGCTGCGCAGTGATGGGTCATGCATAGAGCTGAGATGGTATGGTGGGTTGTTAGGCCGAAGCCCCATGTTGGAATAGTGTTATAGAATTGACCAATAAGAAAAAGTTTTTAAAAATTATAATCATTTGATTGGTTAAATTTGTTCCACTATTTATAAAAAAAAAAAAAAAAAAAAAATGTGAAAACGGTATTTACACTCAACTGTAAAGGTGTTTTTACAACAACTTTCAGATGTATTTGATTTGTCTGGAAAAAAATCCATTTGCAAGCTATTGTAGAAACACCTTTACAGTAAGGTGTGAACGCACCTAACGATAGTGACATCTGACGTAAAGCATGAGTTAGAAAAGGACAAAGATATATTTGTGTCTTTTTCTATCTGAAACACAAACACCTCGTTCGCGAACCATTGTGCATTGGACTTGAAACCGAAAGTTATTGAAGAAACGCCTTTAGTCTGTATCGTCTGCATTGAAGACTCACCCGAGCTTTAAATTGAACCGTCATCTACATTAACATTGCAGTTTACTCTTCAGATTTTTTAAAACTCTTTCAAAATGACGCTTTTTGATTCAAGTAAAGTTAGAAATCTTCCTGATTACCTACAGGGTGGAAAACAAGCAAGTTTCAACCCATATTCTGACAATGGAGGGTAAATATTCGTAGTTTATTTTATCTTTATAGTAGAAATGAGAATACCTATTACATTGATGTTGTTGTATGGGATGCAATATTTATTTACATTTTAATATATGTAGTGAATTGTTGAAACATTGTATGTGTTGTTTATTTAGGAGTATCTTAGCAATTGGAGGTAATGATTTTTGTATAATCGGAGCTGACACACGTTTAAGTACTGGATATCAGATTAATACACGGAATCAGGAAAAACTTTTTCAACTGTCAAACAATACAATTTTGGGTTGTGCTGGATGTTGGTGTGATACCTTGAGTCTTACGCGAATTTTAGCTGCACGTATGCAGGTAATGGACAAAAGATTAATGTTTTAACTTTTGGAAAGTAATATTCCATTCTTTTCAGATGTACAAGCATGAACACCAAAAAGAAATCTCTACGCCAGCAGCAGCCCAAATGCTTTCTATTATGTTATATTATAAAAGATTTTTCCCTTATTACATCAGCAATTTGCTAGCCGGTTTAGATGAAGAAGGAAAAGGTTGTGTCTATAAATATGATGTAGTTGGCAATGTAGAGAGAGTTAATTTCTCGGCTGCCGGTTCTTCAGGAGCATTATTACAACCACTTTTGGATAATCAGGTAAATGTTTGTACTTTCTTTCTTATCAAGTATTAAAAATAAATTTGTATATTATAATTCTAGGTCGGGTATGAAAATCAAGAAAATGTTGAGAAAATCCCTCTAACTGTTGAAAAGGCTTTAAAAATACTAAAGGATGTTTTTACAGCTGCAGCAGAGAGAGATATTTACACTGGTGATAGCATTCTTATTAAAATCATTACAAAGCAGGGAGTCAAATCTGAAACATTTGAATTAAGAAAAGATTAATTACGTTTTACACTGTACAAAAGCAGCCTTTAATAAATAACTTTATAAAAAAAGTTTTTACTATTTGTTCACAGTATAGTTTCTACTTGTAGACTTTTTTATTTTATTTTATTTAAAAATATTATAATATTCTACACCACAATCGCAAGTTAAATGAATAAAAAAATGACAATTAAGAATATTTATTAGATTAAAAAATTTCTGCTTAATATTTAAATAATTACTGACAATCGTATATTATAATAAAAATATCAAACTCCTATATATTAAAAAGCAGTATTAAACATATTAATTGAATTCGCAAAATAAGTCGGAGATTTTCTTTATGAAAAGTTTCTAAATATTGTTTTTCTGAATAAATTATTTATTGCCTACAACACAATTTCTGGTATAAACTTTTTTGACATAGAAGTAACAAAATATTTATATTAACTAAACTTGAAATAAAACAAGATTTTTGCAAACACCAATTCCAATGTAAAATAAGTGTATCAAGAAAATCCTATAATCAAACATAAAATACAAGCATATCCTCTAAATTTGATATAAATTAATAGTTTTTATTATAAAAATTTAATATAAATTATATACCTATCATTGAGTTTGAGCAGGGTGCGTAAAAGCCCAGTTTCGCAATGATTACATTCTTCTTAAGTAATTATTTTTATCGTTTTATTTATTTTTACTATATATAAACACAATATCGCAGTACTTTATTATGCAGAATATCAAAAAATAACAAATCGAGACCAAAGACACGTTGTCATGTCCATACGGGTTTCTGAAATGACAAAAAAATTAAGTATTGTTCCCCCGAGATTCACTTCTTTGTCCCGGGGGAAACCAAAGCAGATCCTCGATCCTTTCCTCGTAATTTGATTCCGAGAACTTTCTCTATTTTTCCGATAACCAATTGATTTGGAATTCCACGACCTGCTTCGTAATCATTTATCACTTGTGCTTTTTCATTTACTTTCTACAACAATAAATATTATTTCAATGATATGATTTGTAATTTTCATTTTATAATATATTAATATTCATTAATATTCGTTTACCGTTGCCAAGTCTTTCTGGGATAATCCTTTGTTTTGACGACCTTGCTGTATAAGTTTCCCAAGATCCAGAGAGACTTTATCGTGCTTCAATTCCTCCGTCTCGCGATCCAATTTTGCTGTATTTTTTGTAGTGACGTGTTGTTTATTTGCTCCCCCGCCCCCTATTAATATATTTTCGGTTTATTGTATAAATTTCTTTATCAGATCTGTGACTGCTACATAATTACTCTCACAGTTTAACTTTTAATGAAAGAAATATTTTATAAAAATGAGTTACAATTATTACAATTATAAATTTAAATCACAGAAACATTTTATCCTTCAAATTTTAAAATGCGATTAAACGACTCACATTTAACCTGTGTCTCGACAGCAACGCCTTGTCTGCGAGCTGCATTTACAGCCTGAAATAAAAATATTTAAATTAATTAATTTTATCGAATTATAGTACCTGTTCAAGTAATTTTAAAGCTTTTACCAAATATTTTTACCTGTTCTGATTTCATTGCAGAACCTTTTGGGACACGTTTTCTAAGAGTAATCGGAACAGTATCCCAGTCTGACATTTTATATATTTTATTATACGAATGAAAGATATTGTATTAAAAAAAAATTCACATGTACTAATTTTAAATATTTTTTAATTAATAATAGAGGAATCAAAGAATTTTTATTACAAATTGCGGTTGCAATCACACCAATTGGTTGGTTGGTAAATATTGTGCGCAGGGTTGAATATGTATTATAATGGTATTAATGCATTAAGGCCTATGCACAACTGAGTCATTTATTTTGAGGTTAGGTGGCCCATTCCCGATCCGTTTCACGGGTTTCATGCGTTTCACGTTCCGACATTAGAAAATTATGGCCTAAGGGTGGAGTCCCATGACAGCGTTTTGCGTTGCGTCGTAATGGGAGAGAAAAAGACGCAAATATACGTTTGCTGCATTCTCTCTTATTACAACGCAACGCAAAACGCTGCCATGGGACTGCGGCCTAAGGCTGCGGTTACACCTCTGCAGCAGGGTTGCGCAGTTACGCGTAACTCGAGGTTTTCTACGTATGTTACATGTATGTTACATGAAGTAACATACGTATGTTACCCCCCACTCTCGAAAAATACATGGATGTAACAATGTAAGGACGTAACGTACTAGGTAACATACAGTAACAAACCCATGTAACATACATGAAGTATGTTACGTACCCATCCCTGCTCTGCAGGCAGCCTGTCTGCCTGCAGGTTGTCATGGTAACGTACAAGAGTAAAGGCCTAAGCACACAATAGGATCGCGAAAGTCGTTTGCGAACGCAAAGCATGAGTTAGAAAAGGACAGAGATATATTTGTGTCCTTGTCTATCTCATGCGTCTCGTTCGCGAACGACTTGTAAACGGAAGCATAAGTTAAAGATGGATATGCATATATGTATATTTATCCTTTTTTAACTATAATTCTTCAATTGGCTATTACGATTTCGTTTACGATGCATTTGTCTTATTGCAACAGACAAATCTATTTTTTAAGCCATGGTAAAGGGGGTCAAAACTTTCCGAAAAAGCTCAACGTGGAAGCCGCCTACAAACATTCCGTTATTGGGGTTATTGGTGACAAATCCAGCACATAATTCAAACCAACAACAACAATACGTAATAAACAAAAAGGACTAAACTGAAACAAAAAAAATATTTCTAACACAAAACTTAAAGAAACCTTTTAATTTGAAACTATAAATACCTAAGACAAAAAAAAAAACATAATTCAAAAGTTTCGTCCCTATGTCCCATGACGGGAGTGATAGAGGTATCCATACCACCCCTCAGTGGGACCCTCTTCTATGCGGGGATATTAGCAAGTGATTGCTTAGAGGTCATGGTTTTTCTGCATCCTCTTTCCTGTCCACAAATATTTAAATAAAAAATAATCATCGTCTAAAATTTTGGTTCAGTCAATTCTCAATTTAAAGAGATTTCAATAATTTTTAGTAAATGACTTTATTCTCGTCATTTCAATAAGTGAAATTTCACTGACAATCAGTTAAATATGACAGAAATATCATTCAATTTTCCCTGATTGGCCAATTAAAAAATGACTGAAAAGTTGAGTTGCTTTTTAATTGTCCAATCAGAGCCCAAGGAGCACGTAATATGTTAGTAATATTAAAATTTTCGCCCCAAAGTAAGTAATGTAATTTTTTATTACAACAAGTAATGTCAGACAGTAATTATTGTAATGTCACGTGCTACTTGGGAGAAAAATGACTGCTATTTTAATCATTTTTAACTGATTTTTAGTGAAACGTGACTCATTGAAGTCGTTAGAATATATAGAGTCACTGAAAATAAATAAAATAAAATATGTAGTGTGCGTGTTTTTTTATTCGTTTTACTAATTATTATTAGTAGTTTTTATGGACTATTACTTATCTCCCCTTTTCAATTAGTAGAATATTACAAATTGTTAGTAAAATTTTACTAATTTTTACTCTCTAAATTGGAAACAGTTTTTACTAATTTTTAGTAGTTTTCTACTATTTGATATAGTAGAAAACTACAAATTCACGAGTAAGTCGTATATTTTTTACTATTTCACATTAGTAATCCGGCTTACTACATGATTTTTCTATTAGCAGATAGTATTTTTTTTTTTTTTTACTAAAAATTAGTTAAAACTGTTAATTATTATTCAATTGGATAATCGAATCCTCACTCTTTCATTAGTATAGAAAGATTTAGAGAGTAGTAGAATTTTACTAATTGCTAGTCATCTAATTCACTAATAAAATGAATTTATGAAACTATTTTATATCAAGTTCTTAATCAAAATTTTTACCGGACGACATTCTTTGTTAAATTTGACACAAATTTGCTGTGAATTTGCCGTGCAAGCATTCGAGCTTTGCATTGCAAACTTGCTGAAAATTATTGTCTTATCTTCGAATGAGAGAGAAAGAGATACTTCTCTCAGTTCCTTTAAAACTTAACGAGGTGTAAGTATAAAGATTGATACAATTTCCAATGATTGTTTCAATTAGAGGAGAAAGAAAGAGACGATTTTTTATATTAGACTTTTTTTCCTTTTATACTCAACCAAGATACGCTGAAGGGTACAAACTAAAAACTTTACATTTTGTTAATAATAAGAGAAGGAGAGAGATCCTATAGCTTTTGCACTACTTCATCCCCTCTCCGTCTATCCTTCAGTGGTTTCTACACTCAGAGAGAGGTAATAATAATAATAATACACGTAGTGTGGCTAGAGTGTGACAATATATTTCAAATTAACTTGGAGTAATTTGATTATAAGTAATTTAATTCGTACTCGTTTGAAAAAGACACACTTTTTTCCCTTAGTGCAAATATAATAGGTTTTGCTAAGAGGCGTTATGTTTTGAAAACTAGAAACATTATTTTTTGATTGATTTTAATTTTAAATCCATTGCGATAAATAGGAATTGAAATTTGTTTTGAATATTCATGAAAAATTTAAATTTGGAAAAATCCGTATGGTTGTGAGGATAAAAAGAGGGTTGAAAGAGTGTCTAACTTTCGCGAGGGGGTATTTACTATAGGCTTAAAATATAATTGCAAAATTTATGTTCCTATGTATTATTAAGTATTTCAAGGAATTAAAACATTTTTGCAGGAAATTATAGATATTCGATGCTGAAAGATTATATAATGTGTGTTTTGTTGTGATAGCCAATTATTTTCTATCGCAGCTAATAAAATTTAGTTCTCAGAGCATTATTTTTTTGTTAGACAAAATTTTGCTCAATTAATAATTATATTGAATTACCAATAAAATATATTAGACAAGCAGTTATAGACTCCAAACTAAATTGATGATCTACATAGGCCAAGATATAATTTTTCAACTCATCTCAATTATTATTTTTGAAAATGATTTTGAACATATTAATTATTAATTATGTTTTACTATTTTGAAGTGACTATTTTTCCTTGTAGTTATTGTGAGAATATATACATAATTTGGATTAATTAAGAAGAATTGAATTGCTAGAAGTATTCATATGTATATTGAGAGCTATGGTGAAAGCATTGATGATAACAAGAAGAGTATTATGACAGGAATCTCGACCTTGACCTAAACAGGGAATTAGGGAAATCGGGGAGCTACGCTAGTTGACGGTCTCTTCCCAGGCAACCAGGCTGCAGGCTAGGCGTATTACCCTGGCCAAAATTGACGCATGCGTCACAGGGATGGAAGCATAGTCCTGTTTACAGGATAAAGGACCCTGCCAGTCGCGTTTCATTTTTGCACCGCGTTCCTTTTTTTCGTGTAATATGCGTTTCTAGTTGTGTGTGTATGTGTGTGAGTGTGCGTGTGTGTGACCGGCGAACTAGGCACGTTTCAAAAGATCAGAAATTGCTGTAATTAAAAACGTATGGTATTTATAAAAACGTGAGAGATGATTTGCATTATACTAACTGTGGCATGATGATCATTTATTTTATATAACCACTTAGCTATGAAATTTATAACGTTTTTCCAGTAGAATAATTATTCTTTTCAATAATCACCAACTCAAATTACCGAATTACCGAATTACCGAATTCGTTACATGGTTTGGATGTTTATTGGCAAACCTTACACTGTTATATAATTCGCTAAAATACTCTATTAGAAAAATAACTGTTGGGTAATCTTTTTATTCAACTGCTCGTTATTTATTTTAAATTCATTTTCTTGGACTAGAAAGACTGCAAACCTAGATAATGTGAAATAATAAATTTTCAATAAAATAACAATCATCATATTTAAAGTACCAAAAGTGGGTTTATTTCATTTTGTTTTAGTTTAAAATAAAAATGTTGAATGTTTTTTAACACAACTTCTTGCATGAGTATAATGGCAGTCTGTAGAAGTTTTCAATGAAAAAGGGAATTATTTGTTCATTAGAAATATTTGACATTATAAACTTATCTAGATGAAAAATCAATGCAAGCGCATATATTACTTCAATATTTCTGAACAATATTTGTTCAAAGTTACATATATACAGTAATAAAATGATTATTAAAATTAAAATAGTCTACTGAAGTAAAAATTCTTTTCAAAATCTAGTACTTTTCTAATTCGAATTTGTTAAATACACGTACGTCTCCATGGAAACATATTATGAACCTGACAAAGGCATACTTTAACTTTGTAATATTCACCAATACCTACTTAATGAATATTTTCTCACATAGTCATTTTCAACAAACATTTCCGGAGCTTTTCGTTAATGTCTTAAAATTTGAGCTTATCTTTACAAAATTCTAGGTATTCCAATTAAATTTAAGTTTTGATATTCGTGTGTATGTGGGAAGAATTTAAGAAATGATTGCAAATAATTTTCCAAAATACACTATGCGTGTAATATGAGACAAAAAAAGACATTTTTATTTAAATACACTTATATAGTTTATTTAAGTGCATTCTTGCATGAACTTTCCGTTTAAATATATTATATACTACATCTCAAGCAATATTCATGTAAATGCTGTGATTTATATAGTAGACAACAAATTTTTTTTTTGAAAGTTTGCAGTCGCATTATATTTACAAAATTATGTGGTGAGCAGATTGAAACTTTGGCCAACTTTGTTTCAAGTGTTGAAAAACAGTGTTATCTGATGGTTTATTCATTATTTCATGCATTGTACAAATGATAACGATTGAAATATACCAAGAGACGAAAATAACGTTTATAAAAAAAATTTTTCTTTTGTAAAAATGTTATGCTTATTACTGCTTGCTTAACCAGTAGTTGAAACATATTTTTACATCTCCATCAGGGTCCGAATCACATAACTTGACCGACGCGACGCTTGGTCTCACGCTCTAATACCAGTCGGATAAGCCCTAAAAGTGCAATAAATTCGTGAAAGGCAGAGACGCTCATTATATGCTACTTGACTGGAATTAGCAAGTTCGTTTGAATGTCCATCAAGTTATTTTATTCGAACCCTCATATTTTCGCAACATCGATATCTTATTAACTCTGACAAAGTTGGAGAGACCAATAATTTAATCAATAATACAAAACTTTAATTTTATTATGTATAGATGAAACATTATTCTCAACATCTGTGCATGATTTGTATTCTTTCGAAAATACTTTTGCTTCCTCATGAAAGCATTTTACCGAAATTCTGTAACAGCTAAAGGGATAAATGTCTTTTTAAATTGTAGATCTCAAAGGGGAGGGTGAACACAAAATCTATAATCTTTAAACCTCACTCAACAAGTTTAATTATATCTTTTCGCGTTTTAAAATTTCTTCAAAGAACATATTTTGTAAATATTTTATTTAAAAAATGTTTCTGAGACGCATCTTTTGATTCCTTATTGAACATTTTTCATGTTAGCCATGTTAGCCAAAATTATAAAGAGTCGAAAAAATTAAAATTTTAAGAAACTTAATTTTTACTGGTTTTTGGAATTAAATTGACATTTAATTTTAAATATTTTATTTCCACACAGGAAAAAAAAGTCTGACTCCGTTTACACCTTAAATTCAGCCCATGTATTTCACATAAGTCTGTCCTTGTTTAACGGGGCTGACTCCGTTTACACCTTAAATTGAGCCTCAAAAATAGGCTAAAAATAAGACTTTTTTTAGTGTGCATTGATACATGCTTCAATAACGCGCATTAAATGGTCTATTTTTGAACTTTATAAAAGGACAGAATTAAGTTATTAATATTTTAAAAATTAGTGAAAAATGAAAACATTTTTTAAGTGACTTTTTATGGTTTTTTGGTATTGAATTTTAATAATTGAATTTTAATAATATGTGAGACAAAAATGTAAATTTTTATATTCATAAATTATAAAATGAAACTTAATACGAGGAAGCAAGTGTTGGTGCGAAATGAATGCAAAAATTGCCATCTTGATTCCGTTAATAATTAATTAATATTATTTTATTTAAAACTATGATATAATAATAATTTTTGAAAAATATAAATAATTTTATATTTGTTTGTCGATAACAGAAAACAATTGTCGTAATCAAGAAATAACGTGAATGGGCGCTCGAACGATGTTTTCCAAATTTAAAAGTAGTGGCGCTGCACCAAATATTTTGGAATCAAATCCAATATTGAACCATTTTGAAATAGGAAAACAATCTGCAACTGCTGGACCAGAAAATGTTTGGAAAATCCTTGAAGGATATCGAAAAAGTGATGGCAAGGTGAATAATAGAAAATATACAACTACAATAACCCGTGTAGAAAGTTTGACAGGGTTCTGGCAGGGCAATATGTTGAGGAAATGTTGCCAACAGTGCTAGTGCAGAAATTTTAAAAATATTTTCTGTGCTAATTTAAACTAACAAATTCTGAGATTTTGTGAATTTATATTGAGAAACACTTAATAATATAGGGGAGAGTTTACATTATTAAATCATATGTTATCATTAAACCGCTTTCAATTTTTATGAAATTTCTGAAAGAGGAATTTCCAAGCTTCCTCTTGAATTTTATGGACAGCTTTCACTAATATTTAATGTCAAATATAATTAACTTTTTCTCATGTGCTTATGGTAAGCTTGCACTAAATTCATAGTGAGCTTTCATTGTTAGTTTGCAATATAAGCGAATTTTGTAAGACAAAGTTTTAGAGTTTATCAAGTCAATAACTCCAAGTTTGTAGTTTCAGAAAATATTGAGAAAATTCTTGGTAATGTGAGAATTGCTGAATTGTTTTAGTCAATTTTGAAGTTACATACCTAAATTATTAATTTTATAAGTGCAATAAATAAAATATTCATTTTATTGTAGGAAGTTTCAATATTTCTATTTGAAAAGCGTTCAGTTGAAAAAATAACAAAACCAAAACGAAAAGAGACTATTACGGAAACTTTACGAGCGGGAGTTCAAAACTTGGAACGATTTAGACATCCAAAAATTTTGCAAGTAGGTGTATGACACAAATGAATTTATAGTTTTTTTTTGTATATGAATAATTGTGCACAGAGAAAAATGGAGTGTTGAAAAAAAGATGTCAAAACATCTTCATTATTAAATTTATATTAATTAATTAAGATTATAAGCAATTCGAAGCAATAAAAAATTAAAAAGCTTCAAATCTAAGATTAACACTCCAGTTTTATCCAATGCCTACTTAAACAGTTTTTAAAACTACCCCAATCAGCCTGTAAGCTTATGAATTTCGTTCCTTTCTCTATTATAGCGCAGTATTAAATATGGATTAAGAAAGTAATTTTAAAAAATTTTCCAGGTTATACACTCAGCGGAACAGTGCCAAGAAACATTAGCATTTGCTTCTGAACCTGTTCTCGCAAGTTTAGCCAATGTTTTAGCTTACGAGGAACAAAAAGCATTATCTATAGCACAATCGTCCACGACTGTAGGGCAGCAAACTCAGCAACAACAACAACACAATCGTCAAATGTACATGAAGGAATATGAATTGTTGGACATGGAAATAAAATACGGCCTCCTACAGGTAAGAGAGTTATGCCAAGAGCATAACTTGTTGAATGAACTGAAAAATTGGTTCAATTGAATCAATTATAGTTTTAATAGTAAAAGACGCATTTGCAAAAGTTGTTCTACAATATGTACTAATAAAACTTGGAAAATTTTGTTAAAATTCATTTCAGATAACAGAAGCATTATCGTTTCTTCATTATAGTCGCCAAATACTTCATAGAAACGTTTGTCCAAGTAGTATAATGATTACAAAAAAAGGAACTTGGAAATTGTTTGGATTTGAATTTATAGGTAATCAAGTTAATTAATTGCTTCATAGACTCGCACAGTATTGTGTCTTAACGAACATACATGACAAAAAGATGTTATTGGCAGTTAACTTGACTGCAAATTTTGAGACAGATTTTATCAGTGTTTGTTTAATTTTTACATGCTACTATCAGAGAGTGGATTAAACGATAAAGATGCTGCAGAGCCTATCCCACTTCCACAATGGACCAACAGAATTTCAAAAATGGCTCAACCAAACTTGGATTACTTGGGTACATTATTCTGTAAATTAGAATTGAAATGCATTTATTAAATATTTTCTACTATATATATATATTTCCTAAAGCAGGATCTTCTCAGGGATATTTACATGTTGAATAAGACTTTGTTTAAATTTTATTTAAAAATTGAATGAAATTTCTTTCCACAACTTTCATTATTAGTAATCATTTTTATAATTATTCATTTAGCGCCAGAAGTGCAGCTGTCTAAAAGAGGAAGTATTCTCAGTGATATGTATAGTTTTGGAATGGTCATTTGCGCGATATTTAATTACGGTCGTCCTTTAATACAAGCGAATCATAATTGTTCGGAATATAGTAGACAACTGGATACAGTAAGCATAATTGAATTTTTTTTGTAAAATTTTATAACACTGACCTGTATGCTGTTAGATCAATAAAGTAAATTTTTATATCGATATTTTAGTTAGAAGAGCAAGTGCATAATATTTTGCCTCGAGTACCTGTGCCGTTACAAGAAGCTGTTTCCAGGCTTTTGCAAAAAGAATCTAGGCAACGACCTACGGCTCAACTTCTCACCCTTATTAAATATTTTAGGTAATTATAATTAAGTGGTTTAAAAAAGAAATGAAAATTGTATTCAACAAGACTTTTTCAATTCTAAAATGTTTAATATCTCTATTCAGTGACCCATCTGTATATGCCTTGCAATTTTTGGATGTAATTAATATGAAAGACCCAACACAAAAAGCTCATTTCTACAGAACAACTCTTAAAGAAGCGCTTCCTTATATACCTCGAGTAAGTAAAATATTAAGTATAGAAGAAAAAACGGCAATAAATCGCACGACTATTTACAAGTCAAGTCACTTCTTCATATACGTATATTTGAATTATGACAGAAACTTTGGTACCAACATATTTGGCCTTATTTGCAAGAAGAGTCTAGATCACAGGAAGTCTTTGCGGCTGTTTTGCAACCTATGCTTTATATTATTCAAAATAGTACTTCAGAAGAGTATGAGAAAATTATCTTGCCCACTTTCAGGTAAAACAACTTTATTTTATTTTAATTATCAAGAAAGTATTGTGAGTGAGAGTGCAGTGCCAGTTGGGTAGAATAGTGAAATAGTGTAATAGAATTAATTAACCAATCAGAAAAAGTTTTAAATAACTATAATCATTAGATTGGTCAAATCTGCTCCACTATAATCTACCCACATGGAACTCCAGTTCAAGTTATTTAATGTAATTATTATTAGCTTAGAAATTATGACTCAAGTTTGATTTTTATTCGTATAAACTTGTACAGAAACAAAATTTTTTTAAAGCTTTAATAGAAATTAATTGTTTCTTGTGTCGTATATTTTATAGTTTATCTATTATGATTGTAAATTAAGTATGTAAGACATAATAAATAATTTAAATTTACATTATAGATCACTGTTCTCCATACCAAAATCAACTCAAGGTTCTGTTGTACTTTTGGAGAATTTACATATTATTTTAGAAAAAACACCATTAGATGTAATAAGAGACGAAGTATTGCCCATGCTTTTCGCTTCCTTTGACAGTCCAACAATCCAAGTTGAGGTTTGTATTGTTTATATTTTACAATATATCTATTTAAAAAGTGTCTTGTTTTTTAAGAAAGTATACTGAAAAAATGCTATTGTTCGAAAGCAAATGTATTATTAGCATTTTTTTCTCATTTTTTTTTGGTTTACAGTAACAAGAATTCTGAATATTTTTAAATTAAAAAAGAGTTTAAATTTTTTTTTCAAATTCTTCCTCTTAATAGCTTACAACATTTAGCCACAATATTGCAAAATTTACTCTATAACAATATTACAAGTTCACCTGAATATTGTCAGGCAATATTGAAAATGGGGAACATAAGTAAAAGCTATATTGTGACCAGATGATATTTTATTGTGAATGTTTAATTTTTAGAGCGCAGCTTTCGTCGCAATCGCAAATGTGACACATTTTCTGGATGATATGGTGATAAGGAGAACTGTTTTACCCAAAATAAAAATGGCTTTTGAAAAAAATTCAACTGATATGAGAATATTAATGAAAGCTCTGGCAAGTATTCTCGACCGCCTAGAAAAACAACAAATTATTGATGATGTGATGCCACTTTTGTGGAATGTGAAGCTTCAAGAACCGGAAATAGTTGTACGAGTAGTAAGTAAGTGCTTTTTTCAGGAATTTATGAAAATTTTTAATATTTAAAACTACAAAAAAGCTGTAAAAATATATTTTATTAAATAATTCTATAATAATATACTTAGGCATCTACAGATTAATGTTAAGTGACAAAAAATACGGCCTATCAGTTAACCTCATGGCAACACGGGTAATGCCATCATTGCTGCCTCAAACAGTAAACCCGGCACTCAAATTAGAAAATTTCAATCTACTGTTGGATGTTTTACAAGAAATGCTCAATCAAATAGAAAGGTAAAGAAAGTAAATATTGCTCAAAGTTGTTCCGCATTTCGAGAGAACATTGTCAAGTTTTTAGAAAATTAAAATTTTAAAAAGCTACAAAATTTTAACACGAACAGCTCCTGCTATTCATACACTGTAAAAAAAGGGAGGTAAATTTTAACTCCCCAGGGGATTCTATAAAAGTCGCACCCACTGGAGAGTTAATGCCAGGGGAGTTAAATAAAGAGAGTTAAAATTTAACACCCAAATGCTAACTCCCCATGGAAAAAATAACTCGCGCGGCTGTTGAATGAAGGGAGTTAGAAATTAACTCTCTTTTGGAGTTGATTTTTAACTCGAAAAATTTAACTCCCAACTCCCGAGTCCGTTAACTCCCTAAATTTTTTACAGTGTATACTAAGGACAGCCAATTTGTTAATATACCCATCATTTTAATAACAGGAACCAAAGGAATAAATTACAATTGGATGCAGATATGCGCCGACCACTTAGGCATCAATGCAGTACAGATAACATGCATGTTCCACCTTTCAACATTCCTAACCTTCGTATAGAGCAAAGAAAAACATCTTCAGCCGAAGACATGGCGAGAAAAAATTCCATTGGTATGTTTGAAACAGAAATTCAAAAAAGATGTTGTGGCAAAAGTTTTCGTCCCCATTTTCTTGTGATGAGGAATGTAATAAACTTATTTGTACATTTTACCATCTAAAAGCATCGTTGACAAAAAGTAATTCTTTAAAATGTTTGTAGGTTCAATGTCAATGACTGCATCAGCTGAAAATATGACGAGAAAAAATTCAATGGCTGGTAAGATAAAACGTTGAAATTAATATTTTCTGTAAGAAGTCGTCTACAAATTACGTTACCAATTTTTTTTTTTTTTTGACTCTCTAAACCCCCCTTTGTCCATAATCTTACATTGCCTCATAACTGGTGTCGCATAGTTGGTAAAAAGAAAAAAAATTTAAAAAATTTAAAAATTTTCTATGAAACAATTGCATGATATTTCTTTACAATGATTCAGTAGAATCTTTCTACGAGAGTTCTGTAATGAATGTGGATAATTTCCATAATAATAATGTTCTAGGAATGTTTGGAAGTTGGTGGTTCGGTTCATCATCGTCTACAAATGACAACAATTTTCTCAGAGTAGCCAATACTTTTACATGCCGACGTCTTTCTGACAACACATTAATGACTCCAAAGATTCGTATAGCTCCATCTTGCGCGAGTTCTCCAGGTGGTACACCAGGAGGTGGTTTACCAATACGACGACATTCTAGCACCGGTCCCCAAGAACGAAGAGGTTCAAACATAAATCTCTCTCCGCCTACGGTAAAAAACTATTCCATTAAAATTATATTTAACCAAGTTTTCAAGACACTAAATATTCAAAAAATGTACCTACTTCAACAAGAATTTTCCACTGCAAGTTTTAGGAGAGATTTCCTCAACTTTCCTTCAAGGACAGGAAGCTTTAAAACTGTCTTTTATTTTACAGGAAACTGCTGACAGAAACTGTTGAAATTTATAATTTTATAAAGTTAGACGATATTTTTAACTGTGCTAAATTTGAGATTCCTTATTTTCCTTAATGTTTTATATGGATGCAAGTTTTTTTAATGCATAAGTAGAAATGTTGATTAAAGGTTACTTTTAATTTTGAAATAAACAACAATTTGTTATAATAGTAAGTTTCTTTGTAAGAATTGTCAGGACCGGGATCGTTCGGGAAAAGTTTCCAGTGCAATGCGTGAGCATATAGCTAACAATGCTAAGTAAGCAGCCTCCTAACTTGGTAACTTTGCTATTCGTAATCCCGGTCCACATTGAAGATGATGTTAAACTTTGTTTATTTAACCGAGTTAAAAAAAAATGAGAAAGGATTTGAAAATGTTTTCCAAGAAATGAACGCTTTGTTTCAGGGGGGAATGCCTATTACAAGTAGCAGTGTTCCATACCTTCTAAGCTCAAGTATGAACAGTATTCGAGGTTCAAGGCGACCCTCCGTCTCATCAAATACATCGCAACAGGGAATACTTCAGCAATCTATTAGCGGCATGGTAAGACAACTACCCCCCATCTGCCTCAATGGACCACCAACACTCTCTCCATCACCGGGACAGCCTTCCCACTGACCCTTGGTTACAGTGTAAGGATCTCTCTGTTCCTTTGCCAACCAATTCTCTCGAGACTTTATATGAGTACGATGAGTTCCTTGACCCTCTATGTCTGTTTCGTACTCTGCGATAAAAACTGCTCTATCTTTGCCTACGTATTCTGTATAGCTTTCTAACCTTCTCGCAGTTTGCATCTGCTCATGGTTTAGCACGCCACTATAATTATAAAATTATGCTCAGTAATGACCGGAAAGACGGATGCACGAGGAGGCTAAATATTTTTCAAATAGGTGCACTAAATCTTAAATTGTCCCAAAGATAATCCAACAAAATATTTGTATAATTAAAATTGAGTAAATTCATCAACACGCATACAAAAAATACTTTTACATAAATTGCAGTTATATATACGTATAAAGCGAAAGTTGTCTATCAAATTTTTTTTTGCAAATTCCTTAAAATTTTTAACTTGGTCAATTTATTCAGACTTTGACTACATTCACAACAATGTACTGTTCATTTAGATGAATGTCGGCTTCGTGCGGTCAATCTACTGCAAAAGTAAAAGACATAACTGTTGGAGATAAAAAAAATTATTGTTAACAAAAAGCAGAAAAAGAACTTTCCTCCTCGAGTTAAAGAAAAGTCAACATAATTCAACATAAATAACTTGATTTTACTGATTTCAGTAAAATTTAGTAAATTGAAAATATTAGTCGCACTGTCAAGAAAATTAATCTGACTTTATTTTTTAATTTACTGAAAGTATAACTGGAGTTATTTCAAATATTATATAATTCAAAGAAAGATAAAATCATTTAAAAGACTAAAAAGAGACTATCGCAGCAGCCTTTATATGTCTTGTAACCTTTATGAATCCAAATTAGATAAGTTGTTTTGTTTTTTATTTAAAAGAGACATAATCTCTTTAGTCTGAACTGGTATTTTTATTCATTTATGAAATTTTCAATTATTCAAATAATATTCATAGACTGCCCTGGTGAGAGCGTGCATATTGAAACGTGTCAATTGTAGTTCAAATGTTTTCATTTATTAATTAACAATAAAAATTCGTTATTTTTAATCATCCCAAACACGCGTATATGTTAAAAGTTGTCGCAACTTTCAATTCGCTATATTCGACTTGAACTTTAAAAAGTTTATGCTATATATAATTGGCTGCTCCTCTCACATAACATATAATAAGATATTGTGGAAAGTTTCCTCAAAAATAATATTCAAATATCCGTTTTATGGGAACTTGCTATTATCGATATGGGCAATTCCACGTGAGATTTTAGTCGACCTCTTAAAACCGGCCAAAAATATTTTTTTCTATTCTGTATAAAAAAAACATATACGTATTTTTTATTTTTTGTTTAATTTTCCAAATTTTCGAGTTATGAATTTTCGAAATTTTGGACTTTTAGTTATAGATCTATATTCAGTAGCTTATAAGTCCGAAAATATTGAGTTTAGGAAAAAGTTGTCAAAGAATAAAAGTTTTAGTTTTCTTTCGACTTTTAAGAAATAATGTAAACAAAAAAAAAAATTTTTATAAACAAATTAATTTTTTTTAACTTTGGGCCGGATTTTTTTTTATTTTTTTAAATTTATTTATACCGTATAATATAGAGAAGATTTTCCAAAATGTCCCGAAATGGGCCTGATGTGTTAAATGAGTTTTAAAACATTTTCAAAAATCACTTGCAAGCATCACAGTGGGATTTTTTTTTACAAATTACTTTTAAAAACTGTCTACAGCGTATAATTTTTAGTCTATTTGAGTGTTCTTTATTTTAAATTAAAGGGTCTACGCTGTAGACAGTTTTAAAAAGTTAATTGTTAAAAAATCCCACTGTGATGCTTGCAAGTGATTTTTGAAAATGTTTTAAAACTCATTTAACACATCAGGCCCATTTCGGGACATTTTGTAAAATCTTCTCTACATTATAAGGTATAAAAAAAATTTTTAAAAATCCGGCCCAAAGTTAAAAAAAAAAAATTTGTTTACAAAAAAAAATTAAAAAAATTTTTTTTTTGTTTACATTTCTTAAAAGTCGAAAGAAAACTAAAACTTTCATTCTTTGACAACTTTTTCCTAAACTTAATATTTTCGGACTTATAAGCTACTGAATATAGGTCTACAATTAAAAGTCCAAAATTTCGAAAATTCATAACTCGAAAATTTGGACAATTAAACAAAAATAAAAAAATACGTATATGTTTTTTTTATACAGAATAGAAAAAAAATATTTTTGGTCGATTTTAAGAGGTCGACTAAAATCTCACGTGGAATTGCCCATATACATTATTGATTAAATATTCTCTAGTTAGTTGTTAAAAGATTTCGACTTTTTAATCGAAAGGGTATAAATATGTAATTATGGAATAAATTTAAAGATACTTTTTGATAAGAAGTAACTACGTTAGGGAACGGTTCCTGCAATATCACATTTTATGTGGACTACTTGATTATTCGTCTTTTTGTATGACCATTGGCATATAAGCAATGGTAGTAAATAATTATAAATCTTATGGATTTGACTATAATATAATGGATCATCAAAACAAGTAATTGAAAGAATTATAGAAATTTACTGAAAATTTTAAAAACAGTACATCGATCATTAACAAGTTATTCAATTTTTAATAATATGGTATGTATAGGCTCGAAGGATCATCATTCAAATTTCACTAATTTGCAATCATTTTCAGTGCAATAAATCATAGTGGAATTCCAATTACGGTATTAAATAAAACTTTCAATAATTTAGATTACATAAATTTTTTCCATCTTTTCAATTGTGATTAGATTTCTGTATTTACCACTATTTTCATCACTCCAAGAGCAAGTATAGAAAGTGTAAAAAAGCATTGAGTCTATTTTGCGTAGGCCAGCGCTTACTTTCGTACGATGAGAAGTCTCTTCCAATTTATGCAGATAAATGCTGACTTAATATCCATTTTTGACAATTTAATATATATGCACGCTTTCGCCGTCCTTAATATTGAATTATTGAATTATTGAATTCATCTCACTATGTATGGTTTATAGTTTTCCATTTCTATGGGCTAAATTCAAAATCAATTGCAGCTTTATTCTTTGTTTTAATATGAATCATATTCATTTAGTGTATTCAAGGGGATTTCTGGTGAAAGTGTGCTTATTAAAACGTTATTTTTGGAAAAATGAAAGGAATATGAAGTTTTCAAAAAATCCAAATGATGTCTTTTCTCCGTAATTTTGAAATAATGGAATTTTAATATGCACGCTTTTGTTAGAATATACATAAATATATATATAATCCTCGAGTTTAATTATTGAATTAATCTATATGCATGTAAGCTTGTGGCGGTGCAACAGCTACGCTTTTGCTTAGCTGACTTTAATAAATGTAATTAAGGGCATGTGACTTTTAAGTCGCATGATTCCACATGTAATATATTTCACAAGTTTTCTCATAAGGGACTATTGTTGAATTGAGTTGAACTTTTGTAGAAATGTCTGAAGCCATAGAAGGATTTTCTGTGACTTGCGGATGTTTTGACATTTTATTAAAAAAGTTTCATTTTCGAAATTCGCATATTTATACACAAAAATGTTGTTTATTACGAGAGAAAAACAAGAGGGGGAGAAAGATTACAATATATGCGTGACAACATTAATTAACACATAACAGTTTTCCCAAGTAAGGAAAATTTTACTAGCTGATTCATCAACTCACATTTTTGATGCTGAATGTCACAATCTTTTTCATTCCATGCAAATGATAAATGTTTATTTTATAACCTTTACCCGTGTGGGGATTTTGTCCTGGCGCCAGGCAGGCCCAAGCTGGGGCACTCCAAACTCTAAATGAAGAATCTGAAAAGATTTAGTTTGGATCGAACCAAAATCCTGGCATAAATCAAAACGGTCTTTCAATTCAGAGCTTGGACTCGGTTTGAAAATCTCCGCACGGAAAATTGTTAGTTATCTTTAAATTGAACTCTACATAATCCTCTGAATACAAGTATTGCAGTTGTAGCTGATTTAAGGTACTTGCATTTGCCTGTTCAGTAATGAATCTAAATTAGTACTTAGATATTGTTTAATTGGTGACATACAAAATTTGGAAGAATAATTTATATTGCTTCCTCATAGAGGAAATATTATTGTTTTGGTGAATACTTTCGATCGTATAATAATTTAAACTCAGTAGTCCAGAAAACATGTTTTTAAAGAATGTTCGTGTTTTTGATTACATTATACATTAGCATAAAACGAGAATACTTCAAGTCTATAACTTTGTAACTTCTGTTAATTTTGAATGGAAATCAGTCATCACACGAATATTTTTTAAAAACACGATTTTTGCTCTGTAAATCTGAATATGTGACTCTTCGCATATTTGTAAGTTGTAAGTCGCTCTTTCGTTCAATAAGTGCATATATGCACTTGAAGTAAGTGACATTTCACTCAGAATATGTGGAAAATTCACTTATTTATATGATCGAGAAGACGACTTATAACTTATAGTAAGTGAAATTTCACATATTCAGACTTTAGAGAGTGGACATCTGAGGTGAAATTAATTGGAAAAAAGTTATACATGATAATTATGAGGAAACAAATATAAATTACGTAGAAATAACTATTAGAAAAAATATAATTGTAATTAAAGAAATTTGTCTTTATTAGTTTAAAAAAAATTTTTTTGTCAGCTTTCTTTTCAAGAATGTCATATGTAACGCCATCCATGAATACATCTGTTGCATTCATATACATATATGATATGAGCGAGACACATTCATCAGAGGAAGGTATTCTTGCTTTCAATTTGTGTAATTTATCAAATCTTTAACTGTAGAGCTACATGTGGAATCACGTCATCTATAACAATCACATACCCTTAAAAGGAAAGCATTCATAAAAATTTATTAAATATTGGTTTCTAAAAAATAGTATACCTGCATGTATACATTTTTTGACTTATTAATATTTTCAACTTTTTGTTACAGTACCAATTGTTCTCTGGACGGTCTTAAGCCTTCGGACTTAGAAAGAAGTCGAGTCAGTCCTTCGTTAATGACATGAGGATTTGCTAAGAACTGTAAGTGAAACTATCCTTACACTTTTGTCAACTACTCAAGAAGTGTTTTTGAGGAATGTTTGACACGTGTTTTTGCTTTTGCAATTGCAAAATACGCAAGTTACGTAATAATATAAACTGAAGACTAGGCTCCTTGAACTAATGATAAAATGTTCAAGAAAGAAGAATCAACTATAAACAAGCAGAAATTCATTTAATGCAGAAAGAGTTATTATAAGTGAAAGTATTTTAAAATAAGTTTCTCGTAAAACAAAGGAATTATTTTAATTAAACATTTAAAATCACGTCTATTCTCTAATATAAAAACTTGCATTTTTCTTAAATTTTTTGTAAACATAAACAGATTCTTAGAATAGTAAGAGGATTATTAAATTAAAAGTTTAAAATTAAAGAAAAATTTCTGGCCAAACTAAATCAAGAAGTTTAAGTGATAAATGTCTAATTAGCAATGTTTGTTAATAATATTAAGATTATGTGAATGTATGGTAACTTAATTTTACTTTTGGATCAATACAAACTGAATGGAAACTTTTGTGGAAGCAAATAGAGAACACATTACACTCACGAAAACGATTAACTTTTTTTAGATTTCTGTTAATAATAAGCAGGTCTAATGTCACTTATTTTGTTCGATCATATAGCTCAGTGAGCTCGAAGACATGGGTTGGTTTAAAGACCTTTTTTATATTCCATGTTTATTCCAAGAATGTCTTTAAGGTGGCTCATTGTCTTCATTTATTTCTTCCGTGTGGAAATTTGTCATAGAAAACTAAACATGGTCAAAAGCTAACAAAGCTACATGTGTACGTCCGCATGAAAAGGGACCACACTTTGGCACTATTGGAATTAAATACCTGAGCACATTCTTGACTCAATTTCGAACCATTATTATAGTTTCCATGTTAATTGGAAATTAAAAATAAGATTATTAGTTGTTTTAATTGAGATAAAGTCAGCGAAAATGCATAATTTAACGTGGGACACTTTGAAGTTTGGGTTTCAACAATAAAGAAAAATAAAAATTCTGAACCACTTTTAGAAAATTGCGATTGTCTCCTAAAATAAAATGGACAAAGTGGTCGATGCGGACGTATACATACACACATATTGGTACCAAGAAACTTTAATCATTCTATTATTATTAATTCTAGATAACATTTTCTTGGTATGAAAAGAAATGTCAATTGACATGGATGTATAAAAAGTCCATACGGGAACCCTATATTTCTAAATAATAATTTTTCTTTCATCCCGGGTCTAAATTTGGGTAATATTTTGGTTCTACTCAGGGCCGGATTTGCTGTAGGGCAAAAAGGGCAAGTGCCCTGGGGCCCCCGGTCGTCAGGGGCCCCCAATTTTTAAGAGGTCTTCTTGTCACAAGAAGTGTATATGTGTAAATGCTCTATCAGGGTGTCTAACGGTCAGAGAAAAGTCATGGAAAAGTCAGGGAATGTCAGAGAATTTCATTGAAAGTCAGGGAAATTTCTAAAAAAATTTTGTGAATAAAAAATTTTTTTAACCTAACAAAACTTAGAAGATTTTTATCACCGTTTTTTTCTATCATTAGATATTAATTTATTGTTAAATATGTCAGTTACTATATTTTTTCTCAAGAAAGCAAAAATAAAATTAGTAAAAGGTCAGGGAAAAAGTCAGGGAAAAGTCAGGGAATTTTTTTCTCAATCCTTGTTAGACACCCTGTCTATAATAGTAAATCAGTTTCTATATGTAATATAAATTGTAATTGATTTGCAGTTCGACAATTTTTGAAAATTGTCCGATTTCAAACAATTACAATTCAAGCTGCATGCGAATAATGACGGTTTGCGCAGCTATCGTTGGCTATTTTATCAATTGAAAGCGAATTATTAAAAACAGTGGATACCAACAAAATAATTGAAGAGTTTCTTTCTAAAAAATCAAGAAAGTGTCGTTAATATGTGAAAAATGTTTGCACAACATTGTTGATAACCATAACAAATTATTTAATTGAATAATTTGTAATAGTCTCAAAATAAATATATCTATTTTTGTTTTTACGTTTTCAAATATATATTGTGTTAAATTTGATTGATTTTGCTCCCGGGTAAGAGGGCCCCAGGGCCCTAGTGCCCTAGGGCCTCTGACACCCTAAATCCGGCCCTGGTTCTACTGTTACTCTTTTAATTCTCTTATACATATAAAAAATGTATAATTTGGTTATCTAGTAACTAGTTGATTAGAAATAAGTATATAGATTAAATTATCTAGGATTACGTTATAGAGATTAAAAATTTTTATGACAATTTTTACACGGGATAGGAAAAAAAGTTTAATACGGTTGTAGAAACGAATGGTTCTCACTGCCTCAAAAAATAACTGAAACAAACACATTTGTGTTTTTAGAATACAAATTAACGCTGAGAAAAAATGAAAAAGCTTAAATTGACAACTCGAATAAGTTGAATTTCTGCTGGTTCTTACAACATTTTTAATCCACTTTTATAAGTAACTATGAAGAGTAATAAAATTCCTATTTGCTCTCACGAATAACAAGTTTTCATTACGAGTTCCGATCTAAAAAGCTTAATTAAAAAAATGTTTTTATTCAAAATTTATTTTTAAAAAAATGCATAACCCAAATCTTTACTATAATCACCACATGTGGTAATTATTCAAAATGGGGGACGGTATCGATTGCACACGGGAAAACTGTATATACAAGCAAATTTAAAAAATAAAATCATTAAATTAAATTTAAAAACTGTACAAATTTAAACTGCATACCGGTCAACTGACCACAGGAAAACTGCACAATATTAAAAATTGCAAATTTTAATAAAAAAATGAAATTAATTTAAACTGTATACAGTTAAACTGACCTCAGGAAAACTGCACAAAAGCTTATTTTTAATAAATTTATTAGAAAATAAGCTTTTGTGCAGTTTTCCTGAGGTCAGTTGACCGGTATGCAGTTTAAATTTGTACAGTTTTTAAATTTAATTTAATGATTTTATTTTTTAAATTTGCTTGTATACAGTTTTTTTGCTTGTATACTTGAACGAGTGCAGTTTTCCTGTATACAGTTGAATTTTGGGCAATCGATACCGCCCCCAAAATGGGATACAACATGTAGAAAAAACGGCGTAAAATTATGTAATAATGTGACATTTGGAGAGTAAAAAATTGTGTAAAATGTATGACGTAATGGCCCCTTAAAGTGAGTTTAAATATAAAATTTCTTATCGTCCACTCGTCCAGTGTAAAGCTAAGGTGTAAAGAAAGTTGATAATAATACTTGTGGTTTGTACTTGTACTTATATCACAGTCATTATTTCTTTAAATAGTTTTCGTACCTAATGTGTTTAATTGGAATTAACAGATTCATATTCATAAAGTAAGAATAAGAGAACAAGATGGACCGAAGAGTAATTTTCTATGCGAACAATATTAGTCTGATATGTATTTGGAGCTGATAATGCTTCACATATCGGACTAATATTGTTTCAATATGATATAAATTATGAGTCTCTGATGATTTCCCATTGAGAAAGTATGAATATAATAATGCCTTATAACGGAAAAACTGACATAAATAGTTTAAAATGGAAAATAAAAAGAGGCACTTTGCCTAATCTAAGAACTTTAAAAGTTCAAACAAACAGTCTATAGTTCAAGTTACAGCTCAGATGCATCTGGTTAAAAAATGTCTAGTTAAACTAACTAGAAATTTATAATTTATAAAACTAGAGTAATTTGATTACTGATTCGCATTTATTATCTTTTTCCGCTGTACGGCAGTATAAATATACAGTAAAAAATGCAAAAAAACGTGAATGCGAGTGGGATGGTAATGGAATAGCGCAAAATAGTGTCTTCGTTACACTGATAGGCTTATCGCTTCTAAGTTAGTGTTATTTTTAGTGTATATACACACGGAGAGAAAAAACAGGAATGTTATTAATGCAGGTTCTGAGTGTGCCCTAACAGTCAGATGCAATAAGAGTCTAATACCGAAAAAGCATAACATTGTGTGTAAAGTGCCCTTCCAAATGTCGTGTTATTCAATATTTAAATTAATTTCTTACTTTCGTAAGAAAGTTGTCCCGTTTAACCCTAACTTTGATAATTGAAAAAGTCACCTAATAATAGTTTATGCTGGGCCTCTTAATTTTCTTTTTGACTTTAAATTTTAGAAAGTCTTATTAATTTCAGAAGATATATATTTAAAAGAAATATAACAGTTTAAAGTAAGAAAATAATAATTGTATAAAATCTTATATATACATATATGGATGATAAGTCTCCAAGAGGAAATATCTATATACTTGTGTATACACAAAGCGATTTATGTCAAATAAAACCAGTGCCGGACACTGAATTCGGTTTAAAAAAAATAGAATAAATAAGTAGAGAAAAAGAGAGAGAGAGAGAGAGAGAGAGAGAGAGTATGTAAGTATGCATGCATGTGTCAGAATATATTCTGACGTTGTCTTAATCATAGTATATCCAATCTACTCCTCTTCTGTGATATTCTATCAAGTATTCTGTCAATGACTGTTTTATTGTTCTCTCGGCTCTAATATTATATATATGGTGTGTTGTATACACATATTATACAATAAAAGTATTCCAAACTTAAAAAACAGACTCACATCATATGTGCGGACAGAAATTTTAGAGAGAATCAGAATAGTAGCTCACTTGATTTTGGTGCAACGGCAGATCAAGAAATTATTATTGGGAGAGTTGCGCCAATTTCATGTAGAATTGAATAGAAATTAAGCAAAAGTCTACACTTTTCAAGGAAACTCTCTCTAAAATTATTCTTCGTGCACACGCACATATACACGCGCGCAAACACAAAGTCTGGCCTCGAAAACCTTACGAGTATTATCACGAGTTCAAACAGCTTTTGTACCTGCAAAATAGAGATTTATTTATCTACCAGAGATATATTTAAAGTTATCGAGTAGTGTATGCAGATTTTGCATACATACACGCATTAATGTGCATGTAAATGCTCTCTAAATTTTAAGCAGCGAAAAGTTACTACCACACCGTTGATATATAGCATTATTTATTTGCCAGCGGTAGGTACATGCTGTATTGCTGTTTGTCTCAGACGAGCTGATTAATTAACGAATTTTCGATGCTTTAATTTTGAGAGTACCCAGTTTAACCACATAACTTATTACATCATTATTTAAAATAAGAAAAATTGTGAAACGATTCTAAAACACTTTTGTTAAAATTTAGAATGTGCAGTCTTCAGTTGTGATCACATTTATTTTTTGTTCTGCTTCTTTCATCAGGAAGTACGTAAGTAATTTTTGAATCACATATCTGTTGATTTATTAAGTTATAAGTATTTTTAATTATCAAGTTCTGAACATTTATCTTACAATATTGTTAAAAGATGTGTGTTTCAAGTAAACTCTGTTTATAGTAGTATATCATTTGTTTTGAAAGTTTTTGTTATTCTTAATAGAGAAATTATTCCTTTAACATCAAGAAGTAAATCTATAGGTATTAGACTATAGATAATAGGAAAATCATTATTTAAATTATAATTAAAGTTAATGGATTCATCTTAAACTGAATTAGACTGTTTTGTCAGTGTATTTATCATGTTTAGCAAAGGGCACGAAACCGCGTCGTCTATCAAAATAGCGAGTATAGGCAGAATTCTCATTTTTACATATGAATTTTATTACATATATGACGAGTTCTCACGAATTTAATATTGACATGGTGAATTCTTTGCAATACAATAAATATATTTTGGTGAATTAGTAAAAGTGTTACCCACATAAAATTCCCCAAAAAATATAGATTAGTTTTTGACTTTATTAGGTATAATGATAATATACGAAAATATCTATATATTTTTAAATGACATATTTATTGTACTAAAAAAATGGGTATAATTCATTCGACTTTACTGTAACAATGCAACAAGACCCAATAAATTCCCTGCCAAATAATAGTTTCCTGATACAAGGGAAAAGATATTTTGACAATCAATAAATATATAAAAGTAATTAGTTACTTTTTAAATCTGATGAATAAAAGTGAATTTGCACATATTCAGATTTAGAAAGTACCTACTATTTCCAAAGAAATAATGAACCAATAAATTATGGTGAAATATATTTACATAAAAAAATGTTAAAGTTACACAGTATACATATATATTTTTAAATAGACTGAAACTTGAGTTACAATCTGAAAATAATTAACTGTCATTAACCTAACATTTTTTTATTCGATAAGTCAATTTATCACTTTGTTAAAGTCAAAGTATTTTTCTAATGCTGCATTTTCCCAGAACTAATTGATATCCCAAGAATTCTAACAATGATTACTAAACATTTTTCACCTTCAAGTCCAGCATTTTTATGATATACCGTATTAACTTTTGGCTGGAGTGTTTCTACTGCATCAGTCAATATAGGTACATGTTGACCATAAACATAATAAACATACATTTTTTTGGAGAAATTTTGACAGTTTATTATTTTCAAACATGCAATACAAGTTTTGGAGAATGATATAAAGAAAGTTATTGCAGGT